AAATCCTATCACCTGACAAATCTGGCCAGATTGCTAAGTGGCTTAAACCAAAAAAATCTGTTGTGAATCCTAATATTGGCTGCCAAATATACATATAAAAAATATGTGCAATAAAGTGTTGAAAACTATTTATTTTTGTGCTCAAAACCGACATAAACGGGAGTTTATTTAACAAGAAAGATCAAAACCATCCTTTGGTCAAGAAGCAGGAAGAGTGACCGTGCCTGTCAGAGCGATTATATTATCCCTCTCGTGATCCGATTCTCGAATCTATTTTTGCCGTTGTTGATGAATGTAGCCTTTTCTAGGCTCTATAAACTAAACACCGCTTTATGGGGAAGTCAACAGTGGTAATTCTGGAATTTCTCCCACTGGTTCAGGTTTGTTAACGGGAGATAAACACTGCCATAATGCTCATTTGAGCAGGAAATCACTCACTCTTTCTTTGATATGCTAGAATAATCCAGTATCCCCCTGAGCCGCTTGCTCAATTCGCTTATTGCTCCTCACCCCCCCCTAACGACCGGCATTGCCCCCCCCCCCACGCAGATCAGCATGCCATGCCTGACGATGGCCGAGGCGTGGCGCGCCAGCGGCCGCTGGGACCTCATGGGCAGCGAGCTGTTCCGCCTGCGCGATCGCACGGGCGCCGACCTCTGCCTGGGCCCCACTCACGAGGAAGCGGTGACGCGGCTGCTAGCGGCGCAGGGCGTCGCGTCCTACCGCCAGCTGCCGCTGCGCCTCTACCAGGTGACGCAGAAGTTCCGCGACGAGCCTCGGCCCTGCCACGGCCTCCTGCGCGGCCGCGAGTTCCTCATGAAGGACCTCTACACGTTCGACGTGTCGGAGCGGGCGGCGCGGCAGACCTACGGCGAGGTGTTCGCCTCGTACCGCCGCGTCTTCGCGCGCCTCGGCCTGCCCATCACCACCGTCGAGGCGTCCACGGGCGCCATCGGCGGGAAGGCTTCGCACGAGTTCCACCTCATGGCCGACGTGGGCGAGGACCAGCTGCTGAGCTGCTGCCGCTGCGGGTTTTCAATCAACGAGGAGATGATGGAGGCGTTCTCCGTGCCGGCCGACACGGTCGTGTCTCACATTGACGGATCGGCGGACAAGGTCGGCACCGACATGACGCACACAATCGGCGGGACCGGCAGCTACATGTGCCGCTGCCCCAAGTGCAGCGGGCGGATGGTGGCGTCGAAGGGCATCGAGGTCGGCCACACGTTCTACCTGGGCACGCGCTACTCGGAGGTGTTTGGCGCAAAGTTCTGCGACGACGACAACAAGAGCGTCACCATGGAGATGGGCTGCTACGGCCTGGGCATAACACGCATCCTAGCGGCTGCCGTGGAGGTGCTGTCCACGGCTGACAGCGTGCGGTGGCCTGGGCCCGTCGCGCCCTACCAGGTACGGTGACGGGTGGCGAGTTCTTCGCGAGTCTGTTAGTTGATCCGTCGTGATATTTTTTTTCCTTGTTCCTCCTGTGGTAACGTGGCCGAGCAGTAGCATGTGTCTTGCGGTCGGAGCCCGAACGGCTGCCCCTGTTAATACTGCACTATCTCCATCACAGCGGATTGTTAAAGACCCACGCAGCGTTTTTCAAAAATGTAGGCCACACGTACCATGAGCAACATTAATCCGTACTGGCAGACCAATACCCCTTATGGGTTGTTGATGTGTTCACCTTGCACCACATAGGGACAGCTGCCATCAAGCGAGTCTGCCTTGGCTAATAAAACTCCTTAAACGAGACATTACATTGTGGGGGCGATATCAATGCAAGTTGTTGTATTTCTCAAAACTTCCACTGAGCATGCATTCCCATAATGCTGCCCTCTTCACTGCCACCCTCCCCCCCCCTCCCACCCAGGTGTGCATCCTCACCCCCAAGTGGGGCAGCAAGGAGGAGGTGGCCGGCATACGAATGGCCGAAGATCTCTACGACACGCTCGACGAGCTCTTCCCCCGGCTGCGTCGCGACATGCTCCTGGACGACCGCGGTCAGCTGACCCTGGGCAAGCGGCTGAAGGAGGCCGACAAGATGGGGCTGCCGTACGTGGTGGTGGTGGGCAAGAGGACCCTGGAGGCGGGCGGCGAGTTCGAGGTTTTGCGCACGCGCGACGGCGAGACGATGTTTCTCACCAAGGATGGCATCGTCGACCTGCTCAAGAATGTCGATGTGTGCTGCTAGGAGGCTGCAGCGCCAATCACTGGCCGTCAGGAGATCGACGTGCTGGCTACCGTAACGAAGCCGCCCTTATTTAAGTCGATCTTCACTCATCGGACGGTCGCTCATTCCCATCCCTTCTCTTCCCAGCCACCCAGTGATGATGGCGAACTGTCCTGTCGACTCCCTGCCAGGCTGAAGTTCAAGTCCAGGCTGAAGACCTACCTCTTCTCCGCCGCCAATTGACTGACCGCCTCTCTTCATAAATAATAATGGCCACTTCGTCCATACAGCAGCCTGAGATTCGGTCGTATTTAAACGCTCTGTAAATCCAGGTTGTATCTTTAATTTTTGGTGGGTGTCTGTCCCACATTCACCACCCAGCATTCTAATCGGACTCCTCACCGATTCTGCCTCGGGTTTGTCTTCCCCCTTGGCGACTTTGCATTTCGTTTTCACGCTAAGGCACTCTTGCGTTTCTTTGGCGTCTCACAAGCGTTGTTTTTTCATCGCATGTACGCGGTGGCCTTGTTTCACGAGCATGTGCTGCGGAACAAATCTTGGAATATTTTAATCTTAAACTTTGTGTTGCTCGCCGTTCTACAAAATTCACAGAAGTGCAAAGGCCCTCCCATTTTCCCCAAAGATGGGTGTAGAGTCTTCTCACACATTGACCACTGGAATGTAAACACAAGGTGTGTTGGGTTTGTAGTTGTGTGGTGCAACTTTGTTACAAGGGATACTCAAAGTGACACCTCCAATTGTTTTCCTCCTCGAATTAACGTTTTATTATTGTCCCGTTACAATATTTAACATGTAGTCGTTGATAGGAGCGTAAATAGCATAACAGTTTCCGTATTCTCCCATAGATTTGCATCAAAGCAGAACCACGGCCGGGATTTCGTGGCGTTAAAAGGCGTTGCCAGCATCACGTAGCCACTTGTGACCAGGGTCCCATACGGCAGTGTCATTTGCAACGTGTTGCCTACCTCAGGTCATCGCTCAATCGATAAAAAATATATATGTGTTGGGAAATATATTGGGGAGGCATTTAGAGTATTCCATCGTCGCCAAAAGTAGTGCTGTTTTTTTTTTTTAAATGTTCATTTTTACAAAAATAATTTTCAAAACCAATGGAATCTTCAACACCTTTGTTGGGCATTTTTACTGATTTACCGTAGTCTTAGCAAGTAGCGTGTTAGAGCAACGAGATTTACCTCTACTCTGTTTAACAACCACATGCGGTAGCGGTACGCGTGACACTTACCACCTCATGAGAATGTTTTCTGTCTCTTTTTTTAAATAAACCGGGAATAAGGTCGGTGTCGTTGGTGGCTCGTTCTTTCAAGTTTCATTTATTAGGTATAGCCCTGTGAGCCATGCGGCTCTTAAGTCGGCTGCAACCGCAACAAACAAAATTTGAACACGGAACATCTTAAAGCGACAACGCATAAAAATTAACATTCTTGAACGTCACTACCAGATTTGATCAAATGGAGCCGCAGGATATCCGCATTCATATGTTTTTGCGCCGCATGAATGTCCTTTTTCAGCCACGAAACAAATTTGCAAATCCCACCCGCTAGAAATACGTGGAAAGTGTAATTTTTTTTGGACCAACCTTCAAAACTTCTGTTTTAAAAAAAATGTCTTTCAGGCTCGATTCGTGCGCTGTCAGAAATTGTGGTTCGCCAGACAAAAATCTGCGGCCGAATTTGCGGAAAATATGTCAGTGGAAATTGCCTTCTTCACCGACCTCTGAATCGGTGCCCTTTACAGCTGTTGACGATTCACCTCCCGCAGCGATTAGATGCATCGTCGCAATTCAGGGGCACGATGCTACAATCTTATTTCATACAGATTAAATTGAACGTAGCAGCTGCGAGTGTCATGTTAATGCTTTTCATGCAACATTACAACTGATACGTTTCTTGCAACAAATGCAGTTCAGTGCTCGTATCATGAGCTTTATCAATTGAAATTGTCGTTTTGATGCATTGTTACACCTCTAAGTATCCAACACATTTGTTAGCGAGCAGCACTTATGAAGGCCGGCACGGCACACGAGGGGGTGGGTGTCTAGCGCCACGTCAACAAACGCGCACACACACGGCTGGACTCATTGTTAGGCATTTTGATGAGTGAGGTGAGCTGAGAATGCGATTTTTTAAAAACAATTATTTGTAGTTGTATGCGATTATCGATAACGCAAAAATTTACTGAAATGAACGACCCCGAACTGAAACATTTGTCCACCGAGATACCTGCGCACGCACGTTCGCAAGTTACTTGGCGATGCGTTGTTGGCAGTGCGGCACAAGCACAAAAGCTCACCGAAGTTTATCAATGACACCGGCGTTCAAGGGTGGTTCAGGCTAACAGCCCGAACCACCCTTGAATGTGTGTGCCTGCAGCATAATGATGTGCTGTAAAGAAGTGTAATTTCCTTCGCTGCAGGCGCGTTTGCTGTAAAGGAGGGCCGTGGCCTGAAACGTCTCCTATTGGAAATGCAACGTGCGCCCCAGTGGGTCTGCTTGTGGCGAGGTTGCGCCGTATTGGCCGGTCGTTTTTCGTGCGAAATACGGCTGCGGAATTTGTCGGCTCCTCGTGAAATCCGTTGACCCTGGTGGCACCCCGGTGGCATTTCGTGGCACTGGAATGAAAGTCCGTACAGGCAAACCTACCACCTGGTGGAATGGTCACGTGCTGTGCAAGTACTGTCTGTGTTTGTGGTGTATGACAGCAGCTGTGTTTGACAACTACGCGTGTCTACTGCTACATGTGTGCGGTGTGTGTGTGTGTGCGTTGCTGCGCATGTGGTGTGTTGCTGATGTCGCAGACGGGATGCAGTCTTCAGAACCTGGTGCAGGAGTTCTTCACGCTGCAGGCACACCGCTTGGTCACCTACAAGCGCCTTGAGGAGTGAGTTGTGCCCGTCAGGATCCTCGGGTCCATGAATAATACTGGGGTGGGGAACCTACGATCCGTGGTTTAATTTCACACGCCCTGCGCTTCATATCATATGGCCTGTGCCTTTAGGCGCCATCCATTGAGTACGTATGCAAAAATATGTCAAAACTTGACCCCTCCCCCCCTCCCTGTAAGCACGCGTACTTTTTACACCCCCCCCTCCCCCCACCTGAGTAAGTATGCTTGACGCACCCCTACCCCCCCATTCCTAGAGAACGGCCGATATTTAATCCACACACAAACGATCAAGAATTAATATTAACGTGTTTAAGCAAAAAAATAGTCCACCGCCAGACTATCTAACTAATTTGAAGACCAATGTAGACAAATTATTATCGAGGCTTCACCAACCCCTCCCTCCCCGTTTCCTATGCATACGTATAATTGTCAGTAGACCCCCCATACGCAAGCGTACGCATTTGAGTTCAACCTCCCCCCTCCATCCGTACGTACTCAATGAATGGCCCCTTAATTCACATGGCCCGTGGTCACGATGGACATCTGTGTCTACTATACATCTGTTAACAATGAGCTCAAAATCTGCAAACAATATTCACCCGTGGAATTTGAAAAGTAAAAGCTGGATTTTGATTGCTGGGGGGAGAAGCCTTCATTCAGCAGCGGATTGATGATCGACGATCATAACGAAAGAAGTGGCAAACTTTCACAGACGTTCCCATCATTGGGCCCTGGCTGTGGTTGGTGGACCACCACGAGGCAGGAGTCCCACCGGTCTCAATATTTTACGTCGTTGCAGGAGCCACGACGCGTACCTGGGATCGGCGCCCGATTACGACTTCCCGCGTTACCGGCAGGCGGTGCACGACGCCACGCAGGCCTTCGCGGAGTCCTCGCGGCGTGCGCTGGTGGTGCAGGAGGAGCTGCGGGTAGCGGCTGGAGTTGGGTCGCCCGAGCGGGCCGAGCTGGTGGCTCACATCTCCCGCGTGCAGGATGCGGAGAAGGAAAAGCTCCAGCTGGTAGGCCGCTTGGTGACGTGCCCAGGCCAGACTTTTCACTTGTCGGTGCCGTCTGTGGTGGCATAATTTGCCACCCCAGCGGTTCCAATTTCCTTACGTGGCCAATGACAATACTGGCACGGTTGTCTACGTACGGTGCAAAAGAATGTCAACATAAATCCACTTGTATTACACTTTTGTGTACATTCACTGCCTCCTCTGCTCCTCTTCCCTCCCATCCCGTGGACCCTTGCCTCTTCTTCCACTTCACCGCCCTCTGCATCCACCACGATAAACGTCGTGTGTTAAACCACAGCCCTCGCCCGTTCCTCCCACCCGTGGCCGTCTCTCTGCCCACACAGACGGCGCAGCTTCAGCTGGCGAAACAGAGTGCGCTGGAGCACCTGGGAGAGGAGGCCTACGAAGATCAGGTCCACCTCTACAGGCAGAGGTGAGGAGGCTGGCGGCTGGTGTGAGGGTAATACGAGATAGAACCCTTGAGACCGCTTGAGGAGTCCGTGTGGCTCAGAGGTGGAATCGCCGCCGCCGCCGCCCCATTTGCATTCATGGAAAAATCGATTATTACTCACGCGATTCGATGCAATTTCCTGGCTCTTCCCTCCCTGCATTATCCAAGCTCTCCCTTTTATCTCACTCGACTCCCGTCCACGTGGTGTCCTACCTCTGCCCTCCACCACTCTCTTACCTTTCACCTCTCATCTTACTCTACTCCCGCCCATGGAATCTCTTCTTCATCGACCAAGGCTTCTGTCGAAGCCTCCAGACAACCCTTTGCTCAGTGGGAGGGTGACTCTCCTCTGCTAGCTGATGGGACTCTGCCTTCTCTCAGCCATCTGTGCTGTCGACTCCTTGCCCCTGTTCAAGTCCAGGTTCATGACTTCATTTTTTTCCCTCTGCCTATGACGACTTGATGACTCTCGCAATAAAATAATTAAACCCACTGTTTCTGTACAGCTTCTTGAGATACATCCACATTGTAATTTGTGCAGCTGTGTACTGATGGCCAATCGCAGGGAGTCCGAAATATTGAAGTCCCTCTTTAATGATCTCAACAGCTGTTTAATGTTCCCCCTCTGCAAACGCAGGCTGATGAAGGTGATGGAAAAAATCGGCGAGATCTTGGAAGACTTCAAGTACGACTCGGAAGACGTGGAATAGCGAGGATAGCGATATCGATCTCATGCTACGGCGATGGATGCTTTCGCTTGCTTTTCACCACGTTTTTAGTTATTGTTGACAAAGTTCAAAGCTCGTGTATAGAGAACTCGAACCCGGCCCGTGTATTCGGTGTGTGTAAAGTACTGAGGGTTCATCACCCTTAGCGATTCCATCAATCATCACCGGATTTGTAATTTGCGTTCGATAAGCTACATTTTTGTGTCTATTATTTACCGTCTTGTTCACATAATTGTCCCATTGATATCGGGTTTATTTTTGCTTAATTCACCTAAATATAACATCGGCCGTGGTCAGTCCACTGCTGGATGAAGGTCTCCTCCCCAAGCTGGCTGCCACCTCCCACGATCCTGTGACACAACAATCAACCCAGTGCCAGCACGTGAAGTGATTTCATCACTCCATCTCCCCCGGCGGGAATTGCCTCGGACGCATTACATTCTGTGGTTACAACTCCGATAAATGTCCCTTGAGAATATTTCCATTTCATTACAAAAACATAAAAAAGAACAGCGTAAGAAAATTTAAGACATACACTTACATTGACGCTAATAATGTAAACAAATGTCAAAATATCAACATTGGCAAATATTTTACATTTGAAGCTATCAATAGATTATTGCGTGCTTGATTCAATACGTGTTTCAAATGAGAGAAATAAAATATATTTACATTTTTATTTACATACCTAAAACACGGCGCGGTGGCAGTGGGTGGCCACGGGTGGGTGCATCTGCCGGTCACCTCCGTCAACCTGTAACACCTGGATTTGACCCGTGACCTCTTGCCAGCGGCGAGCCTACCACAGCTATCGAGGCCTCAAAGTGCACCTCGCCTGGCACAAGCGCTTTGGTGATGTCACGACTTTTTAGTGTAGAATGTCAGCTGTTGTGTATGTGGAGCAATTGGCTTATTCTGCCATGATGGCATTAACTTTGGTTTGATTTCCTTCTATGGATAACATCAATGACACGTGGATTCTGAGCATGTTCTGGGCCTCCCCTAGGTCGTCTCAGACTTAAAAGCACTGGGGAAGCAAAGGCAGTGTGTGGTAGTTCACGCTACCCCCCTCGTGTGCCAAACTGCCCTGAATAGGCGCTCACAAACATAACCTACCCCATATCTCTACAGCTGTAAAGGGATGTGTAAATACCTGTACGTGTTTCGTGTGTGTCTTTGTGTATAGCGAACTCTCTGTGAGCAGATTGTCCAGGTCTAAAAACATTAAAAACTTCTTCATGCCTCCTGGTTCATTATCTACCGCTCACTCGTGGACAGTCGGCGGGTGGGTGGACTTCAGTGCACGGGTGAGCAGAGGCACGAAGCAACGAAAGCAGATTGCGCATTGGAAAAATCTTGGACACCTCGCGATTCCATGTTCTCCGGCTGGTGCGTCTTATAATCCGGTATTCTTATCATACGGCTGATGTAGATGCAGAGCAACGACAATTTCACGCTCAAGCCAGACAACCGACAGCCACGCGACTGTGTGATTGTGTCCGACAAACTTTTTTGATACTGGCCCGAAAGTTTTGTGGCGCGTTTTATGACGTGGCTTGAAAGGCTTTATTACCAATTTTTGGCATCATTATACAAATGCAGTGATAGGCTGTCGTTGGCTCAGATCTTTGGTTGGGGGGGGGGCGCCGGGGCAGATGAAAGTGGGAGGGCAAGGTGGGGGGGAGAAGTAGGGTGTGAATCTTATAAGAACTGGTGCTGTTCCCACCTGAAATTCGTCACTTTTTAAAAGTATTTTTGTTTACTTTCAAATCGTTTCTTAACTTTTTTTAATACATTAATAATGTTGAAAGCAATGCTGCATATATTCTATTGAGGGAAAATGTGAGGTGTAAATATATACACGCAAAGCCGCCGCTGATGAAAGGCCATTCGTCACAGCACGGCAAATCGTGAAGAATACAAACCGAACTTTTGGTCATCTGGACTCCCAAGTTATTTGGTTTGCATTTTTTAACCCCCTGCTCTACCACTAGGGGGCGCCCTCGTCACTAGGGGGCGCCCTCGTCACTAGGGGGCGTCCTCGTCACTAGGGGGCGCCCTCGTTACTAGGGGGCGCTCTCGTCACTAGGGGGCGCCCTCACCACTAGGGGGCGCCCTCACCACTAGGGGGCGCCCTCGTCACTAGGGGGCGCCCTCGTCACCAGGGGGCGCTCTCGTCACTAGGGGCGCCCTCGTCACTAGGGGGCGCTCTCGTCACTAGGGGGCGCCCTCGTCACTAGGGGGCGCCCTCACCACTAGGGGGCGCTCTCGTCACTAGGGGGCGCTCTCGTCACTAGGGGGCGCCCTCGTCACTAGGGGGCGCTCTCGTCACTAGGGGGCGTCCTCGTCACTAGGGGCGCTCTCGTCACTAGGGGGCGCTCTCGTCACGAGGGGGCGCCCTCGTCACTAGGGGGCGTCCTCGTCACTAGGGGCGCCCTCGTCACTAGGGGGCGCCCTCGTCACTAGGGGGCGCTCTCGTCACTAGGGGGCGCCCTCACCACTAGGGGGCGTCCTCGTCACTAGGGGCGCCCTCGTCACTAGGGGGCGCCCTCGTCACTAGGGGGCGCCCTCACCACTAGGGGGCGCCCTCGTCACTAGGGGGCGCTCTCGTCACTAGGGGCGCCCTCGTCACTAGGGAGCGCCCTCGTCACTAGGGGGCGCCCTCGTCACTAGGGGGCGCCCTCACCACTAGGGGGCGCCCTCGTCACTAGGGGGCGCCCTCGTCACTAAAAAGCGCCCTCGTCACTAGGGGGCGCTCTCGTCACTAGGGGGCGTCCTCGTCACTAGGGGCGCCCTCGTCACTAGGGGGCGCCCTCGTCACTAGGGGGCGCCCTCACCACTAGGGGGCGCCCTCGTCACTAGGGGGCGATCTCGTCACTTGGGGGCGGCCTCGTCACTAAGGGGCGCTCAGACTTTAAAGTCTGATTTTCCTGCAATTAAACGACTTCGCACCAGGTTTGCTACGTTTCAGCTGTTGTGTTCACGGCACAATCCGGCAATGATGACAGAAACGCCTTTAAACACGGTAAAATCGGAGCATCCCACCAGCAAAAGGGTTCTCTTGTTGGAAAATGCCATTTAAGTCGCTCTCAATTTATTAGGCCCTCATGGCTTGTCTCAGTCTGGCAAAGGGGCTATAGTCCCTTTTTAGTTTTTCTGGCCAGTTACTGCGTCGCACGCATTCAGATGCACTCATGCGGCCGTCTGGAACGCTCTTCTTTTTGATATTCGGAAGCCACTGGAGTTCTGCACTTTTAAATCTAGATTCAAACCCCCTTTCGTTTAGAACTTATTTTTGTGTTTACTTTGCCGTCCTTCCCACCTCCGATTAGTACGGTTGGCTACATAGGATGCGAAAGAAGTTCAATGTACATACACAGTTACACCCACCATGCTCTGGCCTTTTCAATGGCAGCAGCCCATTGCTGCAACACCCTCAGACAGGTCACACCCCCCCCCCTCGCCCCTTATGGGTACACCTCACCTTGCTGGTGCAGGCAGGAAATGCCCAACGATTTCTGAGGTCGCTCGGTAACCGCTGGCCCCAGAGGTCTCGTGGCCGGCGCCTCACCACGCAATACACGACAGGCCGCCAAGGCCTGACCACGTGACCAAGGCGACACGGCTCGTCTGCCCGGTCTCTCCCGGGGACCTGGCCACAGCAGCGGTGCCAGTGCCTGCCCAGCACAGCCACCGGACCGATTCTCCGGACCAACCGTGGTTATAGGGGGCACTTCATACCCACGAGGTATATATGGTGGCTCTCGCTTTGCACGCTTTTCTTCTTTGACAAGAGCCATTAGGCGCCAACTGCTCTGGATACACTTTGTCCCGTACCTTAAAGAACCACGGAATCATGAGCGCAAATCCAATAACTTCAGAGTTGCTCCGCACGCCTCACATTCTGAAAAACATACGGCCACGCTCTAATTCTGAGTGGCCACTAGCGATTTACTTTTTCAAATAAAATGTCTCACGTTAAAAAGTCCCCATGCAGACTGCTCAAGTATTTAGTTTAAACTAAACACGTGGTGATTTGAGTCATGGACATTCAAACGTCCTGTTCAAACAATTGTGGGTATTTATGAACCTTCACAAATGATACAAGCACCAGCAGCTCTAAAGCACTGTCGGCCCCAGCCAAGTACACTCACATTCAAAATGAAGAGAACACGTGTGTAAGGGACTAGCCCCGACCCCCCTGGGGAAGCCCCCACCACCCAACATCAATGTATTGATACCGTGTAGTTTTCTGGGTGCCCGCCACAGGCTCGTGTCCATATGTACGTAGTTGGGAGTGTGTGGGTAACCGCTGTATTAACAAGCACAGGCCACACTTAAGACATGCTCACAAAGACAAATATCCCCATATAGTCTTAACCGTTGGGGAAAGTGCCGATAGTAGCGCCTATGAAGGCCAGCATGCTACACGAGTGGCCAGCACCATGCCGGGTAATATTTACACACCGCACTGGGTACTACTTTGAGGCCGAGCAGATCTAAGGGAGGCCCAGGATAGTCAAATATATTCGCTATTAGTCATTGGTGGGAATCCAACTTGGGTTGCTGGGTTCACAGCGCTGTGCGCAAACCACTGCGTCACCGCTCCCCATGCTCACGCCCACACACGCAGACAACTCAATCTTATTTGGTTCTAGCTCTCTCAACATGAAGAGGGCAAATCCACTGAGCCTTGCCACACCGTGTTACGTTATGGGAAACCATACTTCACCACACTGGTCAGTACACAGGTTGGTGAAGCAGTTTATAGTTATGATTCATCACTGATGTTTGCGGCAAGGATTCAAACTCGGGTTTCTGTGTATTCGTTTGTGCAAATCAAGGCACGAGGGCAAACACGACCTTTTGCCCTAATCGCGCACATTGGGTACGAGTCAAGCGGCTCCCCTCTGTTTGAAGCTGTGGTCTGGCGCGACCAGCCAATCCTCCCTCGTTATGGCAAACCGGCCACTCACACGGAGCAGAAAACAAGTGTGAATACGACCAAGAGAAGGGTTTAAAATTTACTTTATTGACTCGTCTCCACATCGTCGTCGCACTTTTTGCTTGTTTGAATTTTTAATGTAAATTTTTTTTGCAGAGGAAGGGATCGGGGGAAGAGGTGGGAAAAAACACAAACGACTGAGCGATGGACTGCTAAGAGGAGGGGGGGGGGGTTCCCGATGACACGATTCTGGCGAGAGCCAAGAGAAGGGTTCAGGCCACAACAGCCAGCAGAAGGGGAGGTTCCCCCCCGCCGGCACGCTCACTCAACACTCCTAATCTCCTCGCGGGCCGACACTCACACCTCCTCGTTCTTGGAGGCCTCGTCAAAGTTCTCAACCAGATCTGCATGGGGACACGTGAACGACAAGCAAAACAATAAACGTAAATGGTCAGTTTATTATCCACTCATTCCCCCCTGCTGCCCCCGTAGTCTGAAACACCTTTCCTTCCCTACACTGCAGTCACCCATGCTGTCAGCTCCCTGGCTCTGCTCAAGTCCATGCTCAAGACCAGTGATGGGCAAACTGGACGAGTTAGTGGGCCACATGGGTGGCCCTCCCTCCTTCACCCCAGTGGGCCGCAAGCCTGACATCGGTGCTTGTGCACTCATCATGACCCCCCCCCCCACGCATCACCCTAGACACACCGAGACCAGGCCACCACGGGGAGGGGGCTCCATGGGACGTGGGTTGCCCACCACTGCCTCTTTCTTGCTCTCGAAACGTACGCGTTCGTTTCTGTCAACGGCCACGAGGACGAGTTGCGTTGAGACTGCTATCACGTTTTTTTTTCAGGGCATCTCAAGCCCCCAACCAGCCCGCACTCGATCAAAATAAATGCGAACAAAACACCACGGGAGGGGGGGGGGGGAAACAGGAGCTGCGGTTTACCTGGAACCTCGTCGTCTTCCTCCTCGTTCTCCTCGGGAACGGTGGGTGTTTTCGTTTCGAGGGCGGCTGCGGGAAACACGTGGAGGAGGGCGAAACGGCGAAATCACAAGACGCGACGACGGCAAGACACCGGGTCGTGCGAAAAACACGTGGCACGCAGTTTTAGTAGCGGCGTTCACACCGATTGGAAAGTTGTTTCCTGGCCAAATGAGTGTTGACGTGGTTGCTCATCTCCCGTACGGCCCTGCAGAGCCAGTGGTGGAAATTCCACGTTCCAGTGGCGGGGGCTAATTTCACGATAGGACTACTGACTTTCCCACAAAACGGTACTCATTTTATCAACTCCTGGAGTGAGGATGGGTACCACCCCCCCCCCCACCTAGGATTTTAACCCGATAATAAAACATCCACTTGTATTATCCTATTGGTGTCATATTCTTGGTGTCATATTCGTATTAGCATTCTCATCATCAACATCAGCCATCATCTATTCACCGCCAGATAAAGGCATCCCTATGTCATTCCCATCTCTCAACATCTCACTGGCAATATTCTCTAGAACTATCTAACTATTCGTGTCAGAAATTAATCCGTACAAGTATTCTATTAAGCGCCGTTCAATTGGTGTCATTATTAATATCAGTTATCTTGAAAGCATTACTATTGTATCAAGTTTTCTGTTTCTGTGTTGGCAAAGCGGTGCGCACAAGAAAAAAATAGCGGCGAGAAACTCTGCACACACCTGGCTTGGGCAACTGAGCGGCGAGCTTGCGCAGGCTGGACAGGCCCTCCATGCCCAGCTGGTTGAGCACGCCGGGCAGCATGTCGGCCAGGTGCTTGTTCTCGGCGTGGCCCGTCACGGCGAATGTGTTGGCCGTCACCGACGCCTGCACCTTGGGGTTGTTGAAATGGATGACCGTGCCGTCGTCCTTGAACATGTTCACCTGGTGGCAGTGACACGGGGGGGGGGGGGGGGGGGGGGTAGAGGAGGAGGAGACGAGGAGGAGTTGTCGTTGAGTTAGCGATTCGGCGATTGAAATAAGATCCGTACAGATTGTTGTTCATAACAATAAACGCAAGCCCATTAAAGCACGTTGCCAAGCTTAACTCAACGAGGTGACATCGTTCGCGGAAAACAATCAAATTAACCATTTAAGAGAAGGGATAAAGGATGGAGATAGGGGGGGGGGGGCCCTGCAGCCGTGTCAACATCACGACGGGGGGAGTGGGGGGGGGAGTGGATTTTTGAAAACAAAGACACTGCCCTGTCCGGGGCTGTCGCACACGCTAAATACATACTAACAAAGACATTCACGTGTGTGGCCGGCATCACGCAGACCGCCGTCTCAAAAAGAACTGAAACGCGTGGCCCATTTAGTCAGAGCCATCATCGCTACTCAAGACGAATGGAGGAAATGCGGCCGACCCAACGGGCGGCAGCGAAACACAGCCCACCGTACACGCAAAGCACACAACCTGCACCGTGCTGATATATCTATTTGTTTCCCGGCCTGCATTTAAAATTGTATCTGTCGCAACGGGGGTTTTCGCTCCGTTTCTATGCCGACAGTGGGCGCCCTCACCTCCTCGATGCCGTTGATGCTGTTCACAGCGAGCTTCTTCAGTGACGACTGCAGCTTCTTGTCGTCGGCTGTCGCTGTCCGGTGAACCACCTTCTTCTTCCGGCGTGCCGTGCCCTGCGCAAAACAACCAGGTGACAGGGTCAAACCTCGCCTCCTCCATCAACGCTCTTGTAATGGCTTGCCATGTTACGACCCTATATAAAGTGTCATCATTATCGCTGCTGCCATGGTTAATGTTCCCCGTAACCGTCAATCGTTGATTCCACCACCCATGCCGAGGACTGTCGACCAGACTGACCGATTTATCTCGACGATGCCGTGTTAATCCAGCACACTGCAGATTCCAACGTACCAACCCACTCACTCGCTTCGTCACCCACTAATTCTTCCAACTCACTCATTCACCCACTGACTCAATCACCCCTTCACCTAGTCACTCACCACACTTTGGAAGCCACCATCAATTTTCCAAAATTGTTAAAATAACATTGCTCAATTCGGGAAATGCATCACCTCTCATCTTACGTCTCTGATGGTGCGATTTGTTGTTGGCCGCGTGACATGTTGAGTCTCTCTAGACCTGTGCTAACAACTGCAATACAAAAAAACTCCACTGCTGAGTGACTGTTGGGGGCAAGGGGCCATTAGCGAGCAACTTGAAGGGCCGGCGTGGTGCGAGACGCATTGAAGGGTGTACCGTGACAAATCGGCACTGGGACACATTGGTGGATGGGGCCCAGCCACCCTGAGGTGCTCTGGTACTCATTAGCCGAGGGGCCACAGCCCCCTGTGAATGCCTTGGGACTCGCCAATGAATGGTTCACAGGCCCCATAAATGCCCTGGGACTCGTCAATGAATGGCTCACAGCACCCCGTGAATGCCCTGGGACTTGAATGGCCATACATGCAAAACACATTTTGCCCTAACAGCTTATATCACTGGAAATTAAAGGCTTTGCACATTGTAATGCGTTGCGTGGTCCATGGGGTAGGGCATGATTCTTCGTTAAGACTTCAATTAAGACCGGCAGCACTTCCTTACCTTGCCCCCAATTCGCACTTGAGCCTGCAACTTTGCAAGTTTTTCTTGATTCATGTTTTCTTTCATCTGTGGGGAAAAATAAGAGCCCACAAACACAATGGGTCAGATGGAGCATTTTAAAAACCAGCCGCACGGAAACCCTCGTACCTTCCCCAAACCTCACACACACACAATATTACAATCACACCATCGGAGTTTTCAGCCAGGGCCTGACATGAAGACGACGGGATGGGCCCCAGGATTCACAAGACTGGATCGGGTCAGCATGAAGAGACGGGAGAAGAAGGCGAGAGCGGTGGTGCTCATCTCAAGACGAGCGGAGAGAAAGTCAACTGAGACGGCCGGGACATTTTAGTTACGGTTAGCATTAGGCACCAGGGTGTAGACCGGAGAGGCACGCTTAGAAAGAAGCGGTGCTTCTAAGTGATGAGCTAGGACAAGACGTCGACGTGGATGCCGAGATGGCTGGCACCTATCGTACAGAGAGGAAACACAAAGAAATGATCGTGAAAGCGCCAGGGCGGAGGGGACTGGGAGGGAGGGCAAGGTTCCGGTCTCAATAATTAATATTTACAATTTCCGCAAATAATATGCAAATCACATGCTCATGTAACCTGTCGTTTAATTAAGCAAACAGAACTGTACAAACAAGATAAAGAACAGATTAAAACAACGCAACTCGTTAATCGTGACCATTTGTCGAATAGCTGATTGCGGGGGTTATAATCATTACTTTAATACACAAACTGGGCAAACATCCTGATGTAGCAGGGCCCTTATGGTGAAAAATGCATCACGAGACTCAGTGAAGCTTCCTCGGATAATAAAAATAATAATCAACATCTTCATTATGGTACCCAGGAAAGCCACACCGAATACCTAGTTCTACTGCAGTTTTGTTTCACACGCCTTTAGGAAACTGGAAAACCTGGTTCAACGCCAGCGCTTCTCGCATCCCGGCGATAAATCCTGCCAAGTTCTGTATCAACGCCTTATGTGGTTGGGAGAACCAAGACATACAACTTCCTCTCGAGGGCTATAAAATCCCTCGATAAAAGAAAACGGTGCAGCCCTGCAATTGCTTACTCACGCCGCTGCTGGTACACGTGCCTCGACTAGAGTGCTCTAGAGGACCTTTAGATGGTATTTTGGCCTATTCCTTCAAGCGGCAGAGACGTCTTGGACGACGTGAGGTGTACCCACACTTTACCCCACCACACGCAACCTCCCAGTTAACTGTGAACACCCCTTCTATAGTGCAGGGTGTGGACAGAGGTGGGGAGGTTTAAGAAACTTGTGGAATTGTTTGAATTTTGGCGCCGAGACATCGAACCGGCAACCTATATGTTTGCATCGCTCACCATCACACCCTGGGAAAATTCCAACTCTTCCCGTAGTAGGCATTTAACAAGGCAGGGATTAATAACGATCATTCTACTCATACGTGCATCAGAAATGGTTAAATGTAAAGGATCCGACGCTTATGATTTGTGCAAATTATACGCCGTTGCATTTATTTTAATCAAGGGCTCAGGCTCGATTAGCCACAAGGGATTAGCATCAAGGTCAAGGGTAGTGCCGTCCATCATGAACGCTTATTACACATTTTTTTGTTAATCCACTGCTGGATGAGGGGCCCCCCTCATATCCGTTGCCAACAATGGGGGTTCATTTGACTATACTTCCCCTGCCCCCCCCCCCATATGCCGAGCCGGTGCAGGTTGAAGGTATGGTGCGGAACACAGCCGTGGGCAGTGCAGCAACGTACACGGGCGCGCGGTGGACTCGACTTGCCTCCCCCTAGCCTCTGGCACCACGGGTGCACAGAAGTAACAAGGCAACAATGGAATTCGCTTCACGACCCTCCTCTGCCGCTCACACGGGGGCTTTGAAATTCCACTTCCAAATCATCAATTCTACCTTGGTCGACGCTAGCAATCGACCAAATCTTGTCTAAAAAACGGGCAGGGCCCCCCCCCCCCCCGTTCCCACGCAGGCAGCTATCGCTGTGGCCACAGCTGTGGTCGTTATTTCACAACGGGGTCGTCGATTTTCCCTCTCGATTTCCTTCTGCTCACGCCACGGGGCACGGTCACACGCTCGCGGCACCTGGCATCCGCCGTCAGGTCCTCCTCTCGCGTCTCTGCTGGTGGCGGACAGCTGCTGATGCTACTTGCTGGGCCGCTTGCTGTGCTGGCCATGCACAATTTGGTGTCGGATTCGGCAGAGGGAGCGCAAGCAGCTTGTTACGGAAACGGAGCGTTTTTTCGAACTTGGAGAATTGTTTATGACCCGAGTGCGCGGAGGAGTGTAGCGCTAATCCCGGTTTTGTATGGCGCCGGGAGAATGAGACTGTTCATTCGCCATCGTTCAGAATTTAATATAGATACGGTGGAGTGGGGCCGTGGCGGTTATCACGCTGCATTGCGAAGATAAGCGAACGACCCGAGTTCGATTCCCGGTCACAGCCCACATCAAGTAGTGTACAATGTGAACCGGTGCCGCTCATGTTCACCAACCAACAGTGTGACCAGCGTGGCGAGGTATGGTCAAACGATCCCCAAGACAAAAATGCCATCAGGTCTTCATCCACCAGTGGATTGACCAAGGGCTGTAACATTATTAGGTGAGCTCATATAGCCTCTCCCCCCCCCCAAGAATGAAAGGATATGTTGCTTACATCAGAACTGTGGTTATATAAGCATGTGCTTATTCCCAGCTGATTTTGTAATGATCGTATGTTCAGTAACATTTAATTTTAAATTGTTACCTACTTATTAACCTTCATGGCATTTTGTAAAAGGGGTAAACAATATGAATTACAAATAAGCAATCTTCGTTAACGAAACTAATTATTTGGACAGCTTTTCTATACGCAGTATACTCGTGACGCAGTGAATGAGCAAATGGAAAAAAATATATATTTTTTAACTCTTAACCGGAAACCCCAGTGAATAAACACGCGCACACATCGGCGAGGAACTGGTCTCAACATCCCAATCATCGACATCCATCAGAGGCTTCACAACACTAACAGGTTTTTTTTCCTGATCAAAGACAATTTCCTTTCTCAATGAGCACAAGCAAACTCACCAATGAGCAACATCAGCAAATCTCACGAAACCTAGGAAAGCAAGCAGGAATTTGACCTGGGTAGTGATTGGATGGTGATATCGCCACCATCATGCCTAAAACTGGTGCTTTCGGGGCTGTGTTAGGACCAGTGTGGTGAAGTATGGTTAAACTACCACAATCGGCATAGCGTCGGGAGGCCATCAAATCCAACAGAGGACTAACAAAGCAGGCTGTACGTGTACACGCACACTCAATGCGACACCTAACAAGACACAGCGACTAATTACACCCTTTGTTAACGAAAGCAGTCGTTATAAGATTAGTGTGACAGAGTCCCATAATACAACCACCCACCCACAACCCCCCAAAAGCTGAACTACAACTTTTTGTTGTTGTTGCAATACTGCATTTGCGCAAATCACACAAACTCTACACGTTTGTTAAAAACACCGCCCTCAAAGAAAAATAATATAGTTCTGGCTTGCGGAGGCCTTCACTAAGCAGTGGAATGATCGTGGTTGACGATGAAAAGAAAAACATTTACACGCAAAGTTTTCGGCAAAGGCTCTCTTAAATGTATACATCCCCCCCCCCCCTTTTGGGGCAATGTAATTTGACAAGCGTGTCGAGTTCTTTCGTGCCCAATGCACGGTTTAGACGAGATGCCAACATCACAAAGTGACGCTGAACACACGCCAATGCGAACAACAACAACAACCAGTGTGTGTTGTAACAAGGGGGGGGGAGGATGGGGGTCATTATAAACACAAACTGGGGCAGAGGCTTGGGCCTGTTGTGACCACTGGCGGCGTGTGCGCGCACGCCCCCGGTGTCTTTCACCATTCCTCAGCCGGGGTTTTAAAAGAAAAAAATAGACCACCGGCAGATTCTCCGCCGTGTTGATTCCACGGCCCCCTTTTCGTCGATCCACCGCTGGACGAGGGGTCTTATATCGTGGGTTATCAGACCATACACCGAGGCATTGGGCAGCACAGAAATGGATGTCGTTGCACTGCAATCTCTCAAGCCCCACGACAACCTGTGGTCAATCCATCCCAGGCACAATCCAAGCCTCAGACCCGCTTAGCTTCAAAAATGTGATTTAAAAAAAAACTGGGCACACTCTGGACGATTTGGACACATAGGTGGGTGGGTGCGAGTTGTCAACAATCCAATGCCACACTGTAAAACTGGGTCTCTCTTCCTGCGGCAACGCAATACGTTTGACCACTGCTACGGATGCTGTTAACAGCAAGCATAGCAGCTAGCGATCGCGCGTCATACAGCAATGTGTGATGACTAATGCACGATTATATTATCGCACGCCAAAATTGCGTGCGTTTAGTTGGTGGAATTATATTTATCCAAGCAAGCTTAGCATCGTCTCAAGACTTGGAGGGGTCCTGCTACATGAGGTAAGGGGGGCGGGTAATGCCACCACTTCCAAGGCATTTGGCCAGTGTGGAAGAGTAGGCCAAAAACCCTCTTGAGTGACTCAGACCCCCCCACCCCCCTCTAGTGGAGGACCCTTCTACCAGCAGTCCTATCACATTTTACACGCTTTCTTGGAAGGGTTGGCCACTTACATGGAGGAATTTCCTAATCAATTGGGGGCCATGTCAAAGTATAGTAGAGACTAAGCCCAGTAAAAAATACGTGACGGTCCTGATTGTTCGAGAATAACTGCGTCACATCCACAGACGATGAAGCAGGGTACGTAACGTTGTTCTACAAGAAGACCATGGTCGCGGAAGCCCCTGCCACCCGAATTTGATTCACTAGCTGCGACGAAGCATCCCAAACCGATCAGTACCTAACCTCCCCTCGACTCCGCCGGGCATGGGATATCCCATCCAAAATCACTGACAAGCATGATGTGAAAATAAGGTCAAACAACCCCCCTCTCCAGATATGTTCATATGATATTATTTACGTATACGTGTACGCCAGTCCCAGATAATCGTCGTACAAGCTCGAACATGTCGCAATATCGTTCCACGTTAGCCACGCGGTTCGCGGCCCGCCGAGCCTAACCACGTGCTGCCTTCTACCCCACCGTAACAGCGCCTCGATTCCATTTACGCGACCCAATGATCCATTGACCTTGACCCGAGGCTGCAGCCTTGACCCCCCAAAACCATCCGAACGGTAAACAGAAGCGCTCGGTTACATAATTGTTGTTGTTTTACCTTGACCGCAATATTAACGGGAGACACGGGCAACACGGAACGAGCATGTTGGCATCAAGAGATCGCAAGTGGCTGTAAGGCACACGCGTCTCGCCAGAATGGACGATTCGGTGTGGTGGTAGACACTTAACAACGGGGTAAGAGTCCAGACGGAGGTGGTGGTGGATACGCAGAGGTGTAGTAAATCAGCTTTGCTTGTGCGTGTGTGTGCGTGTGCTTGCTGGAGCCATGGTGGGGCTGTGTGGAACGTCGCGAGGTGGCGAGAGATGGCGACGGCGTGGAGGCGTTTTTAAAGGGGCGCAATGCGCAGTTGGGCTGCCGATGATGGAGCGCGCATCGCTAATATAGCAGTGGATAGACCACGGCTGATGAAGATGAACAGGGAGGTCTTAAATCTAACAGTGGATAGACCACGGCTGATGAAGATGAACAAGGAGGCCGTAAACCTAACAGTGGATAGATCACGGCTGATGAAGACGAACAGGATGGTCTTAAACCTAACAGTGGATAGACCACGGCTGATGAAGATGAACAGGATGGTCTTAAATCTAACAGTGGATAGACCACGGCTGATGAAGATGAACAGGGGGGTCTTAAATCTAACAGTGGATAGACCACGGCTGATGAAGATGAACAGGGGGGGTCTTAAACCTAACAGTGGATAGACCACGGCTGATAAAGACGAACAGGATGTACCTAAATCTAACAGTTGATAGACCACGGCTGATGAAGACGAACAGGGGGGGTCTTAAACCTAACAGTGGATAGACCACGGCTGATAAAGACGGACAGGATGTACCTAAACCTAACAGTGGATAGACCACGGCTGATAAAGACGAACAGGATGTACCTAAATCTAACAGTTGATAGACCACGGCTGATGAAGACAAACGGGGGGCCTTAAACCTAACAGTGGATAGATCACGGCTCGTGATAGGTGAACACGTGAATTGCGATTAAATTATTGAAGACTGTAAACGTATTTGTAATCGATTACCAAACGAAAGCAAGGACGATTAACCGATGGAAATTACACCAATTAATCTTAACAGTTATAAAGCATGCTCACAAATAAAATTTCACATTTACAGCACGCGACCGTCCATAACCAGAACGTGGTAATTATGAACTTAACACGAGAAGGGAAAAAAAAAATTCGTTAAAAGTCCCAACAAATCGCAATAAACTGTTACTGAAAAGCCTGAACACGAAGGCCGCTGCGCGACTCTCAACAATAACACCGCGCGATGGCTCGGTCGATATTCAGCACCAACACAACACACACGCGACGCTACAGTGTGGGGGAGCAGGGGTGGCGGGTGGTGTGGGGGTAGGCCGTCGAGGTGCTATCGTAACGAAGAGAGTGAGAAGAAGAAGAATAATAATGTACAACAATCGTGTAGAACGTCAAATAAGAAGCGAGAGAACCGATGCCGACCTGAGACACACGCGGCTGGGGATGAAGGGGGGCCCAGAAACACGAGGCGCGCAAAATGGCAGCGGAGCCCCGGGGGGAGGGGCGGGGGGAGGGGGAGGGAGGGGGCGGCCCCGCCCATGAATGGACGCCAACCCGCCCGCCATCTTACGTAGGGGCGGTGGGGGGGGCGCGGCGCTGAGACTGTAGAGTCTTCGTTACATATTCTTGGTTCTTTGGGTAAAGTCACTTAAGAAGGGAAACAATAGAATCATAAAAAAATATTAAACAATGAAATTCTCGCGACGTTTCGACTGCAACGCAAGCAATCATCATCAACAGATGTGAAAACCACAGCAAGAAAAAATTTCCCTGCAGTCACGAAAGCTTTAAAAATCAGACTTAATTTCATAAAGGGGCCGTCCATAAATGACGTCACGCATCTAGGTGGGGAGGGGGGGTCAGACATTTGTGACGATGTGTGACGGGGGGGGGGGTGAGAAATGTGACGTCACATCAAAATGCGCAACTTTAAATAAATATAGACAACACGTTCCACTTAATTAAATCGACTTTTTAATAAATGTTTTCTCCTACAACATCAGAGTGCAGCGGAACATTAAATACGCACTACAATGGCAATAGTTTAAAGCGATTTGAAGCATGTTTTATATATTTTTATATTTTTTTTGGGGGGGGGGGCAGAGCTTTGTGACGTCATATTTGAGGGGGTCTGATTTTTTGTGACGCCGTGTGACGATGGGGGGGGGGATCATAAATCGTCAAAAATCGCGTGACGTCATTTATGGACGCCCCCTAAGTACAGGGGACTCCTCTTTCCTCCTGATGACGATGGCTTGTGTTGTGATCGAAACGTCGTAGTTTTTGGTTATTTTCTTTGAACCATCTCCGTGACTTTACCGAAAGACCCAAAGAATATGGGACTTCTCTACTTACGAACAACTCCTCTATTTACGGCTAATTAATTGACGAACGTCTCCTCTACTTACGGCGCATCTACTTACGACTCATACTTACGAACGCCTCCTCAAGTTACGACTCATCTACTTCCTACCGACGCCTCTACTTATGATTCCTCAACTTACGAACGACTCCTCTCCGTACGGCTCCCCTACTTATGAGCTGTCCCGGAGGTCTGTTCGTAAGTCGATGTGTTCTTTACTCCCTGTTGATTGCAAACACGTTGCACGGCGTGTGCACTTAACACGGGGAATGGCTAAAAAATGTACGGTCTGCTGCAGATGTAGATGCCACTGGTTCTTCACGTTCTGTAGATGTAGATGCCACTGGTTCTTCACGTTCTGTAGATGTAGATGCCACTGGTTCTTCACGTTCTGCAGATGTAGATGCCACTGGTTCTTCACGTTCTGCAGATGTAGATGCCACTGGTTCTTCATGTTCTGTAAATGTAGATGCCACTGGTTCTGCACGTCCTGTGGATGGAGATGCCACTGGTTCTTCACGTCCTGTGGATGGAGATGCCACTGGTTCTTCACGTTCTGTAGATGTAGATGCCACTGGTTCTTCACGTCCTGTGGATGGAGATGCCACCGGTTCTTCATGTTCTGTAAATGTAGATGCCACTGGTTCTTCACGTCCTGTGGATGGAGATGCCACCAGTTTTTCACGTTCTGCAGATGGAGATGCCACTGGTTCTTTACGTTCTGCAGATGGAGATGCCACTGGTTCTTTACGTTCTGCAGATGTAGATGCCACTGGTTCTTCACGTTCTACAGATGTAGATGCCACTGGTTCTTCACGCTCTGCAGATGTAGATGCCACTGGTTCTTCACGCTCTGCAGATGTAGATGCCACTGGTTCTGCACGTTCTGCAGATATAGATGCCACTGATTCTTCACGCTCTACAGATGGAGATGCCACTGGTTCTTCACGTTCTGCAGATGTAGATGCCACTGGTTCTTCACGTTCTGCAGATGTAGATGCCACTGGTTCTTCACGTCCTATGGAGATGTCACCGGTTCTTCACGTTCTGCAGATGTAGATGCCACTGGTTCTTCACGCTCTGCAGATGTAGATGCCACTGGTTCTTCACGTTCTGCAGATATAGATGCCACTGATTCTTCACGCTCTACAGATGTAGATGCCACTGGTTCTTCATGTTCTGTAGATGTAGATGCCACCAACGCCATCTATTGTGCGGCGGTCGAACTTAGGACTCTCGGTCTGAATAGTCAACTGGACATATGGACAGGTTTGTTCATATCTCTAAAAGTTCGTAAGTGGAATGCTCATAACTAGAGGAATTCCTGTAGAGGTTTTTTTTGGGTGAGATCACGTAAATATAAATGTGTCGTTACACCCGTCACCACCCAACACACAGCCAATTAGTAGGATTTGTCACGTGAACCAAACATGGCAATTCGTTACTCATTCAGCACATCGATGTATACCCACGACATTTATAATTCGAGTACGACGTTTCGACAGTAATTACAACTAGCATTGGCCCATGGTCCACACTAAAACCGCATCCGCTCACGAACCATGGCAGCAGATGAGGATACCTGATGCACAAATGGAAAATAAATAAAAACTCTCCAGTAGCGTGCGACTGTGGTCATCCAGAACAGACAGTAGAACGTATATACCGACGCAATACCCGGATCCACAAATACGAAGGAGACATCACAGCGACAGACTACTCTGCTACTCTTGACGTGGTTATTCTGGCATGACCACCTGAATGTGAAATTGTAGTTGTGGCTCCACATTTGCATCAGCCATATGATGGAATATCACCACCTGAATGTGAAATTATCGTTGTTAGCTCTGCATCTACATCAGCCATACGAAATAATATCACCACCTGAGTGTGAAATTGTAGCTCTGCATCGACATCGGCCAAGGGAACGTGGAGTGGGCTTCCCCTGAGCAATATGGCCGCCGCGGAAGCACGCGTCGAGATGTGATGACGGTGACTGACTGATAGCAGATTTACGATTGCACAAAAAGAGACGTCGAATTATTTACTCAACGATTTAACTCAATAAATGTATTGTTATCTTTTGTGTATATATACAATCGCGTGTTCGATGCGTGGTGTTACTTGAATGGTACTGAAATGATGGTTGGGTCCAGGGAGGGGTCATTTTGATGCGGGTTTCATTGACCTCACTGAAACGTCCATAACGCAATGTGCAAGCTATTTTTATTTATTTTATTTTCAATGCAAATTAGTGGATACAAAACATTCCTAAATTATGTAGGGTTCTTACATAATCTGTTACGCGATAACTACTACTACGAAACGATTAATGTGCCAATTTAAAAGTTGTTTATCGGGAAACATTTGCCTTAAGTGTTACCCAGATTATTTTTTTCCATTTTAAAGCCAGTGTCATTCACGAACGCGTCGATGATTATGGAATTGAGCGGTTGCTTAATTTTCGTAAGAAAAAATCTCATCCCAATTAATCGATTGCATCATCAGCCATGGTCGATCCACAGCTGGATGAACGATTCTCCAATCTGCCACCGCCTCTCAAAGAGATTTCAACACGCCACAGGTCTCGTTGTAATTGTCTCTGAAATATGTTGCTGGACAAACACACGTGCTTATTATTCTTCTTTGGTTCTTTCGGTAAAGTCACGTAGAATGAGAATAAAATAATAAAATAGCACAATAAAATTCTCACGACGTTTCGGCCACAACGCAAGCGGCCATCTTCAGGTGAAAGGAACAGACCTGTCGGGACGACAGAGCTTCAATGAACGATGTTAAGATTCGTAGCGACTTTTAAGCTGGTTGGGAGAAGTGAGGCACCTTGACAAAGGGGGTTTACATATCAAATAGTTAAGCGATTAGCTTGTGACTGGTAATGGAAATGGCTATGTTAAAGTCGAAACCTACACATCCACAGAGGCAACTTGTAATTTAGCATTGAAATACATAAGGGATTAGCTTGTGCAAATAGCTGAGGGATTAGCTTGTGACTGGTCACGGAAATGGCTATGTTAAAGTCAAAACCTACACATCCACAGAGGCAACTAGTAATTTAGCATTGATGTGTAGGTTTTGACTTTAACATAGCCATTTCTGTGACCAGTCACAAGTTAATCCCTCAGCTATTTGATATGTAAATCCCCTTTGTCAAGGTGCCTCACTTCTCCCAACCAGCTTAAAAGACGCTACGAATCTTAACATCGTTCATTGAAGCTCTGTCGTCCCGACAGGTCTGTTCCTTTCACCTGAAGACGGCCGCTTGCGTTGTGGCCGAAACGTCGTGAGAATTTTATTGTGTTATTTTATTATTTTATTCTCATTCTACGTGACTTTACCGAAAGAACCAAAGAAGATGAATCCTTGCAGTCACGAAAGCTTTAAATCGAAAAGTGCTTATTATTGTTCATTTAGGCACGCCATTTATATAAGCGACCTGGATATCGCTAAATGACAGCTCGACCATTGCTTTTATGGCTTTATTTTGGTGATTTCTAAAAGTTTTTTGGTTTGGCCATGTTTGTTTGTTGTAGTACGGAGTTAAACTGATGGCCTTAATCTAAGTTTTCTTGTGGTTGTTGTTGTTGTTTGACTTGCATCCCACTGGGATTTTTGCACACAGCGTTGGTGTACGGTGCTTTTTTCCGGAATATTTTGATGTTTTTTTCCTGGATTTTCTGTTTGCACAGTCACATAGTCACTTTAACATGTTTTCTTGTTCATGTTTATTGTTTGTTGCGGTTGCACCCGATTCAAAAGCCGAATGGCTCACATGGCTATGCCAAAATAAATGAAACTGAAAAACTGAAACTGAAACCAAGTGGCTTATCGTAACGTGGATATTTATAGCAGCCAAATAACTCTAAACGCGTGATGTTGTTTCCAAATGTGGAGGTGGAAAACCGGAGGACCTGGAGAGAAAATAAAATCCACGCGACCACGGGCAGAACATGCAAACTCCAAATATACAGGCATTGTCTGGATCGAACCCACGACCTCCTGTATACCAGGCGAGGGAGTTAACATCTCCTAGCCACCGTGGAACCACGGTAGTTAACATCTTACTCAAATTATTGCAGATGTTCGAAGATTGTGTGCTGTGTTCAGGTTGTTAGGTAATAACGTGCTCTATGCCACACCGTTTCTGTACGGCGTCTCGAGGTGCGGTCGCATCTGGATGTCAAATAAATCCACACCGCATCGTGCCGGGGAGAAATGTGAAAGGGGCCGTCCATAAATGACGTCACGCACCTAGGGGGGGGTCAGACATTTGTGACGATGCGTGACGAGGGGGGGGGAGTTTGAGAAATGTGACGTCACATCAAAAAATGCGCAACTTTAAATAAATAATTAAATAGCCTTTTTATAGATGTTTTCTCCTACAACATCAGAGTGCAGCGCCACATTAAATACGCACTACAATGACAATAGTTTAAAGCGCTTTGAAGCATGTTTTATTTTTTGGGGGGGCAGAGCTTTGTGACGTCATATTTGAGGGGGGGGTCTGACTTTTTGTGACGCCGTGTGACGAAAGGGGGGGAGGAATCAAAAATCGTCCAAATTCGCGTGACGTCATTTATGGACGGCCCCAAAGCAACACAGGGTGTTGTCCAATCGTACGGCCACCGCCGGAGATGGAGCGATGAAATGAACTCGCGTGTGGAGATCGACACGGAACACGTTGCATCGTGGGACTGTGATGGGTGGCAGCGGCGGCGGCGGTGGCTTGGTGAGGCCTTCATCCAGCAGCGGAGAGACGCGATGATGACGTATGAATGCGACCTGGGTGGTTAATCGCACGATTGATAGGACCACAACCAACATTGTAACAAAAGCATTTTATTGGAAACATATGTTTGCGAAATAACAGTGCACGCAATTATGCTGCTGACATCACCTTACACGAGTCCCATCACTGACAGGCCGATAACACACACACACACACAAAAAACAAATAGCTCTCATCTCGTAGCTCGCTACACACACCTAGGCTGTGTGTCCCGGGGGGTCCCCACGCGAAATCGAATCTTCACTGTCGAGGGGGAACAAAGAATACTTTCCAGTCCATGGCCTCGTGACTTCGGCAGTGACATAAAAAATATCGTGGAGCGTTTACGTTCGGCAAGTTGACAGCGTAAGCCCGGTCACCAATGACTGCACACCAAATTAAATTTGGCTCCGGCACTTCAATTTGACTTAAGTTCCAGGTCTGAAAATTAAACATTGCCACGTGACAAACGTTACTCCCTGTGGCAGGGGGTTGGTGGGAAAGGTCGCCTGCTGTTCTACTGTGTGGACCAGAGGACGTGAGAATGGATCTCAGAGGTAGTTGCGTGACATCCGCTTCTGTGGACCGTTACCCTCCAGCACGACAGGGCCGGACTGTTGCTCCGCGCGAGATCCCGATCGATTCTTCGTCACGATACACAAAGCCGATGGCACAATCAGGGGAACAAAGCGGGTGCCTATATTCGTAACAATCAAATAAATGTATGTGGCACACTGTATTGACGTAACAAGAGTGCACTAACGATTGACCTAACCGAGCCTTTTGAAGTATTTTTCACCGAGAACGATGCTTAAACCTCTTGTCATATAGCCCGGCACACACAGCCCGCTCAGCTGTGCATCTAACAAAGGAATGACTTTCAGATAATAATAAGAATAAAAAAAAATCTTATCATTTGGAATTTTAAGGACTTGGGATCTTCTTTTTCGGAGTTTTGAATCATTTACATTTTAATGTAACGCATCTCTGCTCAGAAAAGCTACACGACCCGACGCTACAGGATCCCCGCGGACTTGACGCCATCGAAGTGGCTCAGCGCCCACGTAATTTAACACAGTAGTACAAGGGCGGCCATTGCTGAGTACAGGCGCACAGGTGTGAACTTGCAGGTGTTCAACCCATACCTGTACACGGACAAAACAGTACCGAAATAAGTACAACGCTGAATATCCGACCGTAACACCCTCCCCCCCCATGACCAATTAACCGCCCCCGCCCAGTGAAGTATTTGCACGTGGTGCAGTTGCCAGATGATAAAATATCTGACCTTTTCACATATCCGCCTATGCCTCATTACCAAGTGAGTCGGATGTGACGTTGCACTGCAACAGTAATAATAGTCACAATACACGTCGGTGTCCCACTGCTCAAACGAGCAGTATTGGGCGACATCCCCGTTTCTGGGCCCTGGGCCAACGGCGGAAATTCCACATTACCACGGCAAGGGCAGCTTTGTCCGCAGGACGATTGCCGTGGATGGACAATCATCAATATCACATGAACAGTGCAAATGTGTTGATTTTTTTTCACTCATCTTGAATACATACGTTGGTTACCTAGAAGAAATGATTTGCGATTGCCCAGTGACCAAATCACCAGGAATGCACACAGATCTCGCAAGAACTCAGAAGCTAAGTAGAGTTGAGCCTGGATAGGGCTTGGATGGGTAATCACCACCACCACCACGTATAACAGGTTGTCATAGTGCTGTAAGGCTAGGAGGTGGCCAGCAGAGGACAGCACCGCAACATCGATGCTTCCACGTCTTATGCCCTTCACCTTCACCAACCCACACTGACCAGCGTGGCAAAGTATGGTCAAACAACCCCCATGACTGACAGTTCTTTTTTGGGTTGAGGGGGGGCACCATCCAGCAGTGGATTAACAGAAGGGCTGTACATGCTGATGGTGGTTAGGTTCAGGAGAACATGCAGCAATGGGTGGATCAAGGTCTGCGATGGTGATTTGGTTCACAATAAGTCTCCACCATACGTTAGCACCTTCCAATCAAAGAGGCTAAACTCAATAATTAATTGTCTGCGTGCATGCTTTTTGGTGTGTCGCTTAATACGCAAACTATGGCTTCGATGCAAACACAGGCACGTGGCAAATCCACAAACGTGTTTAAAAGATACAAATAATAATAAAAGAGGAACCTCGCTGCGCATTGATCAACAACATTGATACTTGGCGATAGCCAACGGAATGTTTTGGCAAGAACCTGCAAACGGTTGCTTAAAAACTCTTTCAAGGTTAATTACAAAGTGTAATTGTTTATTAGACCCAAGCCAAGATCAAATGTCCCAGAATGCACCCGATCTTATCAGAATTCAGAAGCTAAGCAAGGCTTGAGCTTGGAAAGTGCTTGGATGGGCGACCACCATGTATAGGCCTGTTGCTGTGCGGCCACGTTGTCAGCGGCTCGCGGTGCAGCAAAATCCACTCTTGCACTATATTATGCTCCAACATCTATGCCCCCTGCACCACCAACCGAAAACGACCAGCGTGGTGTGGAAGCAACGGTCAAGCGACCTCCGACGGCCGATGCAGTGTTCGGTGAGGCCCCCCCCCATGCAGGGGCGGATTAAACAAAGGCCTCTGAATAATAAATTTGCTCTGTTGTTACACTTAAAAGTGTTATCATTTAAGGGCGTTAACAAAAAAAAAACCTCAGCGTTTTAATGCAAGAGGGACACCGATAAAAATCCTAATCTCATTTCCCTAAAGCATTGGCAATCACGCACACAAAACAGCCGCCATAAATACTGCAACGAGGCTTTCGTGCGAAAACAAAACCACGTCGACGCAATCTTTGTGCAAAGGTAAGTTCCGCCCGTGCAGAAAAAAAAACACAGCCAAGGCCTCGGGGGCGGACAGCCTGCCCGACGCTTGCGGCCCGTTACGCGAGGCGACTGGCGGTGTCCACATTCAGATCGCTCCAGTGTAAATGAAGGCAGCGGTTAAACGCTCGAGTAAAATCCTGAGGAGCCATGCCTTGAAACCGCGGGCCCACCCCCCGCCGCCCCACGCACGCTCCCCACATTCCCCCTGCCGTGGCGCTGTCGCTGCGATGAATACCCGGCAGTGGCGCTAACGACAAGTCCCCGGTGTCGTCGCCGCCGTATCACTGCGTGAGCCTGGGGTTCTGTCTCTTGAACGATTCCCTGCTGGGAGATTTGAAACATCATCGTGGTCAGAAATTTGATCAACACATCGGCACGTAAATAAATAGCATTTTTTTTAACGTGATAATCTTGTCACGTGGTAGGGGGTTAACGACAAGAATTTTGGCTATACAAATACACGACCACTTGGCCTAACCCAAAAAAAAAACAGATATGGGTCAATGTACTGACTACTAAAACATGAATCGCGTCTCAGGACATCTTTTAAATTATTTGGGTTCAATGTTAAGGCCCGAGGCTCACAGAGCCTCATGAAGGTACATTTTGTAATCTTCGTAATTCGGTTTTAATCCCCGAGGCTTAAACAGAGCCAGACTGGGGCACCTTGAGGATTCCTCCGTCTCTCTCCTCACCTGGCACAGGTGAAGGCCTCAACGGGTCTGTAGAGCTCTGGGATTTTGCGATCGATGATGGGGTGCAGGGCGTCCACAAGACGCAAGTAGTTCTTCTCCAGCTCCTTCTGGTACTCGTGCTGGTCCATGGCGATCAGGTGCTTGTTTTTCCTGAGCGCGTCACGGCACCTGTTCGTGCGGTAACCAGGTCAAGAGGTCATCGTGGCCAAATCCGGTGATGCCACCACCACTGCACCTCATCGCCAGGGATTTCTTCCCTCCGCCAGATCCCACGGCCAGAACACACAGTCGACTTGCAGCGACATGCAAGATCTGCCCTTACAACCTCATTCCATTACCTGCTCTTAGACTCACACGGAGACCGATAAACTCCCACAGACAGCCATAGACACTTCTAGATTTAAAGCTTTCGTGACTGCTAGGATCCATACACCTACGTGACTTTACCCAATAGAACCAAAGAGTATAGCCATAGACACGCCCAGATAGCCATAGACTCCCATAGAGACCCACAGACTCCCTCAGAGACCCACAGACTCCCACAGAGACCCACAGACTCGCATAGATACCCATATACTCATACAAACAGCCATACACTCACTCAAGAGATCCATAGTTCTACCCTAACGATATCCCACGATCTGCTCTTAAGTCTCCCCCTTGGACACCAGACTCGTGGAGACCACTCCAATGTCTCTCTCGGCAATCGGCCTTCACGACCATCCTGCATAAGCGACTCGCGCAGCGTAATCGTTTTTTATGTCTGCTCATATGTAAAACCGGGGTTAGAGTTCATTTGAATTAATTTGATTTAGGGTTATAGTTAAGTCGTAACCGGGGTTAGCGTTAATTAATCAACATCAGCCATGAGCTATCCACTGCTGGACGAAGGCCTTCCAAAGCTTCCGCCGCCATCTCCCGTCTTCGTGCGAACTTACGATCCACCTTGCACCTTCACTCGCTGGTTTCATCGCTCCACCTCTGCGACGGTCATCCTCCCGGAAGCATTCCGTTCCTTTTCGCATTGCCCAAGCCCGTCGTTTATTGACAACTCGCCACCACCGCTATCTCAACCATTACCATCGACAGTACCGTCGCAGCCACGACCATCGCCGTGCGGGTCGCGTGGGGCGAGCTCACCGCGTCCTCACCTCTTCATGAAGTCTTTGAAGCACAGCCGGAGTTTGTTGTGGAAGCGGAAATCCCGGGGGTCGGTGGGGATGTCCGACAGGAAGACCTGCGCCACCTCAAGCGGACCCTGTGGAGTGGGCAGCAGCCAAAGGACAGGGTCTGGGTTAGAGACAGGATTAGGGTTAGAGATGGGGGTATGGATTAGGGAAAAGGTTATAGATGTAATTATGCTGAAATTCTGTCACACCGTACGTAGTCAACCAAGCTAACCAGAGATAGGGTTGAGGACAAGATTCGGGTCAGAGTTAGGGACAGGCTTACGAGTCAGGGGAAAAGGTTAGGGTCATGGTCACATTTATGGTTTGGGTCAGGGCTAGTCAGGGTTTTGGGTTGATATGCAGGGTCAGATCTAGGGTCATGGTCATGTGGCTGTGACGAGGCTGAGACCATAATCTCACGAGATATGAGGAAGCGGTTGAACCGTGGTTGGGCAGCTGACACCTGGAATTGAACTCGGCTACCCAGCGGTGCCGGCTCAGAGCCTCCAACGCAGCCATTGTGAACTTCCCCCCCCCCCCTCTCGAGCCACGGGGCCCACCTGTTACGCCGTCCCCTCGACCAACCAGATTACCTGGTTCACGGTTGTCCCCACGGATCCCTGCAGGACCATCTGGAGCATCTTGGGGTCCGGCGGCTCTTGATGCGTGGCCACGGCGAGTTCGCTGATTTTCTTCTGCATGTCCTCGATGGCCACCTCGATGGGAGTGAGGACGATCTGCCAACGAGACGCAACAGGACCGCAAGAGCCCGTCGTAGACCGCTGACACGGCCGAGCGGTGGCGCGTTTGCCCGCTCGTTTGCGGTTTCAATCCAGCGGCCGGCCCCGATTAACACTGGCCGGTGTATCGACGGTAAAAACGCCACAATCCCGCGACGCCAATCGCAAGAGCAGGCCGTTGTGCGCCGGCGTCGCAGTTCAACTTTGTCAAATTTTAATTGAAAACAAATTTCGCCACAAAATACTCGACTGGAATTATGCAGAGCAACAATCGCCCACCATTTGGATGACCCTCCTGCAACGAGTCGTGAGGCTCGGAAGGGGATTTTCTCAGGAAACAGGCTTCGTGATTACGATAATAATACTACTACTACTACAATAAGACGAACACATATTCTTAGCTCTTTCGGTAAAGTCACGTTGAAGGGAAACAATACAATAATAAAATATATATAACACAATAAAAATTCTCACGACGTTTCGACCATAACACAAACGGTCATCATCAGGTGTGAAAACCAACGGCTATTGTTTTATATATATTTTATTATTTTATTGTTTCCCTTCAACGTGACTTTACCGAAAGAGCTAAGAATATGAATTACTGCAGTCACGAAAGCTTTAAATCAAGACGAACACAGTGAAATTATAATGAGGCTACCGCATTTCTGGGAGGCTCAACTGGGACATGCTGAGCTGGCAGCCCCTTCATATTTTTTGATGTTATTATTGTCATTGTTTTCGTGACCGCTGGAAGCAATAATAATTATTTGTTTTTGATAGAGGGCCCTTCACGACGCGGCGCCCCAGGGTGATTTACCAGCGATAGGCGACTTACGGATGTATGTATACGTCTGTACGTATGCTGAACTTCTTTCGCACCATACGTAGCCAACCGTGCTAATCGGAGGTGCCGGGGGAAGGACAACAAACTAAACAATCGCATGACAAACCGTCGCACGCCGTTTCTGAACGGCGTCCTGAGATGCGCTCGCATTTACACTGCTCCATGAATCCGAACCGCGTTGGCAACCTAACCCTAATACAGCCTAACAAGCGTTTGCTGTCGAGGTGCTGCCATACCCCGGGTTGCCAGGAGAAGGCGCTACAGCAAATGTGGACTCCCATCTGTTCCACCTGTACGGGATAAAGCGTTGCCCCCTCGCACGAAACTGGCGCGGTGCATTCGTGGTGGACTGGACTCACGGGAGTGCCTCTGAGCTGTTCTCTCTCTCCGAGAGCAAACAAATGACGGTGTGGTGGCGGCGCGTTATAAGTTGAAATTATTCTTATCATTGTTATTATAAACTAAACTAAAACTTGACTACTTATTATTTTACCGGGCAAGGCCCATTGAGCTATATAGCTATTTTTCAGAAGCGAGCTGGCCACAAAAATGATAGCTGAACAAAGTGGCCTATCGTGTGGAAATGTATAGCGGATAAAAACACTCTAAACGCATGTTGATTCTGAATGTGGAGTGGAAAAAAAAACCCAGAGGACCCTGAGAAAAATCCACGCCACCACGGGGAGAGAGAGAGAGAGAGAGACACGCAAACTCCAAATATACAGCAGGCGTCATGGTCGGGATTGAACCTACGACCTCCCGTATACACGTTAACATCTCGCTACCGTGGCATCAAATGCATGCCAAGGCTAGGCAACGGCGCCTGCCATCACGAGGGCGGAGGGGACGCCGCACCTCCTCGCGGTGCACCACTTGGATGCGCGTCTTGATGTAGGGGAAAGCGTGCGAAGTGGTGAGCAGCGTCTTGCGCTTGTACTGCTGGCGCAGCTCGCCGCGGGCACGGCCCTCGCGCGTGAACGGCGTCGCGAACATGAAGCGCCGCAGGTTCCAGTTGCGGTCGAAGTGGGTCACGCGGTGCTTCGCCTCGTAGGCCTCGAAGTACGGCTCCACGTACGTGATCTGGATGTACGCCTGACACACGCGCAGCTACAGTTAGCAACGGCGCGGGTGTTTTAGTGTGTTGCTACTGTGGGTGTTTTAGTGTGTTACTACTGTGGGTGTTCGCGTGTTACCACCGTGTGGGTGTTCGTGTGTTACTACTGTGGGTGTTTTAGTGTGTTACTACTGTGGGTGTTTTAGTGTGTTACTACTGTGGGTGTTTTTGTGTGTTACTACTGTGGGTGTTTTAGTGTGTTACTACTGTGGGTGTTCGCGTGTTACCACCGTGTGGGTGTTTGTGTGTTACCACCGTGTGGGTGTTTGTGTGTTACCACCGTGTGGGTGTTCACGTGTTACCACCGTGTGGGTGTTCACGTGTTACCACCGTGTGGGTGTTCGTGTTACCACTGTGTGGGTGTTCGTGTTACCACCGTGTGGGTGTTAGTGTGTTACCACCGTGTGGGTGTTCACGTGTTACCACCGTGTGGGTGTTAGTGTGTTACCACCGTGTGGGTGTTCGCGTGTTACCACCGTGTGGGTGTTAGTGTGTTACCACCGTGTGGGTGTTCGTGTGTTACCACCGTGTGGGTGTTCGCGTGTTACCACCATGTGGGTGTTAGTGTGTTACCACCGTGTGGGTGTTCACGTGTTACCACCGTGTGGATGTTCGTGTTACCACTGTGTGGGTGTTCACGTGTTACCACCGTGTGGGTGTTCGTGTTACCACCGTGTGGGTGTTCGTGTGTTACCACCGTGTGGGTGTTCACGTGTTACCACCGTGTGGGTGTTCACGTGTTACCACCGTGTGGGTGTTTGTGTGTTACCACTGTGTGGGTGTTCACGTGTTACCACCGTGTGGGTGTTCGTGTGTTACCACCGTGTGGGTGTTCACGTGTTACCACCGTGTGGGTGTTCACGTGTTACCACCGTGTGGGTGTTCGTGTGTTACCACTGTGTGGGTGTTCACGTGTTACCACCGTGTGGGTGTTTGTGTGTTACCACTGTGTGGGTGTTCACGTGTTACCACTGTGTGGGTGTTCGTGTTACCACTGTGTGGGTGTTCGTGTTACCACTGTGTGGGTGTTCGTGTTACCACCGTGTGGGTGTTCGTGTGTTACCACCGTGTGGGTGTTCGTGTGTTACCACCGTGTGGGTGTTCACGTGTTACCACCGTGTGGGTGTTCACGTGTTACCACCGTGTGGGTGTTTGTGTGTTACCACTGTGTGGGTGTTCACGTGTTACTACCGTGTGGGTGTTCACGTGTTACCACCGTGTGGGTGTTCGTGTGTTACCACCGTGTGGGTGTTCACGTGTTACCACCGTGTGGGTGTTCACGTGTTACCACCGTGTGGGTGTTTGTGTGTTACCACTGTGTGGGTGTTCACGTGTTACTACCGTGTGGGTGTTCACGTGTTACCACCGTGTGGGTGTTCGTGTGTTACCACCGTGTGGGTGTTCACGTGTTACCACCGTGTGGGTGTTCACGTGTTACCACTGTGTGGGTGTTCACGTGTTACCACCGTGTGGGTGTTCGTGTGTTACCACCGTGTGGGTGTTCGTGTTACCACTGTGTGGGTGTTCGCGTGTTACCACCGTGTGGGTGTTTGTGTGTTACCACTGTGTGGGTGTTCACGTGTTACTACCGTGTGGGTGTTCACGTGTTACCACCGTGTGGGTGTTCGTGTGTTACCACCGTGTGGGTGTTCACGTGTTACCACCGTGTGGGTGTTCGTGTGTTACCACCGTGTGGGTGTTCGTGTTACCACTGTGTGGGTGTTCGCGTGTTACCACTGTGTAAACATGCCAGTGCCAATTTGCGGGGGAATCAGCAGTGGTTGTCCTATGATCGGGCGGACTTGCCCCCCGCCATAGGAATGTGGAATTTTTACCAGCGGCTCAGGGGCTCTATACAGAAGATGAGCATTTGCCTCAATAAATCACTTTGACCGAATATGTTTATATTGTTATTCTTATCTATATATATTTGTTAATCCACCGCTGGATAAAGGCATTACCTCGAGCCGTGCTGATCAATGGGGGTTACTCGATCACCCGTGGTTAAAACCAGGTTCTCAAATTTAGTTTAATTAATCGAATTTTCCCAAACCGGCTTAGCTCTGCTGATGAGATACTGTGTGTTCAAACTGGTGCAGAGTTTGCTCGTCTTGAAACAATGCTGCTGAAATTATGCACTCCCAGAAGGCCATGCGGCTGATGGGTGGTGTAAGAAATAGTTTTATACTTGTAGGAACCTCCTGGTTACACCAGCCCACAGGGGATTATTGTGTCTGTCCGTCCGTCGTGCATCGAAAAAAGGGAGGGGTGGGTGGAGATGGGAGGGTGGGGAGGGGCTGGGTGGGGAGGGAGGAGCTGGGTGGGGAGGGGAGGGTGGGGAGGGTGGGGCTGGGTGGGGAGGGGAGGGTGGGGAGGGTGGGGAGGGGCTGGGTGGGGAGGGTGGGGAAGGTGGGGCTGGGTGGGGGGTGGGAGGGGAGGGGCTGGTCACCCCGTGGTGCCCTTATAAAACTCAACGTTTAACCTACTCACGCCGGCTTGTGCCCGCCCTCACGGTGGGGCACATTTGCGGAATACACCACGCCGCCGTTGACCCTGGCCATTGACTGAGCAACCCAACGTTCCTACCAGCTGCCTCCGCAAGAATGTGTTTTTATTACGCAGAGAGACCAATATGTCAAGCGGACACATTGTCTGCTAATTTATTTTGTGTTATTTATATTCTCCACAACAAAGTTAATGAGCATATTGACTTCAATGTTCCAAGCCTTGGTTCCGAGTAGGAATTAATATTTGTTCCTGGGAACTATTCGTTCACGGGGGAATAAAATAGAGCAAATATTCAGGGGGACATATGCTCGTTAACATTGGAGGAGTTTAAAGTTGTAATTAGTTTAACTGAGGTGAAAATTGAAGAGACTAGGATAGGGCCTCAAAAGCAAGAGTGGCATGGCTCACCAAAAATACCAAAAAGCTAAATAAATAAACTGCAGCACTTAGTTAAAGCAATCAGAACAAAAACAAAGCGTGTCCGACGAGGAATTGAAAACATCGCAATCACGACTCGCCGTTAAACCGAATCTCAACATTAAATTCCTTGCAGCGCAAACCCTGCAGTGAGCTGCGCTATCGGGGTCTCGGTCGAAGATGTGCAGGTTTGTCACTTATTGATACTGGCAAAAAGGTTCCATTATGTAGCTGCTCACACCGAGATATAAACCCTCTGATAGTGGCATTGTCTTCGTGCTGTTCGCCTTTTGGCGTTCTCTGGTCTGACACTGGTGAGTCTAGGCCCTAAAGAAGGTTGTCTCTGGTGTAGGCCAATCAGTTTTAAAGACAATGCCATATATTATCAGAGCATGTTTGTTTGCATGTTCATTCTAGATTTGAAGTTTTCGTGACTGCAAGGATCCATACTCTGGTTCTTTCCTGACTTTACCGAAAGAACCAGAGTATGTTTGCATGTTCACCACAAGTACGTGTGGTTGATACCGACTTGATTCCTTGCAACAGGATTCTATTTGGTGTTTGAACATCTTAACGCCTCCTGTTTTATTGCCAGAAAGGGTAAAACCTATTTTTACTTTTTCATACTTTGATACGGGAAAAAAGGTCCCATTAAACAAGGCCAATGCGTAAAAATAAAACGAGGAGGTTGTACGAACCTTGTTGGGGTCCAGGCTTCCAGAGTCCACGGGACAGGAGTCCTTGATTACCTCCACGTATCGCGCCCCGAGTCTCTGTCCGTAAAACGCCTGTGGGGTGCACAGAGCGGTAAGCGAGATCGAGACGCCACCACCCCACCCCCCCTCTCATGAGAAACCCAATTTAAATTTCTCCATGGCTATTGCTTAACGAACCAAAGAAGAGTCAAATTCGACAAAACAACCGCCCCCAAATACCCACGATGCCCCGCCCCCCGACACTCCTCAAACATTGGCTTTTGGGAATGTCTTAGACCTTAACAAGTTTTTTCAAATGCTAACTTTGATATTGTAACCACATTCACGAACAAGCATCTCGCCCTCACATGATACATCCCCTGTTGGGGTTAAAACCTCAAGGCCTTTTCCGAGAGGCAAATACATTATCCCAACTGTTCAATGTTATGGCAAAACGCACCACTATGGCCAACTGGAAAGAGCCACCGCTCACCAGAGCACACGAGGAATGGGCCAATAAATTGTCAAAAATTGCCACTCTGGAGCATCTAAGGGACAGGGAGGAAGCTTACCACCAAACATTGAACCCCTTCATCACAACTTCTCCTCCATAGGGCATTGATTCTAAAGAGCATTCATGAGGGCATTTAGGAATTCCACATCCCCCCCCCCCCATCCTTTTTCCCTTCTCCTACAGGGGTATCAGAACTGGGGAAAGACACCGGGGGGTTGAAGAGTTTATTGAAACATGCGGTTTAGACAGGTCTCCATTGCACTGTTAATCCGTAATGTGCATTTGTGCTGGTTTCAACCCCCACCACCCCCCCTTCATACCCTCTTTGTTTGTCGCCGAATCTCGTCTTGTTGATAAAATACTTTCGTAAGAAACTAAAAAAAGTGATGTGGCGGCGCCGTCGTCGTACAAGCTAGCGGTTGCTCCGATTAAAATAAAATTTATTTGTATTTACCAGGCAAGGCCCACTGAGCTACGTAACTCTTCACAGTCTAACCCAGGGGTCGGCAACCTGCGGCTCCATAGCCGCATTAAATACGGCAGGGAATGGGGTCAATGCGGAATGCCTTGGTGACCACAAAATGTACAACGGTGAAACTCGATTGTTAAAGAATGACTGAGTGGGGGGGGGGGATTAAACAGATGCAGTTTATTCCATCACCTATTTTGCTTATTGCAGTATGTGTACCGGTAGCTCTGCGTGTGATGCGGCTCTCAAACTATTCTGGTCAAATCTTTGCTTTTTTCAGTAAAGTCACGTATAAATAAGAAATAATAAAATAACATAATAGCGTACGACGTTTCGGTTGCAACACAAGCAGCCATCATCAGGTACAGAAGAGCTAAATTTATGAGAGAGGGGAGACACATAACCTCAGATGTATATACAGACACCCAAGTAGGGGGAACTAACACCGACACAATAGGGGACACAGAGAGAGAAGCATACCAAACAGACAGAGTTTAGCAGAATTTGGAAACCATATAAAACAACATAGACGGCCGGTCAAAACACAATTAACGCATAGCCTGGTTGATTTCGTTATTTCAAAGATTGCTAAATTGCAAGTTAAGTATGATATTTAAGATACAGGCACACACACACATAGATATTCAAGTAGAGCGGACCAGCACAGGTACAAGCGCACAGTGAAGTCGCCTTAAATAGGCAGAGAAGGCAAGGCTGATAGACAATGGGACATATTAGCATGAGAAGGCAAGGCTTGTCTCTCAGCCTTCTTTAAGAACTGCTTTTTGTGTTTAGTTTGTTGTCCTTCCCCCGAACCTCTGATTATCATGGTTGGCTACGTACGGTGCGAAAGAAGTTCAACGTACATGCATGAGCAACGTCGTCCCCCTACTGCCCGACTATAACCATCCATGAAACACAGCGCCTTCGTAATGAGTGCACGCGTGGCTACAGGAGCGATGCCAATACCAAAAGTACAAATTGTTGGAATTTTTCGAAATGCAATTCACACACACTTGAGAACTTAATTTGTTCGGCTGTGTCGGACGATGTGGGAGGGGGGGGGGGGGGTCTTAAGGACGACGTGGCCTAACCCCAAAAGTCTACCCGTGAAGGATCACGACCGTATCTCGTTAAACGTCTCGGACGCCGGGCTGCTGCCCGTCGGGTCGGTACCTCCAGGCGGTGCGAAATCTCGGGCAGCTTGGTGATGGACGGCTCCTTGTAGACGTACTCCGTGGCGTCGAGGTCACCGAATTTGGCGCCGTAGAAAACGACGCGGAAGTAGGTGCCGAACATCCGCTTCACGTCCTACGGGCGGCGGCGGAGACGCACAGGAGATGTGTCAAGTTGATTTTTTCACGAGAGAGTTACCCAGGTCACCTAAATGACGAAGGTCGCGCGTAAGGATGCCGTCGTTCGTTTATCAACTTATTTATATATTTATATATTTGGTTGTTCATTCAGTCGCCTCTCTCACCTGGCTCACACTGTGCCTGTGTGGGGAGGTCAACTCAGCCTCAAATGAGTCGCTGGTGCGATGTGTAAACATCGCCACTGGGGAGACAAAGGAGGCCAGGCGTGGTGCCGGCCACCCGCCCCCTTGTGTGCCGTGGCGGCCTTCATAGGTGCTGCTCGCTAACAGCACTTGCCCCATACAGTGTGTTCTATACAGCCCTTATCAACCCTCCCTCCCCATGGAGCGTGCTGGCTACCATCAGACCAGCCACTCTACACAGCCCCTGTAAACTCTCCCATGTAACGTACTCGCCACCATCTTATCGACCACTTTGCCGGGGTCTCCATCGGTGAAATAAGAGCCTCTTGGCTGAATGGGCCTCACCGGAAATAAGCGGACTACCCGACTGACTGACTGGCTAATGTGTGGCCCCCACCTGGGTGACGATCTTGTTGAAGGCGTCCTGCAGCTTGCCGTGGATGCTGGCCAGGCGCTGGGCGTCGCGGTTTGCCTCGTACACGGGGATCAGCAGCTTGTACACCTCGTTCACAGACTCGTGCATCTGTGCCTAGAGGGAGGGGGGGCGCAGGGGGGAGGGGCGCAGGGGGTCACAGGGGGGATCGCACACACATTACGGACGAATTATCGAATGGAGGAACGCACGAGTGAATGGACAAACGAATTAATGAACGCGCGGACGATCGCATGGATGAGTGAAAGAATTAACAAAGGAACGAATGAACGCATGATCGAATTAATGAATTCAGTGGCAGCTGTCTCTGTGGGCACAAGGAAACTTAGCACGTGGCTTGCAAACAGTCATTAGTCTGCAAGTAAAGGGACGACAATTGCAATGTACAACTCACATAACCAATTGAGCAATAACGATTTCATGAAGGCTGGTGGGTGGGTTGGAAGTCTCATGCCTGGGTTGGGGGGCTGATGGGTGGGTTGGGGGGCTGGTGGGTGGGTTGGGGGGCTGGTGGGTGGGTTGGGGGGTTAGTGGGTGGGTTGGGGGGCTGGTGGGTGGGTTGGTTGGGGGGCTGGTGGGTGGGTTGGAGGGCTGGTGGGTTGGGGGGCTGGTGGGTGGGTTGGAGGGCTGGTGGGTGGGTTGGGGGGCTGGTGGGTGGGTTGGAGGGCTGGTGGGTGGGTTGGAGGGCTGGTGGGTGGGTTGGGGGGCTGGTGGGTGGGTTGGGGGGCTGGTGGGTGGGTTGGAAGGCTGGTGGGTGGGTTGGGGGGCTGGTGGGTGGGTTGGGGGGCTGGTGGGTGGGTTGGGGGGCTGGTGGGTTGGGGGGCTGGTGGGTTGGGGGGCTGGTGAGTGGGTTGGGGGGCTGGTGGGTGGGTTGGGGGGCTGGCGTGCGTACCATGCTGAAGGCGTTGGCCGCCTGCTCGAGCAACCCCACGAGGCCGTTCTCCGAGAAGTATCCGCCGGAGCAGATGCCCTCCTCGTCGGGGGAGAGGATGTCGTCCGACACGGCCGACTCCTCCAGCACGTTCCCCGAGATCCTCTATCCCCCCGCGAGTGGCACGACACAACCACCGCAGCGACAACAACGTGAACAACAGTAAAGACAAAGATCCCCCGTATAGCCTTAACTGTTGGGGGAAGTGCTGTCAGCGAGCACCTATGAAGGCTGGCACAGCACACGAGGCCAACACCACGCCCGGCCGTGGTGATGTTTACGCACCGCACCAGGTACTCATATGAGGCCCAGTCGACCAAGGGTAGCCCCAGGACCGGTTCAGATAATCGTCACCGGTGTCGGCGGCCGTGAGCGGGAATAGAACTCGGGTCACGTGTTTCGTAGCGCTCACCACTGCGTGACCCACGCACACCTGTCCAACGAACATACCCATCCCACGCACGCTCCTGTCCCACGCACACACCTGTCGCGTCCCACGTACATATGTCAAACTTCTTTCGCACCGTACGTAGCCAACCTCGCACGCGCACCTGGAAGGAGACGCTGCCGATGGGCAGGTGCGGCCGATCCTCCAGCATGGAGAGGTACTCTGCGACGAGGGCGGCCGAGTGCAGCAGGCAGTGCGCCGCCTCCGCGTGGCTGCGCCGCTCCGTGTGCCGCCGCGCCATGTTCTGCAGCCACGTCAGCCGCAGGTCGGGGGACGCCTGGTAGCCCTTGGCGATCCTGCGGGGTCGCGGGGCAGCCGCGAGAGCGCGTGTGTGAGCGTGTGAGCGTGTGAGCGTGCGTTTGCGAGTTTGTGGTGCTGGGGAGCGGTAGCGTGGCGGCTAGCGCTACGCTGCGCTACGAACCCGGTGACCCGAGGTTCGATTCCCGGTCACCGTCAAGACCAGTGATGATTATCTGAACCGGTCCTGGGCCTCCCCTAGGTCGACTCGGCCTCAAATAAGTACCCGGTGTGGTGTGTAAACATCGCCACTGGGGAGACAAAGGCGGCCGGGCGTGGTGTTGGCTACCCACCTCCTCGCGTGCCATGCCGGCCTTCACAGGTGCTCGCTAACAGCGATTACCCCCAACAGTCTGCTAAGGCCATACGCGGGGATCTTTGACTTTGTGGGTGTGTGTAAGTGAGGGGAAAGGTAGTGTATCGGTTAGCACGCCGCGCTACGACCCCGGCAACCCGAGTTCGATTCCCGCTGATGGCTTGCCGTGGATCAACTCGGCCTCAAACGGCCTGACGTGGTGCTGGCCACACCCCCACCCCTTGGTAACGACCAATCACAGTTGGCGTAAACTCATCACTGGCGATGAAACGCGTCGCTACGGATCGCCGAGCAGGTCGACGCTCGAAAGTCGAGCCCGTATCTCTACATCGTGAGCAACTCGATTGCACAGCTGCTCGCAACGATTCAGTTGCATGCAGCAACCAGGTCGCTCAGGTGCGGCTTTACTTCTGTGCCCGAGACCGTCTCTCTACACCGACTCTGCAACGTTCCAGAGTCCATCGGCAGGAAAAACACGAGGCCCCGCAGATCATTTGGGGGCGGGAGTCCAGGTGGCTCGGCGTTCCAGCGAGCGGCTCGCAATCGCAAGGATTCCTGGTTGTGGGGTTGACCCGGCCCATTGTCCCTCCCTCTGGGGGACGGTCGATAAAATGACCACTTTCACTCAATCATCTTGAATCACTTCTTTTAAGTGCATTCCTGACAAGCTGCCACTGCTGAAGCAAGTAGATGATAAACTAAGATTTAAAGCTTTCGTGACTGCAGGGATTCATATTCTTGGTTCCTTCGGTAAAGTCACGTAGAAGGGAAACAATAAAATACTAAAAATATTAAACAATAAAATTCTCACGACGTTTCGACTGCAACACAAGCAATCATCAGCAGGTGTGAAAAGCACAACTCTCTGTGTCTCCGTGTCTCTCTCTGTGTCTTGCTGTGGTTTTCACACCTGATGATGATTGCTTGTGTTGCAGTCGAAACGTCGTGAGAATTTTATTGCTTTTTATTTTTATTATTTTATTGTTTTCCTTCTACGTGACTTTACCGAAAGAACCAAGAATATGATAAACAAAGAGTTTATTATTATTCTGTATATGAGTCCTGTTGTGTTGTAATGTGTGCAACGGCATGGTGATTGTTATGATTACTAGTGTTACTTGAAATTTGTTGTTTGCACAGGAAAACTATTTTACCAAAGGAGTTTCTAATTCATTGTTTTGCAATATTTTATCGAATCTTATTCCTCACTCGAGATGCACTATTTTGCAATTTGGTTTCTTTATTCTTAATGTTCACTTTAGTTAAATATAAAATTTAGAATTAAGTAATATATTGTAAAAAAAAAATAATTTGTTGACTTTTTTTCATTGCTGTATTTATTGTATTTATAATTTTTAGGTGACCTGTTGAAACGTTGTGCTTATAATTTTACAGTTGTTTTGTTTTGTTGACGAATCCCGATTCAAGAGCTTCTTAGCTCACAGGGCAATTCTAAATAAACTGTTCAAATTTTAAACTGCTCTGTCAACGGCAGTTATCCTATGGATAGAATCCGACGAGCTATAAAGCTCTTTTATTATAGATGTCCAGTAGGCTCGCCCCCCGGTATAGGAATGTAGAATTATACCTTACTGACTCTGCGGGGATGTGAACGAGAGATGGGCTTCAATGCCTCGGTGGTCATTTGAGCACAAATCACGAATTTCCTCTTTTTGCGGAGTGCGGATAAACAGGGACGGCAGATAATGGGGGTGGCGGATGAGAGGAGTTTGACGGCACCTGTACATGAGATCCATGAGCATCTCGGGGTCCTGTTTGTACTCCTTCATCTTCACCGTGTCCGAGAGGATCGTCTGCAGGTTCAGCACCAGCTCCCGCACCTGTCGCATCCACGATTAACGAGAGCTCAACAGTGATCACCCGGGGGTCGCCAAAAATGACGAAAGAAAAAATTGAATAAAATAAAAATTCGGAACAAAGACGAACGCGTCTCACACGAGGGAATACAAACATTGCAAAATATAGTTCCCCGCCGCAGCGCAAATTGGCTCGGGCAGATTACCTCCAGATGGTTGAGCGCATTAAAGCAGAAAGGGTGGGGGGGGGGGGCAGGATAAGGCTGTAGCATGGATAACGTGCAGGAGGAGCCTTGGATACCGTGCTCGGGGAAGGCGGTAGCCTATACGTCGCTTTTCGTCGCTGCAAAGGCCAGCATGTCAGTAAGCCGTGCCCGAGCAAACCGCCTGTTAGTGAGCTGCACGGCAGTAAACTGCGCATTGGCGAGTCGTGCGATAGTACGACGGAAGTAAGTCGGTCAATTCCGCGTGGTAGTATGCCACGCAACAGTAAGCAGCGTGATAGCAAGGCACACAAGAGTAAGCATCTCGTTGGTCAGCCGCGCACTGACAAGCCACGCATTGGCAAGCCACACACTGGCAAACCACAAATTGGTAAGCCACACACCGACTAGCCACGCATTCGCAAGCCAGACATTGGTAGGCCACACATTGCCAAGACACGCATTGACAAGCCATGCACTGGCAAGCCAGACACTGGGCAAGCCACGCTTGTTGACAAGCCATGCACTGGCAAGCCACACACTAGGCAAGCCACACTTGTTGACAAGCCATGCATCGGTAAGTCCCACATTGGTACAGTGAGGGAAAAAAAGTATTTGATCCCCTGCTGATTTTGTACGTTTGCCCACTGACAAATAAATTATCAGTCTATAATTTTAATGGTAGGTTTATTTGAACAGTGAGAGACAGAATAACAACAAGAAAATCCAGAAAAACGCATGTCAAAAAATGTTATAAATTGATTTGCATTTTAATGAGGGAAATAAGTATTTGACCCCCTCTCAATCAGAAAGATTTCTGGCTCCCAGGTATCTTTTATACAGGTAACGAGCTGAGATTAGGAGCACACTCTTAAAGGGAGTGCTCCTAATCTCAGCTTGTTACCTGTATAATAGACACCTGTCCACAGCAGCAATCAATCAATCAGATTCCAAACTCTCCACCATGGCCAAGACCAAAGAGCTCTCCAAGGATGTCAGGGACAAGATTGTAGACCTACATAAGGCTGGAATGGGCTACAAGACCATTGCCAAGCAGATTGGTGAGAAGGTGACAACAATTGGTGCGATTATTCGCAAATGGAAGAAACACAAAATAACTGTCAATCTCCCTCGGCCTGGGACTCCATGCAAGATCTCACCTCGTGGAGTTGCAATGATCATGAGAACGGTGAGGAATCAGCCCAGAACTACACGGGAGGATCTTGTCAATGATCTCAAGGCAGCTGGGACCATAGTCACCAAGTAAACAATTGGTAACACACTACGCCGTGAAGGACTGAAATCCTGCAGCGCCCGTAAGGTCCCCCTGCTCAAGAAAGCACATATACATGCCCGTCTGAAGTTTGCCAATGAACATCTGAATGATTCAGAGGATAACTGGGTGAAAGTGTTGTGGTCAGATGAGACCAAAATTGAGCTCTTTGGCATCAACTCAACTCGCCGTGTTTGGAGGAGGAGGAATGCTGCCTATGACCCCAAGAACACCATCCCCACCGTCAAACATGGAGGTGGAAACATTATGCTTTGGGGGTGTTTTTCTGCTAAGGGGACAGGACAACTTCACCGCATCAAAGGGACGATGGACGGGGCCATGTACCGCCAAATCTTGGGTGAGAACCTCCTTCCCTTAGCCAGGGCATTGAAAATGGGTTGTGGATGGGTATTCCAGCATGACAATGACCCAAAACACACGGCCAAGGCAACAAAGGAGTGGCTCAAGAAGAAGCACATTAAGGTCCTGGAGTGGCCTAGCCAGTCTCCAGACCTTAATCCCATAGAAAATCTGTGGAGGGAGCTGAAGGTTCGAGTTGCCAAACGTCAGCCTCGAAACCTTAATGACTTGGAGAAGATCTGCAAAGAGGAGTGGGACAAAATCCCTCCTGAGATGTGTGCAAACCTGGTGGCCAACTACAAGAAACGTCTGACCTCTGTGATTGCCAACAAGGGTTTTGCCACCAAGTACTAAGTCATGTTTTGCAGAGGGGTCAAATACTTATTTCCCTCATCAAAATGCAAATCAATTTATAACATTCTTGACATGCGTTTTTCTCTCACTATTCAAATAAACCCACCATTAAAATTATAGACTGATCATTTCTTTGTCAGTGGGCAAACGTACAAAATCAGCAGGGGATCAAATACTTTTTTCCCTCACTCTAAGCCACGTATGGACAAGCAGCACACTGCCAAACCACAAATTGTCAAGCCGCACACTGGCAAGCCGCTCGTTGGCAAGCCACACATCGGTAGGCCGCGCATCGGTTAGCCTGGTGTAAGCCGCGTGGATCCCATCCATCCGTGCGTGCCTGCAGGGGGAAGGTGGTGGGCTGCATGTCGCCGTCCGCGGCGGCGTAGGCCAGCATGGTGTGCAGCGAACGGCGGAGCGCGTCCTCGCTGAAGCTCGCCGACGTCCCCACGAGCGACGCCAGCGACATCGTCACCTGCATCTTGACCCGCGCAAAGTTCTGCAGTGCGGAGAGAGAGCGCGGTGGGGGGCGGGGTCGACGGGGGGGGGGGGGTGGGGGGTGAGGTCGCGAAGACAAGGCGAGACCGCGTGGGGGTTAGAGGGCGGGACAGTGTGGAACAGGAAGTAAGTAAAGACACACATGGAAGTAAATCCACGGTGGCTAGGAGATGTTAACTCCCTCGCCTGGTGTACAGGAGGTCGTGGGTTCGATCCCAACCCTGATGCCTGCTGCTGTATATTTGGAGTTTGCCTGTCTCTCCCCGTGGTCGAGTGGATTTTTTTCCGGGTCCTCCGGTTTTTTACTCCACATTTAGAATCAACATCACGCGTTTAGAGCATTTGGCTGCTATAAATTTTCACGCAATGATAAGACACTTCATTGAGCTATCAGTTGTGGACAGGTCGCTTCTGAAATAGAGCCACAAAGCTCAGCGGGCCTTACCTGATAAAAGAAAAAAAATTGTTTAGTTTAAAGCAACGGCCATTTTCGACTTCCTGTTGTGGGACAATTGCGCAACAGCTTTCACTTTCGGCTCCTGTGCCGCCAAGGGAAGTGTGGGAGAGGTGGGGGAGGTGAGGGAGGTCAGGGGGGTGAGGGGGAGCGAGGCGAGTGAGGCTCACGTTTCCGATCTCGAAGTTCTGGCGCATGAGGAGGTAGAGGGAGGCGCTGGCGTGGGCCCTCGTCGCCACGAGCGAGCTGCTGCAGTGGCGCAGGAGGTGGAGGCACAGGTCGGCGCACTGCTCCGTCTCCTCCTCGAACAGCAGCTCTGGGAACTGCCACACGCACGCGCACACACGCACACGCGCACACACGCACGCGCACACACGCACACGCATCCACGCACACGCATCCACGCACACGCACACACGCACACGCACGCGCATCCATGCACATGCACGCACACCCACGCACACGTGCGCACAGATGGACGGACACGCGCGTCAGGACAGAGTGGAGGGCGGAGGGGGCTCGCGGTCTGTGCCACGATGGCCCGCAGCGTGGTGAGAGTAGGGGGGCGGTATGGGGCAGTAGGGGTGGTAAAGGGCGATAGGAGGGGGTAGGGGGGGGTTAGGGGGAGTATGGGGCGGTAGGAGGGGGTAGGGGGCGGTGGAGGGGGGTGTAAGGGGCGGTAGGGGGGGTAGGGAGGTGGGGCCCCACCCGTGAGACGAGGGCGCGCTGCGTGGCCAGGCTGTGCTGCAGGAACACGGAGCTCTGGTTGCAGGAGAGGCTGTGCAGCAGCACCTTGAGGACGCCGCCCAGCACGCCGTCCTTCGCCTCCGTCACGGCCACCGTCTGCACCCAAAACGATTAACGGCACAGCAACGACAACGATGGCAATGATCGCCATCGTAATGGTGACGATGGTAACGACGATGATATTTATACGATTCGTAGCGTGCGCATTTTGCGAAAAGGACGATGGCCAGGGAGCGTTACCGCCTTTCTCTCGTCGAGCGAGGCTATTATTGTCGTAAGAGCTTGGGGGGAAAGAGGCGATGATGTTGGGAGGGAGCAGGGCTAGAGGGAAGAAGCAGAAAGAGAAGTGAGGTGTGGTGAGTGGGTGAGTGGTTGGGTGAGTGAGTAAGTGAGCAGGAGGCTGAGTGTTGTCTTGACCCGCTGTATATGAACCTCGACATGCATGGAGAAATCAACGAGCTTGCGTTGTGGCAAAACAGTCCTGTCATCAGTGCAGATGTAAATATTGATATCCGTGCGTGTGCGGCTCTTGACGCTGCAGAGAAATGTTGTGATGCACACAGCCCCTGGGAACAGGCGGCAGGACCTCTGTCGCTTGTCCCCAGCGACGAGGCGAGCGAACAGGAGAGGAAACGGCTCACCTGCACGACGAGTTCCAAGCTGTCGAGGACAATGAGGTTCGCCTCGGTCGCTAGGTTGCCGTCGATGATGGCCTCCTGCTCCAGTTCGGCCCGGGACCTGCGCAGAGCGGCGGAGTTCGTGACTCGGCGCGGTTGCGCGCGCGTGCGTGTCATTGTGCGTGCGTGAGCGAGCCGGCGTGGTTGCTTGGTGTCTGCGACTCGTGGTGACATTGCGCGTGTGAGTCAGCCGGCGCGTCGTTGCGCCCGTGCTCGAGCCGCGACTCGTTGAGCCCGTGCCGCGACTCGTTGCTCACTTGTCGCTGCGCTCGTTCTGCTTCCACTGCGTCTGATCCTTCTTCCAGCGCACGCGCTCCGTGCCCCCCGCGGAGCCGCCCTGGCCACGCTCGCCTGGGAGGGGAACACCCACACGGAAGGGACACGCTCACTCACACCGAGATCATGTACGCGCGTGTGCGTTGTGGGGAGCGGTGGTGTAGCGGGTTAGCGCTACGCTGCGCTATGAACCCGGCGACCCGCGTTCGATTCCCGCTCACGGCCAGCACCAGTGGACGATTATCTGAACCGGTTCTGGGTCTCCACTAGGTCGACTCAGCCTGAAATGAGTACCTGGTGCGGTGTGTAAACATCGCCACTGGGGAGAAAAAGGCGGTCGGGCGTGGTGCTGGCCACCCACCCCCTCGTGTACCGTTCGGGCCTTCATAGGTGGCTCGCTAACAGCACTTGCCCCTACAGTCTGTTAAGGCTATACGGGGGATCTTTGTTTCTCCTGTCACAGGATCGCAGATGCAAATTATTATAGAGACATTGTGTGTGTGTGTACGTATGCGTGTGTTTTCAGTCTCGTACGTATGTCTGTTGAACTTATTTCACACCGTACGTAGCCAACTGTGCTAATCGGAGCCTTAAGAGGTGCTCACTAACAGCACTGCCCCAAGTCTATTTGCTGTTATAATTATGATGCTTGTTTACCAAGGGAAGCTCCCTTGATTTAGCTCTAATGCATGTGTATATGCTTCAGGAGGCTCATGATGGACGCTACTGTGCAGTTGGAGGCAGTCGCCCGCCTACAACAGCAGAGGGCAGAGGAACGACACTCACAACAATGAGTGGAGCGCCGGGCGGCTAAAACGCAGCAAGTTGGCATGGAGGGGGCACAGGTGGTGCATCGGCCAGTCATCTCAGTCAGTCAACCCATGGCACCTGGGGTCTGTCCCGTGACCTCCTGCCAGCAGCGAGCCTTCGACATTTCACGTGGCCTCAAAGTGCACATAGCCTGGCACGAGGGCCGTGGTGACGTCACCGCCGCTTCGTGGCGAACTGCGGCTGTTGTTGTTGTTGTGTACGATACATATCTTACGTCTGTCACGTGACGCAGAGAATGCCAATGCAAAGATCCAATGCCGTGTTGGGTGCGGTGCTGTGCGGCGCGGTGCCGGCTTGGACGAGCCGAGCGCGTTGCATCACCGTGCGTCCGCGCTCGCCGTATCATCTCCTGGCGGGCGCCGGCCCCACCGAGGATCGCCTCCTCCAGCCGCGCCTTCATGTCCTGCGATTTCATGAAGGCGGCCGGCGGGATCTGATTGGAGGAACTGCTCCGTCGCTGCGGTAGAGGGGAGGCGCGCAACAACGACGCCCGATGAAATCGATGGTACGTGCGTGTGTGTATGTGTAGCGCCATAGATGGAACGGTACCTCGTACCGTCAGGGGAGGGACTGCAGCGCCAGCCCAAGAGGGGAGGGGCTGCTGGGGGCTCAGGATTCCAGACAGCTAAGCCCCTTGGCGCCCCCAACGTGGGGGGGGGGCTGCGGGGGTTCTAGGATCCCTCGCAGCCCCACCCCTCAATGGGCAAGGGGCATAAAAGGGGACCTCCCCAGCCGATCTGGGACCAGTTGAAGACCGAAGCCGAAGACCAGCAGCTAGATAGGACCCTGGACCCCCTCGACCCGCTGTCCTTATAAGGGCCGGGACGCTGTGCGGGCCAGTGGTGGGACTCTGGGCCAGTGGTGAGACTCTGGGCCAGTGGTGGGTCTCTGGGCTGGTGGTGGGACTCTGGGCCGGTGGTGAGACTCTGGGCCAGTGGTGAGATTCTGGGCTGGTGGTGGGACTCTAGGCCGGTGGTGGGACTCTGGGCCGGTGGTGGGACTTTGGGTCAGTGGTGGGACTCTGGGCCAATGGTGGGACTCTGGGCCAGTGGTGAGACTCTGGGCCAGTGGTGGGACTCTGGGCCAGTGGTGGGACTCTGGGCCAGTGGTGAGACTCTGGGCCAGTGGTGAGACTCTGGGCCAGTGATGGGACTCTGGGCCAGTGGTGGGACTCTGGGCCAGTGGTGGGACTCTGGGCCAGTGGTGGGACTCTGGGCCGGTGATGGGACTCTGGGCCGGTGATGGGACTCTGGGCCAGTGGTGGGACTCTGGGCCGGTGGTGGGACTCTGGGCCGGTGGTGGGACTCTGGGCCGGTGGTGGGACTCTGGGCCAGTGGTGGGACTCTGGGCCAGTGGTGGGACTCTGGGCCAGTGGTGGGACTCTGGGCCAGTGATGGGACTCTGGGCCAGTGATGGGACTCTGGGCCAGTGGTGGGACTCTGGGCCAGTGGTGGGACTCTGGGCCAGTGGTGGGACTCTGGGCCAGTGGTGGGACTCTGGGCCAGTGGTGGGACTCTGGGCTAGTGGTGGGACTCTGGGCCAGTGGTGGGACTCTGGGACTCCCGGCCCCACGCCCTTATAAGGTCGAGGTCTGAGGAAGGCAGAGTCTAGACCCGCACCTTGGCTGGGTGGGGTCAGGGTCGCCTCCCCTAGGGTAATTATAGCAGAGGACCCGAGAGCGTTGTCAGTGTCAAGGCACGCTAGGAGTAGGCTGTGTCCCTAGGCTGTAGCAGTATATTAGGACTGTTGGAGTGCTGTATTGTAATAAAGACGTTACCTATCCGAAGAGTATCCGGAACCTATTACACATGTATGTACGTTGAGCCTCTTTTGCACCAACAGTGCTCATCGGAGGTGCGAGGGAAGGGACAACAAACTAAAAACAAAAACATCTGCTCAAAAGAATGGAGTTTTCATGATTTTAAAGTGCGTGCATAGCTCCAGTGGATTCCTAAAATGGGAGGGAAGAGCGTTCCAGACGGCCGCAGAAGCGCATTTGAGAGCGCGCGATGCGGTGACCATCTTTGTTCGATGGCCCAGCCAAAAGTCGCCGCGAGGGTGACCGGAGTTCGCGTGATGGTTCATGCTCCTTGACGAGAGGGTAGAGGCAGCCGCCCGATGATCGGTGCCAGCAATTGCCCAGGCTCTGCGGTCCTCTAGATATTAAGGTGTTACTGGGGGGAAAAAAAGGCCCCACGCATGCGAGGGCAAAACGCTCTATCCCACATTTTTTTTTGCCGCACTGCCCTTCTGCTGGCGAGCCGGGGACCACCTCCTCGGTGCCGGCGGGAAGAGCGTTTCGCAGCATTTGTGCGCGCGGCAAGCCACCGACCCTCGCCCCCGCCTGCACGGCGCCGGATCGCCGGCCACGTGCGTAGCCGCCGGCACCACCGCCCGGCGAAAAAAAAGGCACGATGGGCCGGACGCCATACCTTGTACTCGAAGCAGGAGACGCAGAGCAACAGCGCGTGCAGCAGCGACTGAATCTGGGGAGCCGGCGAGTCGGCCAGCCAGGCCAGCAGCAGAGAGGGCTCGGCGTGCTTCAGCACCCAAAGCGTGCAGGCGAGGAGGTGGCGGCTGCTCTCCTGCGAGAGGATGGGGCCGCCCGCCCGGCCGGCCTGCACGCCCAACGGCACAGCGTGCCGAACCGCATCATGCCGTGCGCCGCGTCATGGCCACGCCGCGGGATTCCATGCCACAACCGCGCCGCGCCACGCCAAATCGCACCGCTTGGCGTAGCACAACACAGGACGTCAAACCTTTGGCGCAGCCGCAGCACAACGCGGGTACACCATGGGCGCAGAGCACTGCATCGCGTCACGTGACGTGGCGTCACGTGACGTGGCGTCACGCCACAACACGCCACATCACACCGCAGCCGTATATCGCATCACGTCGTGCCACGTCACAATCCTGTCGCACCGCACCGCACAAGCGTGACACCACACCGCATCGAATCGCAATGATCGCGCCGCACGATGCCAGACCACTCCACGTCACGCCGGCCGAGACCTCGGCCGACAAGCCACGCTCCGAACAGGCACCTGTGCGGACGCCCCGGATCCGGGCCGCAGCGGCGAGGACCCCGCGATGGCGCAAGCCACCGATTGGCTGATGGTCGGCTCGTCGTCTTCAGGGGAAGAGAGGGCGGCTCGCGATCGCTGCCCGTGACCCTCTGCGCCACACAAAGACAAAGACCCCCCGTATAGCCTTCGTAGACTGATGGGGCAAGTGCTGTTTGCGAGCGTCTCTGAAGGCTGGCGTGGGAGGGGCTGAGTAGTGGGTGTGGGGGCTAAAGTGCTTGTGTGGGCGTGGCTACGTAAAAGTAGGTGGGGCTGAGGGAGGGAGAAGAGGGAGGGAGTCAATGGAGGGGAGGAGGGAGGAGAGGGAGGGAGTCAATGGAGGGGAGGAGGGAGGGAGGAGAGGGAGGGAATGAATTGAGGGGAGGGAGGAGAGGGAAGGAGTGAATTAAGGGGAGGGAGTGAGGAGAGGGAGGGAGGGAGGAGAGGGAGGGAGTGAATTGAGGGGAGGGAGGGAGGAGAGCGAGGGAGTGAATGGAGGAGAAGGGAAGAAGGGAGGGAGCCACACAAATTGGGCGGTTATCCGTGCTGCAGGCGGGTACCGGTGAAGTCGTAGAGCTGAGCGGCCGCGTCCACCACGATGCCCAGGAGCGGCAGGTAGAGCGATGCGATGTGTGCCTTCACCTCGGGGGCGGAGTACCGCGGCTCCGTGTCGTGGCTCGACACGAGCACGTACACGGCGCTGATGGCGCGCTTCTGCAGGCACGACAGGCTGCGGGCGCGCGAGCACACGCACAAACACAAAAGCGAAGGTCCCCCGTGTAGCCATTCACAGACTGTTGGGGCGAGTGCTAAAAGTGAGCAGCAGCTGTGAAGGCCGGCACGGCACACGAGAGGGGGTGGCTGGGTAGCACCGCGCTCGGCCGTCTCTGTCTCCCCAGTGGCGATGTTTACACATCGCACCAGGTACTAATTTGAGGCCGAGTCGACCTAGGGGAGGCCCAGGGCCAATTCATATAATAGTCACTGCTGTTGGCCGTGAGCGGCAACGGAACTCGGCTTCGTAGCGCAGCGCACTAACCATCGCACTCCCCTCAGACACACACACGTGGACACGCGGACGCACGCACGCACACGCATGCACGTACGCACACGAACACACACGGACACGGATGCTTACGGGCGCACGCGGAGGTACGTGCGAACGGAGACGCCGATATGCGCCCGCACACGCGCCTGCCGCATGGTGCCGACGACCAGCCCGCTCCTGCGCCGGTGGTCACGAATGCTCGCATGGTCACGGTCACGGCCACGAGCCTCGTCAACCCGTGTGACGTCCCGATGCGGTTTTGGCTCACACCCGTCGGCACGCAGGCTAATGCCCATCGCCGATGACGGTGCCCCCACCCCACGGACGAGCAATCGAGCGTGGACAAAATCACGGCAACTCACCCGCCCATCGTCCGCCTCGCTCACCTGTCGGCAAAGTCGAGGTCGAGCGTCAGGGCGAGGTCGGAGAGCAGCAGGCCGGTGAGGTAGTGCTGCTGCCGGAATTCCGTGGAGAGCTCGAACATCTTGGCCACCTTCTGGTCTTGAACGGTGGAGGACATCCCGGAGCCCTGCACGCACAAAGACAAAGATCCCCCGCGGGACCTTTAGCGGACTGTTGGGGGGGTAAGGAGCTGTTGGCGAGCACCAATCAACGCCAGCCACGGCAAAACGAGCGCGTGGAGTTGCCAGCGCTATGCCCGGCCTCGGCGCTGACGTTTACAACTCGCACCAGGTACTCATTTCAGTCTGAGTGGACCTAGGGGGGAGGGGCCCAGGACCGGTTCAGATAACCGTCGCTGGTGTTGGTGGCCGTAAGCGGGAATCGCGCTCGGGTCGCCGGGTTTGTAGCGCAGCACGCCGACCGCTACGATGACGCACACACGCACACACGCACACACGCGCACACACGCACACACACACACGCACACACGCACACACGCACACACACGCGCACACGCGCACACGCACCCACCCCCCCTGCGCAGTGCGGAGGGAACCTGCGACGCGACGGAGGGCGACGGCGAGGGCGACGTGGGGGGCGACGAGGCGGAGGAGGCGAGCGGCAGGTTGAGTGCCACGTAGTGCTCGTGCGTGCACACGATGCGGAGGAAGTCCAAGCGCAGCGACGCCAGCGGCGTCAGCGCCCCGGGGCTGGGCGAGCTGTTCGCTCGGTTCCACGTCTTTCCGGTTTGGGGGCAGTTGGGGGCGGGGGGGGGGGGGGAGAAGAGAGAGAATCAGGGGGGGCGGGGGCATCACAGTGCCAGGTGGCCTGGTGGGGCTGTAACCCAACGGCGACGTGACGACAACGACCCCCGCCGAGTGGCGCGGCCCGGCTGCACCGCGCGTCGTCGTCGACGTCGTTCTGCGTGACGTCCGACGTTTCGCTCCACGTTTACCGGGGAGGCTCTTCCGGTTCGGCTCGGGTCCCGCGCGGCACGGCCGAGCGAAGCGACGGATGGGACGCGCCGACGCGCGGCACGATCCCGGCCGGAAGCGCACACACAAAGTGGCCGGTGCGCTCGGGGGCTACCCGGCGGGATCTCTGCGCCCGTCTCGTCGCGCGGGGGGGGGGGGTCACCTGCTTGCAGTAGGTCTTGACGAGCTGCATGACGAAGCCGCGGTCGACGAGGGAGAAGAGGTCGTTGATGAAGAAGGCGAGGCTCACGTTCAGCTTCTCCGCCAGCTCTTGCTCCTGGCACGCCCCGCAAACACGGCGGGGGACCACGTCCCCATTCAAGTCGTGGCCACATGACCGTCGGACAATAATGATAACGCACCCTTTTGGTTCTTTTTGGTAAAGTCACGTAGGTAGGAAAAATAATACATCACGACGTTTTGATCGCAACGCAAGCAATCGTCATCATCTATTATTTTTTTATACCTACGTGACTTTACCGAAAGAACCAAAGAGTATGGATTCCTGCAGTCACGAAAGCGATGACCTACTGCTGCTGTGTAATCGCGACCGAGTGATTCGGGGGTAAAGTTTGGACCGAGACGCCGGCACACAGTGGCCTTCTCGCTTCGAGTGACGTCATGGGGTGTTATGAAGCACCTTGTGGTCACAGTCGTATTAACCAGGGCGGCCCGCCGAATTCGAACCGCGACGAGCGGCGAACAGCGCCACCGCTGGGCCGTGTCAATGCCCCCAAAGGATTTCGGGAGTGAATGAGCGATCTGTGTCGCTATCAATCTACGGGGTCTCTCTTGCGAGTCTGTGGGTCTGCATCTAAGTCTATGGTCTCATGTGTCTCTATGTAAGTCTGTTGGTCATGGATCTCTCAGTGAGCCTATGTTGTTTTGCAGAAATCCGGTTTAATCACAACTCAGCCTATGTCTTTGTGTCTCTATATAAGACGGTGAATCTTTATATGACTCTGAGTCTCTGAACGAGTCTATGCATCTCTGTGTAACTCTTTTGGAGCTGTCCGTGTGAGCCACTGGCGACCGGGCTGAGACAACCAAATCGCGACACCTCAGAACCCGGTTAAACAACGGTGATTGGGTAGCTGGACCTCAGCTGTGCCGGCTCAGTGTCTGTGACCTCTGCACCACCCGCATGGTCGTTGACCTCTCTCTACCGAGCCGGCCTCTACAATTACCGCCTTCCCCCTCCCTCCCCGCCCGTCACTCCGAATCAGCCAAGTGGCGTCACCTTCTGGAACTTGTCCATGATGTCGTTGGCGACGTTTGTGACGAGGGCGCGCAGATCGTTGGTGAACTGCTCGGGGAAGCGGAGGCGGCGCGGAGCGGCCAGTTTCCCCGTGACGTACAGGTACTGGGCCATGCTCTTCACCTGCGGCACGCGGGGGAGACACGGGGACACACGGGGGAGACATGACACAGGGACACACGGACCGAGGCATGTGTGGACAGATTGACGATGAACAGAGGCACGAACAGACGGAAGGACTGACAATGGCGCACAACACAAAGACCTCCCCCCCCATATAGCCTTAACAGACTGCTGGGGCAAGTGCGGACAAACGGACTGGTGGACAAATGGACAGACACAACGGGCAGATGAACACCAGCAACATAAGGGGAGAAAGACACACAGCGCATATTGACGATGAAGCAGATGATAACGATGATGATGACATTGTTGACAATGACGATGCAATCGATAATCAAGTTGATGTTCATAATGGCAGGGATGATGTCGCCGATGATATCGATGTTGACGAAAAAGCTGCCGATGACGACGATGTCGATGATTGGGAAGGGCAGCCAGCGCGAGCGGTTACCATGAGCTCGAAGAAGAACCAGGCGTTCTGCAGCGCCGTGTCACGCACGCTGCCCTTGCTCACGACCCACTGCAGCACCAGCTCCTCGTGGAACAGCTGCTCGTGAACACCACGGTGACGCACACACGCAGTGATGCACACGGCGACAAACACAGTGACAAACGGTGATGCGCGCGCGCGCACACGCACACACGCGCACGGTGACACGCGGTAACTGACACTCACACAGCGGAGTGACGCGGTGACGCACGCACACGCGGTGACACACACGGTCACACGTGGTGACGCACGCACATGCGCGGCGACATGCGGCGATGCAGGCACATGGCACGGTGACACGCGCGCTCTCAAATCCGAGCATGGTCAGGGGTCACCGTTAGGGGTCACGGCGGGACAGGGCAACACTTGCTTGTCACGATGATGATAAAAAAAATGTATATGCTGCTGCTGATGATGATGATGATGACAGTGATGATGATGATGACAGTGATGATGGTGAAAATGCTCGTGGTGTTGGTGATGATGCCAATGCTGATGAGTGAGCGCGTGTGTCGCACCTTGCGGGAAGTGAGCCACCCGAGCTGACTCTGAGCCTGAGCGGACTCCGGGAACATGGACTCACGGCACGGCACAACCCGCTCCTGGCACACCAACAACACAGCAACAACAACAATAAACACAACAAAAACGCAGCAACACAACAACAACAACACAACACGGATTCTGCAACGCTATCATTCGCGGCACGGAAGCCGGCGCGCGGTGGCCGTCAGGTCAAAAACCCTTTGTGTGTTCGCCGCGTGTTACGCGTTCTGCTCCGGTTTGGAACGGCAGGTATTGCGCAACGCTTTTGATCCACGTGGGCCCGGTTCCCTCCGGGGAGAGTCGCCGGTAGCAACGGGACCTTGCACTCGGATCGTCCCTCCTGGGGATTACCGCAATGCGACGTGGACGCTAAATTTGCGTTCATATCGCCACCGTCTTTGCAGACGCTATCGCGACCCCACGTTGCACACGGACAGACAGAGCCGATGCGCAAAAACCCATGGGTCAATGCGGCTGATTTCGACATCGGCTGAATCCCAGATAGCAAACACGCGTTTGGTTCATATCGCAAAACTCATCTCTCTTCGGGAGCGATTGTGCCAAACCGACGACACGCATTAAGAACAACGCTTTCAGCCTCCGTTGGTTTGCGGTAAAATTTACCGGCGCTCCTCGCCCATCCTGGGCAACGCTACCCGCCCCCCCCTGCCCGACAGCCGACCCGCGGCCAAAACAAACCCGGGGCTCGTCGGGGAGGGAGCGTTCATCCGGCAGCGGACTGAGCAAGGGCTGACGCACCTTGCCGGCGAGGAGGCTGGCGACCTCTTGGTCGGCGGAGTTGGGGCTGCTGACGTCGGGGTTGCTGCTGCTGAGGCTGCGCGTCCCCGTGAGGTTAAGGGTCGTGGGCCGAGGGCGAGCGGCGAATCGCGACAGCGTGTTGTACCGGATCCCTGCGGGCAGACGGCCCGCAGCACCACCGGCGTCAATACCACCCGTCGTTGTCGTCATCCACAATCTACATCATCATATGCTTCCATCCATCAATGCATCATCATCAGCTATCCATCAATGCATCGTCATCATTCGTCCATCATCATATTTTTTGCCATCAGTCCATCCATCCACTGCCATAATCATCACCCATATCCACCAACCATCATCATCACCCGTCATCAACAATCAAAGTCATCATCATCAACAACATCATCACCGCCGTCATCATTCGTGTCATCGTCATCACGATCAGCAATGTCACCGGGATAGGAATCCTGTTGGCCGGCTGTGGGGTTGGCAGATCGCATGACGATCTGTGACGCGGTCGCGCCCCGAGTTTACCTCCGGGGTTCATGGTTGGCGTGCAGCCACCGCCTCTGCCGCCACCGCCGCCACCGCCGCCACCGCCGCCACCACCACCGGCGTCCGTTCCGACAACGGAGCAGGCGAGCGGCAGGCGGAACACGTGGTGCACGTACGCGGCGAGCAGGGCGTTGCGACCGTGCTGGTCCTGGTTGAACTCCAGGCTCTGGTGCACGCGGTTGGCGATGTTGGCCATGGCCTCGAAGGCCACCTGGCTGAGGTTCACTGCGGGGATGGCGGGGTGGGTGGGGGGGGAGCGATGACGGTGGGGGTGGCGGGGATGAGAAAGAGAGAGAGAGAAAGACGCGCACCCGATAGACCAATACAGGGGGACAGACGTGCAGGAGACGGATATGCGTCCACGGACAAACAGACCAGCAGACATTGAGGGACACAAGGAGACAGATACACAGAGTGGTATAGGGAGAGAGATAGACACAGAGAGAGGCAAGGGAGAGAGACACGAAGAGAAACATGCACACACACACACATTCTCAGCATCGTGCCACTATTGATAACACCATCACTATAGTCCCGCTACATCCACCACAGCCGCTACCACAACCACTGCCACCACCGTAATCACCACTACCACCACGTCGACTCTGGGCACATCAACACCGCCATTACTATCATCAAAGACAAGGCCTGAACAGACTGTTGGGGCAAGTCCTGTTAGCTATGAAGGCCAGCACGGCACATGAGGGGGTGGGTGGCCAACACCACGCCCGGTTGCCTTCATCTCCCAGGACCGATTCAGATAATCGTCACCGGTGTTGGCCGTGGTGTCGGAATTGAACTCGGGTCGCCGGGTTCGGAGCGCAGAGCGCTGACTACTATCATCATCAGCACCACCGCGACTATCACCGACGCCGGGCTCACCGCCGTCACCGCCAGCATCGCCATCGCCGTCGTGGTGCCGCTCGCGGCGCGGGCAGGCTCACCGATCTGGCCGGCGAGCACGGGCGGGCGCACGGTGAGCAGCACGATCCGGTCGAGCAGCGGGTGGAAGTGGCGCACGAGGGGCTGCATGGCGGCGTTGCCGACGCCGGCCACGGCCGAGCGCAGCTCCGCCTCGAGCTCCGCCTCCGTCACGCGCTTGGGCCCCGCCCACACGGGGAAGGAGTGCGACTCGAGCGCGGCGCACAGCGCGAAGAGCCGGTCCAGCGGGGCGTCCTGGCGGGCCGTCGGAGCCGTCACCATGGTCGGAGCCAGTCGTCGTCGTCATCGTAATCATCGCCGCCGTCGTCGTCATCGTAATCATCGCCGTCGTCGTCGTCATCGTAATCATCGCCGTCATCGTAATCATCGCCGTCGTCGTCGTCATCGTAATCATCGCCGTCGTCGTCATCGTCGTCATCGTAATCATCGCCGCCGTCGTCGTCATCGTAATCATCGCCGTCGTCGTCGTCATCGTAATCATCGCCGCCGTCGTCGTCATCGTAATCATCGCCGTCGTTGCCATAGCCATCGCCACAGTTGTCACCGTCATATTTATCGTCGTCATAGTCATCGCCGTCGTCACAGTCCTCACAGTTGCCTTAGTCATCGTTGTCATAGTCATCGTCGCCATAGTCGTCAACGTCGTCGTAGTCATCACCGTCGCCATAGTCATCACCATCACCATAGTCATCATTATCATCGTAGCCATAGTCATCGTCGTCATAGTCATCGTCGTCATATTCCTCACCATCGCCATAGTCGCCGTAGTCATCGTAGTCATCACCGTTGTCGTAGTCATCACCGTCGCCATAGTCGTCACTATCGTTGTAGTCATCACCATCATTATCATAGTCGTCACCATCGTCATAGTCATCGTCGTCATAGTCATCGTCGTCATAGTCATCATCATCACCATCGGCATAGTCATCGTCGCCATAGTCATCACTGTCACCATCGTCATCATCAGTGCAGCACCCGGCGTTAAGAGCCAGTCCAGGGGGGTGCTTTCATCATTGTCTATCAACTGCCATCGTTGCCATGAATGTCATCTTATCAACATCATCATGGTCATTGTCCACAACATCATCATCATTCACATCATTATCCATATCACCATCTACATCATCACCTCCGATTAGCACAGTTGGCAACGTATAGTGCGAAAAAAGTTCAACGTACATACAGCCATTAACATGCACATCATTATCATAACCATCATCATCATCATCATCGTATGCTTAAGATCGGAACGTGCCGCCCTCACCTGTGTGTGTAGCGAGGACACGGCCACCACCTCCACATTGAATATAGCCTTGTGTCCCTCTACCCAGCGGATATTCGGCACGTGGACCTACACAGGGGTCGGGGTGGGAGCGATCGCAGAGAAATCACCGCTCGGACACAGACGCTGCTCTTGGAGGCATGGGTACACACGGGGACACGTGGCGACACGCATACGGATCACAGGGACACAGGAGCACACAGAGAATTACCGGAAAGTATAGGAAGACACAGGGACACACGGAGAATTCTGGAGATGCGTTGGAGACAAAGGGATGCGCGGGGACATGCGTGGGCATGCTTGGAGACGCGTGGTGACGTGCGCATGTGACAGTACTCACCTCGGGGGGCAGGGCGGAGTAGTTGGTGGGCAGCTTCTCCATGGAGACGGCGAGGTTCACCTGCCCCGTTACCAGGCGACCGTGCTGCAGCAGGGGCAGCCACTGCAAGGGGTCACGGGGGTCACGAGGGTCACACGGGCACAGGTGAGACAAAACACTCAACACGTTCGTCACCAATGTGCTATGAAGAAGGGCCACTGGTCTCATGTGGTTTTTAATTGCTTTTAAATCCATGCAGTGTTATTGAGACGGCACGCGTTGGTTTGTTGTTGCTAATTGTGCTTGTGGACCACTGGCAACCTGTGCTTATTTGTTACAGGTGAGGCAAGTGGGTGTCTGGGTGTGCGAGTGAGGGAATGAGTGAGTGGGTGGGTGGGTGAGTAGGTGTAGGAGTTAGTTGGCAAGTGAGTAGGTGGGTGAGTGAGTGAGCGTTTGTCAGTGAGTTAGGCAGCAAGTCAGTGGGTCAGTGAGCCGGTGAGTATCTGAGCGAATGGGCGAACCAGCGACTGAGCGAGCCGAGTGAGAGATCGAGCGTATCGACTCAGCGAGCGAGCAAAGTGAGCGATCGACTGAGCGAGCGAGCGAGCGAGCGATGACGTGGGCGGCACACGCACCGTGTATCCGATGGGCGTCTCGAGCGGAGCGTTCTGCTTCTGCTGGCAGCTGATGTGGTAGAAGGTGAAGAGCACGTGGTGGTTCTCGGTCAGATTCGCCGGCAGCTTCATCTTCACCTCCTCGTAAAAATCCGGTGCCCTGGCGCGACGCGCACACGGGCATTAACCGGGGCGGCTTCCGGGCTCGAACAGCGGAATCGCTGCAGGGCGAGCGGTGGTCGCGGTTACGCTGGGCCACGTGACTCCACTGACCCGACGGTACCGATGATGGTTGTGATGAGGTGGCGGCGGGGTGGGGGGGGGATGATGATGATGGGAGAGCAATGACGACGCAACAGTGGTTTGCACACTGCCCCTGCAATCGCAGTGAGCCGGGTTCGATTGCCGTCCGTCACTCTCAAGATCCCCGGAAAGACTCGGCACGGCGTTGCTTAGCCGGCTACCTTCCACGGGGGGGTAACTGAGGCACAGGCAGTCGTGGGAAAAGCATCGGATACGTGAGCATCGAGAGGACAGCGACAGCGGTCGCATCATCCATTGCACAAATGAGGGCCCTGGACAAAACGGAAGGGGGACAACCTGGGGAGATGATTTTGAAGCGGCACCGCATCGCGACGTTTCGATTGCAACACAAGCTCCTTCCCCCCCTTCCTTACCTATATAACCTCTTGCCACGGCAGCTCTCTCGCCCACTTCAGCAATGTTTTCTTGCTGTGGTTGTTCACACCTGATGAAGGTTGCTTGCGTTGCAATCGAAACGTCGCTATTTGTTTTATTTCATTTCTACCTACGTGACTTTACCGAAAGAACCAAAGAGTGTGGATTCCTGCAGTCACGAAAGCTTCAAATCAAGATCGACACCCCATCGCCGCGCGCGACAAGGTCATATTTGTGAAACGCCGATCCGAAATCAGCGCTCCCCCATCACCGTCCCCCTCACCTCGCCAATCATCGCCGCCCCCAGCAGACCCGAGGGACAGAGAGAGAGAGAGAGACAGGCAAAGGGATGGCCGTTGTGCAACATACAGGCACACTATCCCTATCAGGCGGTGGTGGTGACGGTGGCGGGCGGCGAGGGGAGACACAGGCTGCCTTTGTCTCGGCGATTCCTGCTCCACGATCACGTCCCTCCCGCGTGCTCGCCCGTCACGCCACGGTTCACCAACCCCATGAGCCGAGGCGGCGGGCGGGGGACAGCGAGCCAGGAGGGAGAGTCACCGGGAGGGAAGGAAGGATGGAGGGAGCGGTGAACGCGTGCCGGAAGAGGGTATCCCCCACACCGTTCGACCATATTTCACCACGCCGGTCAGTGGGGGGGGGGGGTGTCAGGAAACCACTCGCCGCTGATGGTAGCCGTGGCCAGGAATCGAAGGCGGGTCACCGGGTTCGCATCACCATGGAGGGCAAGGCTGGAAAGCCAAAAAATACTTTCTGTTCATGTGCGGAGACGGGGACCGAGCAATTGCTTGCTTTCGTTATTGGTCTGGCTCTGGCCGCTCACTTGTTGTGGTAGGTGATGGCTGTGTAGGCTTCCTTAGAGAAGTCCGGGCAGCTGGATTTGCCGAAAATCGCCTGTAAACAACAAGAACGAAGACACTTGATCGATTTAAACCACGCAGGTTTTTCCGTCATTGCGCCGCACGGTACAGCTCACCACCCCCGGTGTAGGTATGTACCACAGGGGTTTGGGGGAAAATGGTAGGGGGGGGGGGGGCGGGGAGCGGTTGATAGGGGGAGAAGTGGTACCAGCATGGTGCTCTCTGGATCCTCAGCTGCCATGAGTTGTATCTTGATGGCGATGTTCCTGGCCGAGCCCTGCCGCGTGGAGAAGTTCACGCTCTGTGGGTACACGTACAGCAGGTTCCTGCGCACGCACGCACACACACACAAAGACAAAGACCCCCCCCCCCCGGTGTAGCCTTTAATAGACGGTCGGAACAAGTGCAGTTAGCGAGTAGCGCCTGCGACGGGCGGCGCTGCAGACGGTGGGTTGGGTGGCCAGCACCACACCCAGCCGCCTTTGTCTCCCGAGCGGCGGTGTTTACACATCGCAGTAGGTACTCATCATTTGAGGCTGAATCAATCTTGGGGAGGCCCACGACCGGTCCAAACAATCGTCACCAGTGTTGGTGGCTGCGAGCGGGAATTAAACTCGGGTCGGCGGGTTCACAGCGCACAGCGCGCTAACTGCTCCCCACCCCCCGGAGACTCTCACGCAGGCACGCACGCACGCACACGCAGGGTCAATTACGGGGAAAAAAACACAACGTAGCAAACGCAATTACAATGCCATCAATTGCCGCTCAGTGCACGGTGCGTTCCGCAAACCACCCGCGCGCGCGTGCACGGCGAGCCACCGGCGGGCGCCGCCGGGGGGGGCTTGTGCTACGCGGCGGTCGCGACGGAGCCAAACGAAAGACCGTGGTGCTGTCGCAATGTCGGCGGCGCCGAGTCCGTAACTCTAACGAGCCAGATGGCCGGCGTCGCCGGGACCATCGCGCCAAACGCGCCGTGCCATCGTTAAGGCCGCGCGGTCACGACAGCGGTTGGATAAGGGGTGGCCGGGTGGCTCAGAAGAGACACGTCGGTTGGCATCGCTGAGATCCAGGACGGGCGCGGTTTGAATGTCGCTTCCGGCCACTTGTGATTAAGCTGGGTTCTCTCGAGTGGAGCGAGTTGATGGTCTCAGACCGGTCCACATATGGCCTTATCAGGATCCACAGAATCTCGAGAAAACCCACAGACTCACGCAGTGACCCACAGGACTCGTATGGATCGAGGTGAGGTTAAACCGGGTTCTCAAGTGTAGCTGGAGCCATGTGCCCCTTCCGTGTTAATATATAAACTAAACTTTTTATTCTACCAGGTTAGGCACACTGAGCTGTATAGCTCTTTTTCGCAAAGTGACCTGGCCACAAATGTGAGCCCAATCAATTGCTTTATCACGTGGAAATATGTCACGGCCAAAGACTCAAAAGGCACGCTGATGCGAAATGTAGAGGGAAAAACCGGAGGACCCGGAAAAAAATCCACGCGACCACAGGGAGAGACACGCAAACTCCAAATATACAACAGGCGTCACAGGGTCGAGATATAACCCACCACTTCCTGTATACCAGGCGAGGTAGTTAACATCTCGCCACCGTGGCACCTATACAAGATGAAATGCCGCTAATATCACGACTTTAAAGATGCTACTCGAACAGCAGCGGGAATTAGTTTTGTTTGCTAAAAGGGTACCGGTTGAGTTAATGGTCCACCGTTATCGAGCTGTGCCGTTACCATTCGGGGTCACGCCGACACGCGGCAATAGCAGCGTGTGACCCTGACCGAGAACAACCAAGAGCCCGGGTCACATGACCTGACGCCCGGGTCACATGACCTGACACACACGGCGCCCCCCCCGTCAAGACTGCGCGCCTTGCGCCAGGTCGCCGGGTGTTTGGCTGGGGCGACGGTGGTGGATACGCTGCTGCACATGGGTGCCTGTAACCCAGCACCGTGTGGAAGCAGCAGCAAGGGTTGGTGGATCATCGCGCGCAGAAATCCCCTTCCCGTGGGCGTCGAGGAAGCGCCATTGCCCTGGCTCGGCAGGAAGACGCAGTGCAGCAAAAATGTGGACTCCACCCGTCCCATCCGTAAGCAACGGATGCTCCCGTGTCCTCCCACATGCAAACACTAATCAGCTGGCCGATAACGTCTTAATATATATAGGGGGCTGCAGAGCTTGGGAAATGTTTTGGTAACGTCGGTTCCTTAACACGCAGCTGCTGCCTTTCTGCGAGTCTGCCGTTCCTCGCCCTTCTCTCTCCCCCGCCCCGAGAAAGGTTCTAGACACGACCATTCCACCGCCCTGCCCCCCACTTCGAGGTTATTCGCGGTTGTGAACCCGAGCTCCCCCCCCCCCCCCCCCCCGGGAGGGATGGGCCCATCACGCGTGGCCGAGCCTACCCCCCACAGCCAATCGGAGCGGCTCGCACCACGCACACGGCGGCACGTGGACGCACATGTGACCCAGCGGGTGTGAGAATGTCTGTGTGTGTGTGTGTGTCGGTACGCATGTGCGAGTGTTTTTGCACGAGCGTCTGTGCACGTGCGTACGAGTACGCGCACGTGCGTTAGTGTATCTGCCGGTATGTGCATGTGCGTAAATGCGTGTGCATGTGCGTGCAAGTGTGTCTTGTGTGTGCGTGCGTATTCTACCAATGTCTTTGCTGGAATTCTATTTCTGGATTTCGATCTTAAGTTATCGTGCAGTTACATTTCACGATTATCATTGTCTGCGTTTGTTTACCCAGGAAAGCCTCGCATGGAGTCTCAAGACTTTTGTGCCAGGAGGGTCCTGCCACGTATCCGAAGTAGGAGGGGTGGGGGGGGGTGATGTTTCTGCGTCATTCCAATTGATTAATATGCGGGAGGCATTTGTGCATTGAGATATTTTGGCCAATACCGGTTACATTGTGTGTTTTTAAAAAAAGAACACGTCTACGGGATAAATATCTATGGGACCTTTTTGCCAGTAGGTATCAAAATGATGGGGAAAAAAATAAGAATATGTTTTACCCTTTCTGGAAATAAGATGTTCCAACACCAAATCTACATTAACCACACATACTTGTGGGAAAACATGCAAACAACACATCCTCTGATAATGTATGCAGTGTCTTTGAAACTCGTTGGCCTACACCAGAGGACATCCTTCTTTATCTGTGAGAAGGAAACCCCAGAACCCGGAGGAAAGCCATGAGAAAAATCGGGAGAGAAAAATTGGGAGAGAACGCTCGCACGCTCGCACTGAACACGCTCGCACTGAGCACGCTCGCACTGAGCACGCTCGCACTGAGCACGCTCGCACTGAGCACGCTCGCACTGAGCACGCTCGCACTGAGCACGCTCGCACTGAGCACGCTCGCACTGAGCACGCTCGCACTGAGCACGCTCGCACTGAGCACGCTCGCACTGAACACGCTCGCACGCTCGCACTGAACACGCTCGCACTGAGCACGCTCGCACTGAGCACGCTCTCACGCTCGCACTGAGCACGCTCGCACTGAGCACGCTCGCACTGAGCACGCTCGCACTGAGCACGCTCGCACGCTCGCACTGAACACGCTCGCACTGAACACGCTCGCACTGAGCACGCTCTCACACTCGCACTGAGCACGCTCGCACGCTCGCACTGAACACGCTCGCACGCTCGCACTGAACACGCTCGCACTGAGCACGCTCGCACTGAGCACGCTCGCACTGAGCACGCTCGCACTGAGCACGCTCGCACGCTCGCACTGAACACGCTCGCACTGAACACGCTCGCACTGAGCACGCTCTCACGCTCGCACTGAGCACGCTCGCACGCTCGCACTGAGCACGCTCGCACGCTCGCACTGAACACGCTCGCACGCTCGCACTGAACACGCTCGCACGCTCGCACGCTCGCACTGAACACGCTCGCACGCTCGCACTGAACACGCTCGCACGCTCGCACTGAGCACGCTCGCACTGAGCACGCTCCCACTGAACACGCTCCCACTGAACACGCTCGCACTGAACACGCTCGACACGCTCGCGCTCGACAACCCTCACATTTTGCAAATCAAAGGGGGAAAACGTACAAACTCTACTCGCTCACTCTCGCACGCTCGCACTGAACACGCTCGCACGCTCGCACTGAACACGCTCGCACTGAACACGCTCGCACTGAACACGCTCGCACTGAGCACGCTCGCACTGAGCACGCTCGCACGCTCGCACTGAACACGCTCGCACGCTCGCACTGAACACGCTCGCACGCTCGCACTGAACACGCTCGCACGCTCGCACTGAACACGCTCGCACTGAACACGCTCGCACTGAACACGCTCGCACTGAACACGCTCGCACTGAACACGCTCGCACTGAGCACGCTCCCACTGAACATGCTCCCACTGAACACGCTCCCACTGAACACGCTCGCACGCTCGCACTGAACACGCTCGCACGCTCGCACTGAGCACGCTCGCACTGAGCACGCTCCCACTGAACACGCTCCCACTGAACACGCTCGCACTGAACACGCTCGACACGCTCGCGCTCGACAACCCTCACATTTTGCAAATCAAAGGGGGAAAACGTACAAACTCTACTCGCTCACTCTATCACACAAAGCCGCAGATACCCGCCGTAGCATTATCAGACCGCCGGCAGAAGAGCTATGCGCTGTTGTTGGTGGTTGAAGAGGGGGCGAGGGGGGGTGGGGTGGTCTCAGACTGGGCCCAGGGCACCTGTGGATATTTAAAACGATTTCGCTCAGTACAAATGACCCTTATTGTGTGGCCAGATGGCATTGCTTTACACTTTGTTAAAAATATAATGGTTATCGTTTTTTTTGCTTTGCTTTCAAGCAAATGTATTTAGGATACAGTTAATTAATAATGCGTGAGAATGATACATATTATGTTTATTCATTACACATTTTGAAAGTGATGTTTGTTACTGGCCATGTAACATGTTAGACATTTGTAAACGTGTTAACAACAACAACAACAAAAACCCCATCTGCCTCTGACGGTACCTTCGAGCGGCTAACTCTGGATGGAGACGAGCACTCACCTCTTCTACCCATCTTATCCCACCGTGTCAATATTGCTTATTAAAAACAAGAATCGCCAGTTACGAACGCGCCACGCCTGGGGGTCGTGTCGCGTGGTCGCCACGGCTCTGTGAGGAATGCAACGCTGGATACATCTCGATAGCAAATCACCCCCCCCCCCCCCCCCCCTTCTTCTTACCCCCCCCCCCCCCCCATCATCACCACCAACCCCGCTCCGGGACCCCCTGCCATTGGCTCGAACCTCACACAGCGGTCACATTGGCCAGGAAAGGGGGGGCGGGCTCACGGTGGAAAGGGGAGAGGGCGGCGGCGGAGGCGGAGGAGGAGGAGGAGGGATGAAGTTCTGGGAGCATAAAGCTGGGCTCGCTGGCAGTGGTCGGACACAGCCTCTGTGCTCACAACACTAGGCTGTCCCCAAGGCAGGGAGAGGTGGGGGGGGGGAAGAGTTTAAATAGGGAACTAAATGTGTTTAAATTAAGTAAGGACTTGAGAAAGAAGGCCACATCAGCTTTTGTTCGGGTTTTAGTTTTTCCAAAGTTAGCGAGGTCAATTTTATACAGTGCCAAGTTTTTTTAAATTTCTTTTTCAACGTGAAAAAAAAAAAATCGAAGCTCTGAGCGGCGTTGTCAGTGCTGGTGTCGTTGGTAGGAATTTGTTTTGTATTTTCTTACTTTATTATTTTATTATAACTGTCCAACAGGAAAGTTCCGGTCAAGTGGACGCGTGCTAGTTGAGTATTTTTTTTTGTTATAGAGTACAATCGTCGGAGAATCAAAATCGCCGCCGTCAACCCTACGACTTGTTACGTTGCCAAGTTAGCTTTTTGTATGCGAGCGACAGCGGCGAATCTTTATTATTAAATATCGATCAGAGACAAAATAGAGAAAACCCTACGCCCGAAACAGGGATACACTGAGACAGAGACAGGGAAAGCCAGCTCGCATTTCCACCTCACCGTGGTAGTCAACCTGAACCATCCGCCACACGGCTCTCCCCCCACGCCACCCCAGCATGCTGTCCCTGCCACCTCTACCCCCCCTGCTCCTGCTCCTCGCTCTATCATCGCCGTGCTTCGCCGCCGGCGCCCGCTATGCCGACAACCTCTTCTACGGCGCCCCGAGCCCCGGCAGCCTCGACGCCGGCCACGCGAACACCCGGCAAGACGACCGCCACCACCACCACCACCACCAGCAGCAGCAGCAGCAGCAGACGATGACTACTGCGGAGTCGGCTGTGCCGCCGCAGAGGGGCGGTCGCCGGGCGCGGTTTGCGCTGCAGGACGAGGTCAACCTGCTGGCGTTCGGCCTGCTGCAACTGGGCCAGGGCGTGCGCGAGCTCTCCGAGCGTACGGCGGAGCGGCTGGCGGCGGCGAACGGCGCGGTGGAGCGGGCGGCCGCGGCGGCGCACGGCGCCGAGAGGCGCGCCAGCGAGGCCGAGAAGACGGCGCGGGAGCTGCGGGAGAGGCTGGGCAGGCTGGAGGAGGCCTGGGTGCCGGCGAGAAGGAGAGAGGCGCGGAGAGACGAGGTGGGGGGGGCGGGGGGCGGCGATGACCGCGGCGGTGCGGGGTGTGCACGGTTACGCGTGGGTTGGCGGTGCTGGTACGACAGCGGTGGTAGCACCGGAGCCGTTGCCGCGTGCAACGGTCGTGGGTAGCGCTTGCGCTAAAGTCAGCACTGGCAATAACACCAGCACTAGCAATAACAATATCATCAGCACTTGCAATAACGCCAACAATAACCCTGGCAATAACCCAAGCACGAGCAATAGCACCACTGCTCGTGCTGTTGCGCGATTCCACAGTGATTTCTGCCGAAATGAGCCATGAGTCGGTGCTATTCTTCTGCTTACAGCCCCAGGGCAGTGGTGGAAATTACACATTCCCATGACGGTCGATCCATCGGACTTGTCCACAAAGTGGTACTCATTTTATCGAACCCAGAGAGATTATGGGCCGGGTCAACACGCAACCAGGCTTTGTATTCAAATTCATGTACGGTTAAGTTTGTGTATGAGCGAGTTTGCACGGTTGCGTTTGTACGGTTGACTTTGCACGGTGCGCGTTTACACGGTGCGAGTTTGCACGCGTGCGTTCGCGTGCAACTGAGTTCACGTGCGATTGTTTAATTTACCGAGCTGTGCAAAACATTGTTCGCAATTTTCCGCCACTGCCGACCTCAGCATGGAGCTGGACACCCGTGAACAGGAGCCTCACGGTCCACCGGGGTGCCTCCAGCTCCGATCGCTCGTTCGCGTCGCCGTCTTCCGACCCCTCGCTTGACGTTCGTTCGTTCGCTTCCGCCTTCACAGTCGGAGTCTGGCGAGGGCGACGATGTGGGAGCCCTGGATCCTCCGTCGGAGCTGAGCGAACGGAACGTGGAGTCGACTCGTCTCCGGCTCAAACGAGAGGTGAGAGACGCCGCGGGGGAGATGGAGCTACGACAACGGAGCGACTCCCTCGAGGCTCGTTCTGCTCGCATTCTCAAAACCGTCGCCCCCGAAACGCACCCCATCTCGTCGGCCCATGGCCAAGCTGAGCGGGACTTGAGCCTGGATAAGTACTTGGATGGGCGATCACCATACGCACGATGAACAGGTGTATCGGGCGTTGTGGGCAGCAGAGATTCAGCGGAGCGACATCCACTGTTGTATCGTACTCCCATGCCGCCAAGTCTATGCTACCCCCGGCCTTAACTAACCCACACCGAGCGATGAAGTATGGGGGGCACTCATCCAGCAGTGGATTGGCAAGAGTGCCAGTGTAGTCGTTTGGTGATTTGAGAATCGCCGGTGCGGTGTACCATCATATACCGGGCCATTTCAACCGCCGTGTACACTCCATAAAGAACTAAACACACACACACGCTACATGCAACACTAGATACGTACACACACTACATAACTACGCTCTATTATGCACACACTGCACACAAAGACGGCTGCGCACGAGTTGCCCAGCGTTCTTGGAATAACATTTCACTGTGATCGGTCTCAAAAACAATCTGCCCCAGCTGACTTGCGCAATATTTTCGATATCTCATATTACATGATTGTCTTTTTGCGTGCCAAATCTCGACTTTGCCTTCATTGCTGTACTTTATTAACTTTTGTCTGCTTGGTGAAACCGAGGTCACTCTCGCTGATGAGAGTCTACCCCTGGTCTCAAATAATTAACTTGAAATTTGTGATTGCGACAGCGATGACATCGATGGTGCATGCGATAGCCATTACGATGATGATGAAAAATAAATAAATGGTGCCCCCCACGTCCAATTTTACCCCCCCCCCACTTCGTAATCCACCAGCTGGGCCTCAATGGTGGCGAGATGTTAACTACCTCGCCTGGTATATAGGAGTTCGTGGGTTCCATCATAACCCTGACGCCTGTACATTTAGAGTTTGCGTGATAAAAGCTACCATACTGCCTCTACTTGACTACTGTAACATCGTGTATAAATCAGCCCCAAGTACTGTACTGAAGAAGCTTGATTCCATCTATCACTCGGCCATAAGATTTGCATTGAACTGCCCATATAGGACTCACCACTGTGATCTCTACATTGGGTCAAACTTAACATCTCTTAATGTTCGACGGCTTGTGCACCAGATCTTATTTATTCACGATGTACTTACAAAAAATTCCGCAGACTACCTACTGGATCTCCTCTCTGTTTCAAAGAACAAATTTGACCTCAGGTCTTCGCTCATTTACTAGCTTCACATTCCCTATTGCTGTACTAAAACTGGAGGAAGGGCCTTTGCTATTGATGCCCCTGGGGTCTGGAATGCTATTGCCAATAAACTGCAACTTGAATCACTACCTATGAGATCTTCACTCAAAACTGCTCTAGAGGAGTTGTACAACCCTAGCTGCCACTGCTATTCAGTGGCCTAAAATATAGCTCTAGATTTTGGTGTTATAATTAATTTATGTAGTTTATTGTAAAAAATTCGGTCACAGTCCCTATGATCACTGTTACATTGGATTTATGGCTTTTATTTTGGTGATTTCGAAAAGTTTTTTTTTGTTTTGGCCATGTTTTTGTTTATTGTAGTACGGAGTTGACTGATGGCCTTAATCTTAGTTGTCTTGTTGTTGTTATTTTGACTTGCATCCCACTGGGATTTTTGCACACAGCGTTGGTGTACGGTGCTATTTCAGGAATATTTTGATATTTTTTTCCTGTATTTTCTGTTTGCACAGTCACATAATCACTTTAAGATGTTTTCTTGTTCATGTTCTTTGTTTGTTGCGGTTGCACCCGATTCAAGAGCCGAATGGCTCACAGGGCTATACCAAATAAATGAACTATGAACTAACTATGAACTATGTCTCTCCCCGTGATCATGTGGATTTTTCTCTGGGTCCTCCGGTTTTGATTCCCATCCACATTTACAATCAATGTGCGTTTAGAGTATTTGGTTTCTCTTAATTTCCACGTGATAAGCCACTTCGTTGGGCTATCATTTGTGGCCAGGTCGCTTCTTAAAAAGAGCTACGTAGCTCAAGTGGGCCTTACCTAGCAAAATTTAAACGGTTTATAGTTTAAGTAGTTTTATAACCCAGTAGCTGGGCCTCAACGACTACACCCCCCCCCCCCCACCTCTCTCCCGACAGATGAACCGTCGCGGCGCGTAGCGCCACTCCGTTCCATCTCCTCCCGTCGTTTCTCGCGCAGCTCAAGTTCTCCTCGGAGGGCGACCGGGAGGACCGCAGGAAGCGGCTTTAAGCCCCACGACTCTGGCTGCCGCGCCAGCGCCCCCCGCCACGGAGAACCCCGCGCGCCCGCCAGCCGGCTCGCCTCGCGCATGCTGCCCGACGCGCAAAGCTCGTTTCTCAACTCTCCCACGTCGCGTTTTAGGTTTCCGCGCTTTCAATATATATGTGTATAGCGTAAACGGACTGTTGTATGTATGTTGAACTTCTTATGCGCCGTACGTGGCCAAACGTGCTAATCGGAGGTGCAAGTGCTGTTAGCGGGTAGCACCTATGAAGGCCAGCACGGCACACGAGGGGCTGGTGGCCAGCAACACGCTCGGCCGCGTTTGTCTGCCTACTGGTACGATGTTTTACACATCGTACCAGGTACTAGGGGAGGCCCAGGACCGGTTCAGTGTTGGGGGTGAGCAGGAATCGAACTCGGGTCACCAGGTTTACAGTGCAGCACGCCAACCGATACGATACTGCTCCCCATATATATACACACACACACACACACGATGTATATCGGTAAATCTAACGTGTCGTAGCCATGCCACGAACCTGACAAACTTTGAAAAAAATATTAACTCACATCTCAAATTCCTGTGCGTTGTTTCAATTTTATACAAACATAATAACCGCACGCGAGCGAGGTGCAGAGGGATTATTAAGTAGGTTGCTAGATTCTAGATTTGAAGCTGTCGTGACTGCAAGGATCCATACTCTTTGTTTTTTTTCGGTAAAGTCACATAGGTAAAATAAAAATAAAACAATTAAATCACGACGCTTCGGAGGCAACACAAGCTTCCATCTTCAGGTGGCACAGTCACAGCAAGATCGCTGCATCAAGTGGAGAGGCTCTGAGAGCCTCGAGCTTAAATACAGGTTAAGGGGGTGGGGAGGAGCCAAGTAGAGGACATTGATGGGGTGCGGGGCTAAGTTAATCCGTCTTTTGTTATGTTGAGGGTGCGGGGGATGCGGTGGGTCACTGCACGGGGCAATGGCAAATGGAAACAACACATGGAAAAGTTCGGAAAGCATATGCTGTGTGCTTATAAGGTAGCTAAAGTTTTGACTTGGTTTATGACATCTTTCCAGTGGTTGCTTAATTTAAAACCATCCTCTCGGTTGAAGTTGTGTCTGTGTTTGTATATCTGGATGGCTTCATGGACAAATCTTTGGTAATAACCGGGAGGTTTGCAGATAACTTTGGTATCAGAGAAAACAATGTCATGAGAACCCGCTGTGTTGAGACAATGATCAGCTACGGCCGACGAATTCGTTCTGCCGTGTTTCAAATCTGATTTGTGCTCGCGAATTCGGTCAGAAATATGTCGTTTTGTCTCCCCGATATAGCAGTCACCGCAGATACAACTCAATTTGTAAACACCGGGGTACTGTAAGTCAGGGATGACATCCTTTACGGATGAGATCAGATCACGGATTTTGTGTACTGTATTGAATCGAACCTGGATCTCTCTGTTTGTTTAGAATTTTGGAAATCTTTTTGGTAACGCCTGCTATGTATGGCAGTGTGATGATTTTGATCGGAGTGTCAAGTGGTTGCTTCTGTATGGTAGGAGAAACAGCTTGGCGGATGGTACGGTCAGAGTAACCGTTCATCTTGAGGGTTAGATGTACATGTTTTAATTCACTGGTCAGGTGGTGTTGGTCAGAAATGCAATGTCCTCTACTTGGCTCCTCCCCCCCCCCTTAACCTGTATTTAAGCTCGAGGCTCTCAGAGCCTTCCCACTTGATGCAGCGATCTTGCTGTGACTGTGCCACCTGAAGACGGAAGCTTGTGTTGCCTCCGAAACGCCGTGATTTAATTGTTTTATTTTATTTTTATTTTACCTACGTGACTTTACCGAAAAAAAAAACAAAGAGTAGGTTGGTTAGATTCTTTTTTTAGTGACGAGATGACGGGTGTGATGTCAATAATAAAAGATTGGCGAACAAAACTCCGTGTTTGGCGAGCGAGTCCGAGCGCCTCTGATTTAAACACCGCGGAGAAAATTTGCACCGGCCCCCCCCCCCCCCCCCCCCCCCCCGCAATGACTGCGAGATGGCAGAAGATGTCGCGGTGGCCTGGCAAGGCTCAGAGGTGAGATGGGACAATGGGTTAGAGGGCGGAAGCAAAGGTCAGGGGTGAGATAGGACAAGATGTCAGTGTGGCCAGGGTCAGTGTTGAGAGGGGTCATCACTGGGATGGATGAGTGTTATGGGCGGATGGTGGTTCACAGGGGCTGGCAAGGGGTCACAGGTTTGTGGCGATAGGGGTGTAGAGGTCATGCGAGGGGTCATGGGGTTGGGGCGGGGCGGGGGGGCAGGGGCGCTCACCGGTAGGTGGCAATGGGGGCGTAGAGGTCGTCCGAGGGGTCACGGGGTCGTGCTCACTGGTCCGTAGTGATGGGGGCTTAGAGGTCGTGTCAGGGGTCACAGGGTCAAGGGGTCGCGCTTATCGGTAGGTGGAGATGGGGGCTTAGCGGTCGTGTGAGGGGTCACAGGGTCAAGGGTTCGCGCTCATTGTTAGGTGGAGATGGGGGCGTAGAGGTCGTTCGAGGGGTCACGGGGTTGTGCTCACTGGCAGTTGGTGATGGGGGCTTAGAGGTCATGTGAGGAGTCACACGGTCACGGGGTCGCCCTCACTGGCAGTTGGTGATGGGGGCTTAGAGGTCGTGTGAGGAGTCACACGGTCACGGGGTTGCCCTCACTGGCAGATGGCGACGGGGGCGTAGAGATTGTGAGAGGGGTCACAGGGTCAAGGGGTCGCGCTCACCGGTAGGTGGTGATGGGAGCGTAGAGGTCGTGCGAGGGGAACTCGAGGATCTCGCGTGACGGGCGGGCGCGAGCGTCCGTGTACGGCTTCACTTGCAGCAGCTCCGGCGTGAGGCAGTGCGCCGGACTCTCGGGGCACGGCGCCAGCTCCATCTTCAGCGACGCTGCACCACGCCGGCGAACATCGCCGCGAGCAGCATCACCAACGGCGCCAACGTCGTCATTCAGACTTGTAACGTGCCGCTGCCGCGCCAGCAGTCGCTCGCAAAAGAGAGCGAGGGAACGACTCGAGAGGAGCGAGGAGGAGCCACAGACGAGCGGAGGAGGCCGCGGCCAGCATTGAGCCGGTGCCCTAACTATTGCCCAAGGCTCTGCCGTCCTCTGTATATTAAGATGCTATCGACCAATTGTTCAGCTCGCACGTGCGGAGGGGAGGGCACATGGGCGGAGCCGGCGGAGTCGACATTCTTGCCGTACTGCCGTCTGTTGGCGAGCCGTGGTATTGCACCTCGATGCCCAAAGGACGGGGAGTTTCGCAACGCTTGTGCGTTGGTAATCCCCCAACCCTCGCTGCCTCCACAGTCCTGGATTGCAGGCGTGCGCCGCCGCCACCACCACCGCCATCGTCACCAAAGTCGTCGTCAAATCATCGTCATCAAGTACCATCGCAACTGTGGTCGTTATCCCGTTCATCATTGTCGATTTTAACCGATGCCATCGTTATCATTAATGTTCTCCAGAAATGTCACGAAGTTTGTCACGATTATCACTGATGTCATCATCGTCGACATCATCATAAATGTCATCACATTAGAGGTCACAATCATATGAACTTTCGTATGCATTATATCATGTCTTTGCCCGTCACAATCACCAATTTCAAGTGGAATTAGTTTAACGACGTGAGAACTCCAGAGACCGGGATAGTGTCTCATTTGCAAGAGCGATCTGGGTCACTAAAAATGGCAAAAGTAATAACATACAAATAATACATACCCTGCAGCGTAAGTCGGCTCTGCCGGTACAATTCCAAATCAAGTTACAGAAATAATAAATAAAGGGCGGCGATTGTGGTTTCCTCCCCGGTGTAGTACAATCACTCATAATTTGGCTGAAAACATCTCAGTACGTAGAGGACTGCAGAGCTTGGGTCACTGTTGGTTTGCACCGGCTCACCGCCTGGCGCGCGCTGCCCTCCAGGTTATCTGCGCTTCCTCAGCGACCGCGAGTGGCAACCTGCGCTTGAACGGCGCGATATTAACCGACGCGTTCCCTTCCCGCGCCGTGAACGCGGCGAGCGGTCGTGGTGACCGATGCGAACGCTCGCCGCGTTCACGCCGCGGGGTGGCGGTGGCGGAGCGGGCGACTCACCGGCGATGGTGCGCAGGCGGCGCAAGCCGGTGGATGGCTTGCGCATGTCGGCGAGGAACTTGTAGAGGTCCTCATCGCTCAGCCGGTCTCCCTCCTGGCTCAGCCACACCACCATCGGACACCACACCAATCAGCCACACCACACCACCATCATCCACACCACCATCATCCACACCACCATTAGCCACACCACCAGCAGCCACACCAACCACACCACCATCATCCACACCACCAACAGCCAGACCACCTTCAACCACACCACCTCTAGCCACACCAACAGCCACATCACCAACAACCACACCACCAACAGCCACAACACCATCAGCCACACCACCAACAGGCACACCCCGATCGGCCCCACCATCATCAGCTCCCCCACCACCACTAGCCAAAACCACGATCAGCGACACCACGATCAGCCACACCACAACAACCACACCAACACAAGCCACCCCGACAGCCACCACAGACCACATAACCAACCTCCACCATTGTAACAAGGCATGGCAGGTAGCTGACGATGATGATGACGATATGTTATTAGGGATGAAGGATTGAGTTGGTTGAAGATCGATGATGATGATATTCTTAATATTGTAGACGACGATGATATTGAATATTATGACAATGATTATATTCTTAAAGATGACGAGCGAGTGTGTGCGTCATCTCACCTGCTTGAAGAAGTTATTGAGGGTGATGGTGACGGGCCGGAAGGAAGCCAGGTTGAGGCTCTCCTCGCTGCACAGCGTGCTTCCCCGATCGAGGCTCCGTCTCCCGGCCTGCGCCGCCGCCAGCCCTCGCCGATCCATCCTCCTCTCTGCACGCGACGAGCGGGGGATGCGCGGGGTCACAGGGTCAGACGTCAGAGGTGGATGACGACTCAGGGGTCAGAGGCGCTCAGCAGTCTGTACCCTCACCATGAGGGGTGTACGATCGTCCTGTCACCGAGTCTGTACCCTCACCACGAGGGGTCTGCGATCGTCCTGTCACCGAGTCTGTACCCTCACCACCGGGGGTGCCACCTCCCGGAGTGGCGGGCGCCTCGGTTTCCGGTTCGCGCTCCAGTGTTGCGGCGCTCGTCACGATGTTCATGAGGTGCACGGCCGTCCACGCAAACGGCATGCGGTAGCGGCCTAGCCGGGAGCAGAAGCCTTCCGTTTGTGCCCGAAGCCGGTCCAGCTTCTCCTTGTTCTATGATACAGCAGCAGTAGCAACAGCAGCAGCAGTAATAACAGCAACAGCATCAACAGCAGGAGTAACAGCGGTAATTTTAGTGACACATATATACATTACAATATAAAATATGTTTCACTAATTATGAATATATATGGAGAGTATATGTTTGTACCTTGGAGGCGTCCGTCTCTTTCATCATGATGTAGGGCTCCATGCACTCTCCAATGTCCCCTTGCTGGAGAACTTTCTCGATCTGTCGGGGGAACGAGCGTGGGGGGAACGAGTGTGGGGGGAATGAGCGTGGGGGGAACGAGTGTGGGGGGAACGAGTGTGGGGGGTAGAAGCGTGGGGTGGGGGGGGGAACGAGTGTGGGGGGAACGAGTGTGGGGGGTAGAAGCGTGGGGTGGGGGGGAACGAGTGTGGGGGGAACGAGCGTGGGGTGATCGAGTGTGGGGGGAACGAGTGTGGGGGGTATAAGCGTGGGGTGGGGGGGAACGAGTGTGGGGGGAACGAGCGTGGGGGGAAGTGTGGGGGGAACGAGTGTGGGGGGTATAAGCGTGGGGTGGGGGGGAACGAGTGTGGGGGGAACGAGCGTGGGGGGAAGTGTGGGGGGAAGGAGTGTGGGGGGAAGAAGCGTGGGGGGAGTGAGTGTGGGGTTGGGGGGGGGACGAGCGTGGGGGGAACGAGTGTGGGGGGAACGAGTGTGAGGGGAACGAGTGTGGGGGGAACGAGCGTGGGGGGAACGAGCGTGGGGGGAACGAGCGTGGGGGGGAAGAAGTGTGGGGTAACGAGTGTGGGGGGAAGATGCGTGGGGGGAACGAGTGTGGGGGGAACGAGTGTAGGGGGAACGAGTGTGGGGGGAACGAGCGTGGGGGGGAAGAAGTGTGGGGGGAACGAGTGTAGGGGGAAGATGCGTGGGGGGAACGAGTGTGGGGGGAACGAGCGTGGGGGGAACGAGCGTGGGGGGTAGAAGCATGGGGTGGGGTGGAACGAGTGTGGGGGGAACGAGCGTGGGGGGAGCGAGTGTGGGGGGAACGAGTGTGGGGGGAACGAGTGTGGGGGGAACGAGTGTGGGGGGAACGAGTGTGGGGGGAACGAGTGTGGGGGGAAGAAGGGTGGGGTGGGGGGGAACGAGCGTGGGGGGAGCGAGCGTGGGGGGGTGAGCGTTGGGGGAACGAGTGTGGGGGGAACAAGTGTGGGGGGTAGAAGCATGGGGTGGGGGGGAACGAGTGTGGGGGGAACGAGCGTGGGGGGAGCGAGCGTGGGGGGAACGAGCGTGGGGGGAACGAGTGTGGGGGGATGAAGCGTGGGGGGAACGAGTGTGGGGTGGGGGGGGAACGTTACCGTCTGTCTCCCTCGACACCTTTCTCGTTGATTGCATAACTTCCCATCATCCAGGCATGAAATCACAAAATTACCAGATTGTTGGATTGCTAGATTATCGAATTACCAGATTATATTACCAGTTTGCCATATTCCCAAATTACAAAACTGCTACATTATCAGACTACCAGATCGTGAGAATATCAGCCTGCCAGATTTATTTTGCCGGGTCACCATATTGCCACACTGCCAAATTACTGGATTGCCAAAACGTCCGCCAGGCTGCCGGCTCCGCTGGTCGCCGTCTCGCTTACCGGGGGCCGACCGCCCGTCACGGCCCGCTCACCTTGATGACCATGAAGATGTCCTGCGTGGGGTAGGTGATGGAGAAGATTGCCGTGCGTGCCAGCGAGGGGATGCAGGACTGGCCGCTGTGGGGCTTCAGCAGGACCTTCATGTTCTCCGAGTTGAGGTCAAAGTAGAAGTTCTCTGAGATCTGGAACGATAACGCCGGCGAGTGTCAAGTTGATTTCGTTTCACGACAGATTGATACAACTCAAGAAGAGACCAGGAACGAGTAGGCGGCGATGATATGCTGCTGTCTGTATAAAACCCAGTCGAGTACAGGGACTCCTCTACTTATGAACAGTCGACTTACAAACTTTCACAGATACGAACAAACCTGTCCGTATGCCCAGTTGCCTGTTTGGACCGAGAGTCCTAAGTTCAATCGCTCCGCGCAACAGATGGCGGTGGTTGTTCGGTGTCATTACCCAGAATTCCCAGCATTTCTGCCTGGGCCGCCGCCATTGTCTGTTGTTGCCGTGTGGTTCACTACGACGTTCTCTGTGCTTTTCACAAACATCATCACCCCCCATCATGTCTCAGAAGCGTGAGAGTGGTGAAAGTGTTGAGGGTGGTAGTAAGAAGAACCAGTGGCATCTACATCTACAGAACGTAAAGCACCGGTGGCATCTACAGGAGATTATACAACTTTTAAAGCCATTCCCCATGTTTAGTGCACATGCTGGACAACATGTTTGGAATCGACAGGAGTAAAGTTGGACTTGGGAACAAATCGACTTACGAACGGACTTCTGGAACATAACTCGTCCGTACGTAGAGGGATCCCTGTAGCTTGCAGTGTAACCGTTGTTGACATTCGGTAAATTTGAAACCCCGACGCTGGCACGCAATGGCCTAACTCTTATGAATGACGTCACGGGGCCTTCAACATTCACTGTGAGACAGAGGGCGCGTGGTATTACTGCTGCAGTTTGTACACCGCAAGAGTGGATTTTCCTCCGGGTCCTCCGGTTTTTCCCTCCACCACATTGAGACCGAATATCACGCGTTCACAGTATTTGGCTACTTGCTATAAATGTCCGCATGATTAAGCCACTTCGTTGACCTATCATTCTTTTGGCCAGGTCGCTGCTGAAAAAGAGCCTACATAGCTCAGTGGGACTAACCTGGTGTAAACAAAAGTTCATAGTTTTGTTTATAGGTTTTATAATAACTGGGGCTGCCGCTGGATGAGAACCGCGGAACCTCGGCAACGATTGTCGGACGGCGCTACCGCTGGGCGATGCCGTCACCGTCCGCACTTGCTTCAACAATTGGCAGAAAGATCATTTAGGCGGGGGGGGGGGGTCGGCCAGATTTAGGGGGTCGGGGTTTGTGGTGGAAAACTGGGTCCACAGAAAGCCTGAAATCCACAAAAAATGTTTGTTTAATCAAGAACAGCAACACCGTTTACTCGCATTGCAGGGCTTTGAGGATGAATAATCAATAGCGTTTGATATACAGGGATCGGGGGCGCCTGCTATAAAGGTCTAAAGTGGTATGGTTTCATTGTTATATTGTTATTGTTTATTAAGTGTTTAAGTGCAGCAATAGGCGTTCGCGTGGATTGTACGCTAATGTGCATCTGGCCGTTGCCTCAAGAGTAATTTGTATGACGTTAGGCCTCCCCCTAGGTGGACTCAGCCTTAAATGAGTAAGCTGGGTGTGGTGTCGAGTAAACATCAGCAGTGGGGAGACAAAGGCGGCCGAGCTACACTACCCTCCCTCGTGCACCTTGCCGGCTGTAATAGGTGCTCGCTAACAGCACAGGCCCTGAATAGATAAACATATTAACATGTGGATTTGGTATTCATGCCATTCTTAGGCGCCATGGTCATGTTTTGCAAGCTTTCATACATATTTCAGTAAAGGGTGTGTGAGCGGGTGGGTGAGTGAGCGAGCGGGTGGGTGGGTGGTTGAGTGAGTGAGTGGGTGAGTGGGTGAGTGAGTGGGTGAGTGAGTGAGTGGGTGGGTGAGTGAGTGAGTGAGCGGGTGGGTGAGTGAGTGAGTGAGCGACAGAGTGAGCGGGTGACTGACTGAGTGAATGAGCGAATGGGTGAGTGAGCGAGTGAGCGGGCGGATGAGCGAGCGGTGCGAGTGTGCCCGGACACACCGCTAAACCTGCGGGGGGTGGTGGGGGTGAGGGGGATGCCGTTACCTTTTTCTTCTCTCGCACGTCGTACAGGGCCAGGCTGGCGAACAGCGGCTCGATGTCGATCTCGAACCTGCGCGGCGACAGAACACGCCCGCGGTCACACGCACGCACGCACCCACGCGCTCGCTGGCGGAGGGACGCGAGGCGCTGACGCCGTGGGGGCGAGGACCCAAGCGTGCCGCGCGGGGAACGAGGCCCTGCCCATTGATAACCATTCCGAGAAGCTCGTCTGGGAGAGACATATCCGGATCCGGATCGTCAAGAACCCGGAACGTGACTCGGAAGAACGTTGGACATCGATCAGCAAGAAGCCCACGGGCCTTCCCTCCCCAAGAACCCAAAGCATCTCATCCAAAACTACCGGGAACGGACTCCTGCGGAAACCAAAAAGGACACGGGCGTTCGTCCAGCAAAAAAAACAGAGGCATCACCGGAAATACATGGAGTGTTGGAATGTCATCCAGAAGCAGCGTTTGTCAGCGGAGTGCCGGGAGCATGGCCCCCCCCCCCGCCACCCCGGCTATTTTTACATCATTGCCGGCAGACGCTCGGTGGGGTTTAGTGTGGGTTGCGCTCCCAACTCTTTCCTTTTTCCCGTGACCTGTTACGACCGCTATGTTTGCCAGGGAACCGATGCTTTTGCTGATGAAACCCGATTCAAGAGCGTCTTAGCTCACAGGGTACTTGAAAATAAACGGAACACCTGATTTCACATTTACAAGATATAATTTACACGTGCCGACGTATTGATTACAAAATTACTAATGAAGCTTCCTCGTGACTGCTACGGTTTGTACACCGCAGTACCGAAGGGACTTACTTGAGAGAGAGGCACTTGATGAGGAGCCGTTGGCCAAAGTGCTCATGTGGCCCCTCCGGAACCGGCCTCTTCTCCACAGATTCCTCCTACAGAACCAGACGCGGTCACTCACGACGACGACGATGACGACAATGAATATAGCAGCAATGATGATGTGTGCATGTTGAATTTATTTCGCACCATACGTAGCCAACTGTGCTAATCGGGGGCGCGGATGAGACTCACGATGAAGATAATGTTGATCGTGATTTTTATAATGGGGACAATGACATTGTGATGACGACGGTGGCAACTACGAGATCCTTAGCTCGCGACACCGGCCGCCCCCCACCTCATCGGCAGGCGGGGGGTAGAGGGCAAAGAGGTTGTAGTGCCGCGCCGCTTGTCGCGCTTGTTCGTTATGGCGGTCCGTCTCCTCCAGCGAGCGGTGATCCAGCAACCCCGGGACCAGCGGATCGGCGGCGGCACCGCCACCGCCTCCACCGCCGCCACCGCCGCCACCACCGCCGTCAGCCTCACCCAGGGACACGTCATCTCCCACGCTCACCGACACCCGGCGGCTCCCAGCATCCTGCACGCGGTGAGTGGGTTGAGGGGGTGAGCAGGGGTGAGCGAGGGGGGGGGGGGTAAGGCGGGTGAGCAGGTGAGTGGGCGAGTGATTGTGCAGGTGGAGTTGATACGTGAATGCGCGAGTGCAGTGTGGATGGCCGAGTTGGCTGTCAATTGAGTGAGTTGGTGAGCACGTTTCAACTGAGCCTTATGGCGGTACCCCGGGGTTCCACAGTACCCCGGTTCTCGCATAATGTCCGTGATGCAGTAATTTTTAGTCTGTTGATGGTCGGCGATGCGGCAATTGACTCATCTCGACGAGCTGTCCACGATGCACCACTACGGTGTGTACGAGCGTTCAGGGTTTCAGCGCAATCGTCCTTGCTCGTTTCAACATCGCGGAGTGTGGCACCGATTTCGCATTGATTGGTACCCCAGTCGCGGAGTTAAGTACACCCCTGGACAAAAAAAGTGTCCCAGAAATAAAATATTTAATTGCCTCGGTCATTTAGTATTATTTGGTACCCCGGGGTACCGCCACAAGGATCAACTGAGTGTTGTTTAACCAGGGGTGAGAACTCAAGAGACCAGGATGAGTCTCATTTGCAAGAGTGACGGGGTCAACAAGTACTCCAATGAACCAAACAGAAATCCGAGTAATAATAAACAAAAACCCAGCAAGCCTACTTGTATCCAATTTATGAATCTAGCCAGCGAGCGGGTCAGTCGGTGAAATTATTGAGACTCCAGTTCTAGGAACTCGGTTTCTTTCGGCCCACGTTTTCCACTAAACCGTGCAGCCAAAGAACAGCACCGCTACCTGGAATGCGGCCCCAGCTCTCAGACCAGAACCGGTTCCACCAGGCACGGTTTGTTCTCGCGAAAACACCCTCCCTATGGTTTACGCCCGACTTATCATCACCCAGCACCCCCCCCCCTCCCCCTCCCTAACCGTGGCTCGTGAGTACCCCCTCCAAACCCCACCTGCAACATCTGGGCAAGTCCCCCGCACTGAGGGGTGGTTGCAAAACGTGGCATGGATCTCGAGCTCGGGTTGCCACCGAAGGATGTACAAATATATCACGGGCAGGAGGAGGACAATATTGCCTCGTATAAATAATAAGAGGGTGCCACGGTGGCGAGATGTTAACTGCCTCGCCTGGTATGCAGGGGGTCGTGGGTTCGATCCCAGTCCTGATGCCCGCTGTGTCACTCTCCCCGTGGTCGCGTGGATTGTTCCCTGGGTCGTCCGGTTTTTCCCCTCCACATTTAGAATCAACATGAGTTTAGAATATTTGGCTACTATAAATGTCTACGTGATAAGGCACTTCACTGAGCTATCATTTGTGAGCAGGTCACTTTTTTTGTTTTAATTCATCTCTCAATAAACGAAAGAGGAGAATTGAACTGCACGGAAACGCGTAGTCTTGCGCAGTGGATCAGGGTCACGGACAGACGCTAGACCGTTTTGAAAGTTACCTGCAAACTAATCAATTGGGATCACACCCGGCAACATTGGAGACTCATTATCTTTTCATATTTTAAATATTTTGCTTTGCCTTGGAGGAAACCAGACGACCCCGAGGTGAAGAAAAACATTCTGACGATCAGCTCGGCGCGTGTGTGACCCGCAGGCCTCTGCTTCTAAAACAAATACATCCCACCCGGCCCTCGCCACAGTCAGCCTTTGTCTATCCACTGCTGGACGAAGGCCTCTGCACACTATGTCGGTTGAGTATGAGGGTTGTTTGACCACACTTCACCGCACTTGTCAGTTGGGGTGGCGTGTGGCTACCTGGCGCTGATGATTACAGACCACACCGGCTACTTATTTCAGGCCGAGCCTGCCTAGGGGAGGTCTAGGACAAGTTTGGATAGTCCTCACCGATGCTGGGCATTGTGAGCGGAAACTAAATTCGGGTCACTGGGTTCGTAGCGCGGTGCCCTAACTACTGCGCCACCGCTCCCCACATGCGCACACACACACACACACAAACTTACACGCACGTTGAGTTCATAATCATGGTCAGAGTGAATTGCTGCTCAAAATGAGCACCGAGCCATTAGACCTCATTTCCCGTTTCCAGCGGTGTAAATTCCACATTCCTATGGCGGGGAGAGGGGGGGGGGGGGCAGACTATCCGCAGGAGCTCACAGTGCGGGCGCGCTAAAACCACCGCAGCAAAAACAATTATATGGCACGCGAAGCGAAAGCCACCAGGGCACCTCGTCATCCGGGCTCTCCTCCGACTCGAAGAGGTGTCGCTCCAGGCCCTTCGTCCGGGCACTCTCGCCTCCGCCGCCGTCATCGCCGGACCCCGCGGCACCACCGCCGCCGCTACGCTGGTACCTGCGCGACACGAACGGGGCGGACACACGGATGGGGCCGGTTTGCGCGCGTTTTCCGCGGGCGTTTCGCGGTCGGAGCAAACAAGCGGCCGGCCCCCGGTTAATACTCGCGATGCACGCGCACGCTCTGTGCATACCCACGTATTCCACATGCCGTACTGTAAATGCAACGCGCTGCCTGCTACACCGGTGGACTTTAACGATCCCGTGATGTCATCCGAAGGAGTTGTTGGCCGTTGTGTGCACGCCCGCGTCGCGGGCCAACTTTGGCAAAAGTATATAAAACATTTTTTACCCGCGAGTTATATAATTGGGTAAAACCACGGAGCAACACCGCCCGCCCCCCCCCCCTCAGCCCCCCAGCCGACTATACCCGGCAGTGAAACACGGAGCATCTCCGTGACAGCCACGCGCTCCAAGGATGGGCGCCAATACCAAATCTACACGTCGATTGACTTCATTCATCCACGGAAAAGTCCGTTTTTATCGCATAGCGCCAGGGGGCTTAATTCCTCGCCGAATGTTTTCTGGGTCGCTGATAGGGAGGCTGGGGTAAGCGGCACAGCGGAGACGTCCCCTGGATGCGGTGTGCCGGGAGTCTCTCTCTCTCTGGGTTGAAGCCCTTCCACCAGCAGGGGCACGAGTAAAGCAACTGCAGGGCTGCACCTTTCCCTCGTCGCTTGTGAATAATTATCAAGACGTCGGGCACGTGTAAATAATATTTTGTACAAGTGACATCAGTTCAGTTCAGTTTATTTCCAAGTACCCTGTGAGCTAAGAAGCTCTCGAATTGGGTTTCATCATCAAAAGCATCGGTTCCCCTGGCAAAACATAGCGTACATAAGAGGTCGCGGGGAAAAAAAGGAAAAGGGTTGGGAGCAACCCACACTAAACACCCCTCCGAGCGCCTGCCGGCGGCGATGATGTAAAAATAGCCGGAGGTGGGGGGGGGCCTCTGCTCCCGGCGCTTCGCTGACGGACGCGCGGAAATGTGCAAGTGGAAAGCGTTTCCCATTTTGTGGAGTAGCGGTGGCGGGGGGCGGTGGTGGGGGGGGCAGCCGCACCCGACTGTTTGGACAGGCGGCGAGCAGAGAGATCAGGGGACTCCGCACCCGGTGCAGAAATAACAAAAAACAAATATTCGGGGATGGAGGGGGTGGTGTGGCTGGTGTGGGGAGTGGGGGAGTGGGCGTTCAAGCCGTAGTAGCCCCCCTGCTACTTATTAACTCGACCCGAGTGCATAATGGTGACACGGAGCAAAAAAAAACCCAACAATGTAGAGGCACAGCGGAGCGAGAGAGTGGCTCTCTAAAACCCCACAAAAAACACACACAAAAAAAACACACACACACACAGACAGGTAAAGGCGCAGCCCTGCAATCGCCGTGCTCACGCCACTGCTAGCGGAATTGGCCTCGTTCGGCAGCTCATGGTGACCACCGAAATCGTTCCTTGTACTCGGACAGCTGAGATTTGGACCTCGTAGGTTCGGCCTGGAACTCTCCTACCCACTTACTCACTCATCTACTCCCCCAACCACCCACCCACTCATCTACTCACCCACCCACTCACCCAACCACCCACCCACCCACTCACCCAACCACCCACCCACCCACTCACCTACTCGGCGGCCCATCGACCTGGAACTCTCCTACCCACCTACTCACCTACTCACCCACCCACTCACTCACCCACCCACCAGGGACGTGTGGTCAGGGGAGGCAGGGGAGGCAAAGCCTCACCTGTCATACTCCAATGAAAATATCTGTTACGAAAAGTAAAAAAAGAAAGAATAATAAAATATTAACCAGTTCAGTAGAAAATGTAAGACATTAATAGCACTTACAATCATGATTGGAAGCTTTCGTGACTGCAGGAATCCATACCAAATAGTAAGCACTTCCAGTGAGGGAAAAAAGTATTTGATCCCCTGCTGATTTTGTACGTTTGCCCACTGACAAAGAAATGATCAGTCTATAATTTTAATGGTAGGTTTATTTGAACAGTGAGAGACAGAATAACAACAAAAAAATCCAGAAAAAACGCATGTCAAAAATGTTATAAATTACCTCGTGGGGTTACAATGATCATGAGAACGGTGAGGAATCAGCCCAGAACTACACGGGAGGATCTTTTCAATGATCTCAAGGCAGCTGGGACCATAGTCACCAAGAAAACAATTGGTAACACACTACGCCGTGAAGGACTGAAATCCTGCAGCGCCCGCAAGGTCCCCCCGCTCAAGAAAGCACATATACATGCCCGTCTGAAGTTTGCCAATGAACATCTGAATGACTCAGAGGACAACTGGGTGAAAGTGTTGTGGTCAGATGAGACCAAAATAGAGATCTTTGGCATCAACTCAACTCGCCGTGTTTGGAGGAGGAGGAATGCTGCCTATGACCCCAAGAACACCATCCCCACCGTCAAACATGGAGGTGGAAACATTATGCTTTGGCGGTGTTTTTCTGCTAAGGGGACAGGACAACTTCACCGCATCAAAGGGACGATGGACGGGGCCATGTACCGTCAAATCTTGGGTGAGAACCTCCTTCCCTCAGCCAGGGCATTGAAAATGGGTCGTGGATGGGTATGCCAGCATGACAATGACCCAAAATACACGGCCAAGGCAACAAAGGAGTGGCTCAAGAAGAAGCACATTAAGGTCCTCGAGTGGCCTAGCCAGTCTCCAGACCTTAATCCCATAGAAAATCTGTGGAGGGAGCTGAAGGTTCGAGTGGCCAAACGTCAGCCTCGAAACCTTAATGACTTGGAGAAGATCTGCAAAGAGGAGTGGGACAAAATCCCTCTTGAGATGTGTGCAAACCTGGTGGCCAACTACAAGAAACGTCTGACCTCTGTGATTGCCAACAACGGTTTTGCCACCAAGTACTAAGTCATGTTTTGCAGAGGGGTCAAATACTTATTTCCCTCATTAAAATGCAAATCAATTTATTTTTTGACATGCGTTTTTCTGGATTTTTTTTGTTATTCTGTCTCTCACTGTTCAAATAAACCTACCATTAAAATTATAGACTGATCTTGATTTAAAGCTTTCGTGACTCCAGGGATTCATATTCTTGGTTCTTTCGGTAAAGTCACGTAGAAGGGAAACAATACAATAATAAAAATATAAAACAATAACATGTATTGTTTTATATAGGTTATAAGAGTTGTGCGTTTATAAATTTACTTCCTCCAATGCGGGGAGCTCTAGCGGACCGTCTCCTATCAAGGGCATGTTTGGCCTACTGTGTCACGCTGAGCTGAACACGCTCAGAAGAAGTGGGAGTTACCCACGCTTTAGCCCACCACACGCGACCTGCCGCCCCTACACTAACCGTGTTGAACCCATTCGTAGAGCTGGGTGGACAGAGGCGGTTGTGGGGGGTTGATTGGAGAAAAAACTCTGTCCCCATTGTTTCAACTGCTGCGTCTTGGAGATGGAATCTCGGGACTGATTGCAAGTCAAGTGTGCTGACCGTTTCACTGCTGTGGCGGCTTCCTATATCCCATATAATAATAATATACAGCCCTTTATCAATCCACTGCTGGATGAAGGTCTCCTGCATGTCGTGGGGTTGCCACGGTGGCGAGATGTTAACTCCCTCGCCTGGTATACAGGGGGTCGTGGGTTCGATCCTGACCCTTATGCCTGTAGATTTGGAGTTTGTATGTCGCTCTCCCCGTGGTCGCGTGGATTTTCTCCGGCCCTTCCGGTTTTTCCCTCCACATTTAGAAACATGCTTTTATGGAGCATTTGGCTGCTATACATTTCCACGCGATAAGCCACTTCGTTGAGCGATCATTTGTGGTCAGCTCGCTTCTGAAAAAGAGCTGTATAGTTCAGTGGGCCTTACTTGGTAAAATACATTTTTTAAAATACTTTTAGATAGTTTCGTTTTAGTGTCAGTCATAGGCGTTGTATGACCGTACTACACCACCATGGGGCAGTTTGTGTTGATATCTTACGAAACGTTTACAAATTCCTCGACTGTTGAGTAAAATATTTTGTAAAATTATTTATTATTATTGGGCTGTGTAACCAGGAAATAAAATGTACTACTGTACTGTACTTCCGTCTGACACATTTCACAAACGTCCTCTTTCCTAAGCGACTTGGTGGTTTCCTTCGTGATGCAATTAATAATGCCATGCATTTGCCCAGGAAGGCCTCGACGTGTCTCAGGACTCTCTGTGGACGAGGGTTCTGCGCACATTGAAACATTTGCCCAAAGCCATTCTGATCTCGCGTACGTTGGCAATCTGGTTCAGGAGCTCCACACCAATGTCGAGTTCTGCTGGCCACGACGAGAGGGCTTCAGCAGAGAGAGTTCGTGTAGCTTTGCTGTTATTTCTCCTGTGCGGAACATAGCCTACAGTGGTTTAGTATATGGTCCATAGTTTGGGTTGCATGGCCACGTTTACACTGCTGTGGGTCTATGCGTCTCCATGAGCCTCTATGTATCTCTGTATATCTCTATGTCCTTTCCCCACACTGATTAGTACGGTTGGCTACGTACGGTGCGAAAGAAGTCCAACATACATACATACATACGTGTCTCCAAGTACAGTATCTCTCTGGGTCTCTGTCTCAGTTGCTCTCTGTGTCTCTCTCTGTGTCTCTCTCTGTGTCTCTCTCTGTGTCTCTCTCTGTGTCTCTCTGTGTCTCTCTCTGTGTCTCTCTCTGTGTCTCTCTCTGTGTCTCTCTCTGTGTCTCTCTCTGTGTCTCTCTCTGTGTCTCTCTCTCTGTGTCTCTCTCTGTGTCTCTCTCTGGGTCTCTCTCTGGGTCTCTCTGGGTCTCTCTGTGTCTCTCTGGGTCTCTCTGGGTCTCTGTGGGTCTCTGTGGGTCTCTCTGTGTCTCTCTGTCTCTTTGTATCTCTGTGGGTCTATGTGGGTATCTGTGTGTCTCTGTGGGTCTCTGTGGGTCTCTGTGGGTCTCTGTGGGTCTCTCTGTGTCTCTCTGGGTCTCTCTGGGTCTCTCTGTGTCTCTCTGGGTCTCTCTGTGTCTCTCTGTGTCTCTGTGGGTCTCTGTGGGTCTCTTTGGGTCTAGTTTAGGGTCCATAGTTTAAGTTCCATGGCCACAATGGAGACGCTAGTACCTGCTCACAGAGGCAACACCGGTTACGAGTTTTCGTGTTACCTCCAACACAACCGATGCCGTTTGTCAAGGCCAAAACAGACGTCGTTAATTTCGAATCCGGATATGATCAGTAGAGAGACGGAGAATGAACGAATTGTTTTAGTTATCATTTGGCATCTACATTCGCGAGACACGGAGAGCGAAAATGAAGTCTTTTGGATATCCGTCAAGAAGTGTTTTCCTTCCATGAGAGCTCAAGCCAGGGAACAAAACGTCCCACTGTACCTCCGTGTGACAAACTCCACCAATGTCATCTTTAGTAAATGACCATTTTTACTTTGTAATAAAAAAAATAACGGACAGAAATAATAATAATAGTTCTGAGCTTCCGTTGCGGGACAAAGGCCTCCTCAAGCAGTGTCAGTCGTGGAGATTGTTTGACCATACTTGACCGTGCTGTTCAGTGCGGCTTTATATAGATGATGAGAATAGTTTGACTGGTACCACCGTACCAACCTGCCCCCCCCCCCCCCCCGCACCCCCCCCCCCCGATCGGCCAGACTTCCTAATAAAGTAGCAGAATCGTCCTAAAAAAAGAGCCCTGGGAGTCGTTGAGGCTTTCCCAGGTAAATAAAGTCATGTAGGTGACACAACAGGCTCAATGTGCCGTGTCGTCGATATATTTCTGTAAAACAATGGGAAGATTTGGAAGTTTTTGCATTTTGAGTTTTATGCTTTATCAGCATTAAACTCCCAGATCTCCCTCAATCCGAGTTGAAGTGAGGACTGGCTTCCTGTTGATAGCGGCCTGGGCAGCAGCGCTGCCAGATCCAGTGCTTTTACCTCCCATATCTAGATATGGCACTCGAGGAAGTATGATGATAATAATTATTATAATTCTAACGTACAATTGCATAACAACAATAATAACAATGTAAAAGCACACATGCATCTCCCTGCTGCATGCAGGCCTCCCAGAGCGGGTGACAAATCTCACGGTCTTGCTACGATCCGTTCAACTCCTGCGCCCTTAGTCGATTTCATCGCTCCATCTCCGCCACGGGTGGACGCCCTCTCGGGGCGCCTTCACTCATTTGGCTGCCGCTCCATTGTCAGTCTCGGCCACCGGCCGTCGCCGCTCACAGCCCTCACGTTTCCTGCCCGAGCCCCACTTTGCTTAACCCTCGAAACGATGACGATGACGACTCCTTCCACGTATAGACAACTTCAATAATCAATGTACTACCTTCATCAATCCACTGCTGGATTAAGGACTCCCCATGCTGTGTGGGTGGTCGTGGAGCCATCGGACCATACACTTCAACACGCCGGTCAGTGTGGTTTGTTCGAATTTTTTTTTTTTTCCAGAAAAGAGTGAGGAAATTTGTCCGGTGAGTCTGGAGGTTTATTACCTCCGGCCTAGCAACAGCAACGGGGGCGGCTGAGGCTACAGGGACCTCGAGCGACGCGACAGAGGAAGTCGGGCCGCGGTTGCTGCGGCGACGATGGCGCCGCGGTGTTGCAGAAAACGCCTCCACAGACCCCCCCGGTGGGAATTTAACCGCTGCCAAAAACCTATGGCCGAAGGTGACAACAGGCAACTCGCCGAGCCTCTCCAGACCCCTCTCTGAGGACTGAGTGTCGCGGTTTAATTTCCCGCAATAAATCCCACAATCGCTTCCGAACGCGGGGCGGGCCACTGGGACTGATTGCCGGCCTACCCTAGTACAGCTTTTGCTGGGCCCCGTGAAGGCCAAGTGAGCCGTTTTATACATCTGTCCCCTCAAATGAAAAAAAAATGAGCATCCCATTGGCCACACGGCCTTTTGGGAGTGCATCATTTCACCGTTAACGATTCGATAGAAGCAAAGCTCTGAACCGGCTTTGACGTTCAGTATCTCATCAACAGTCAGAACCAATTCTGGTAAACTGCCATATGTTTATAAGGACCTTCTCTGTTAGACATGGGACCCAGTAGTTTGGTGCACAACAATATAATACATAACACAAAGCAATCCTGAGCATCAGCGTGGAGAATATGTGGCAAAATAAGCCAGGAGAATTGTCTGCTTATATATTTTTGCGACTTACATTCTCCGCAACGAAACGAATTATAATTTAGCATTTGATACCTATGTATTAAGAATGTGTTCCAAATTTTTGGGATTTTATCGGAAAATACAATTCTCACTCACCTGCGCGTGACGACCGCCCAGTCCTCCGTGAAGGATCGCACGCAGTCTCGCACGTGCGCGCTCGCATCCCAGCTGCAAGAGAGCGAGAGAGCGATAGACGGTGGGATGTGGGGGCAGGGATAGAGTGAGAGAAGTTTGATTGGTTAGTTCATAGTAAACAAGTAAAATGCATCACGAATGCAGGGTCCAAATGTTCACTAATTCGCAAATTTCACACTGCCAATTTACTCACTTGGGATTACACATAGCAATCACGGTGTCCACCTACTGCCAGACTAATGCCCGTTTGCAGGCCAGGTGCCAAATCACCTAGTGCCACACAGGGACAGCTGCCACTAGGGGTGCCCTTTGAAACGTTGAGCACTGAGAGATGCCCCGGCATCTCGGAGGGCGGTGCTACTGCAGGTCATCGCGTAGGGTTTTTGCGGCTGTGCTACTTCACAGCTCTCCCACGAGTTTTCGTTAATTTCCTGAAGAAGCTCCCAGCACTTGTGGACACAAACATGCACACGCTGAAGGGTCGTCACCCCGGTGACCCCCACGACACACGGCTCACGCGAGCCACATGACCTCCGTGATCTCCACGACTTCCGTGACCTTTGCAACCCGACCCACGACCCACCCGCCCCACCCCCCCGTCCTCTCACCCATCTTCATCCGGCAGGGAGGGGGTGACAGTGCGGCACTCGCGAGGAGCGAAGGTGACGGTGACGTCGTCCGGAGGGAACTCGGAGATGTCGCGGAGCGGAGCGGAGTCGGGTGCCGCGTGGGAGCTCAGCACCTCCTCCACGTCCACGGGCTCCACCACGTCGCATGCCGGGATCTGCCAGCGCAGAGACACAAAGGCCAAGATCCTTCAGGTAGCTTTTTTTTATCGTCGAATATTTTCCCCAGCATGTATTGTGAGACAGCGCCGTGTGCTCACCACCCACACCATCCCTAGCATCTACTCACCACCAACACCTTGCACTCACCACCCACACCATCTACCCACTACTCACACCACCCACACCATCTACCCACTACTCACACCACCCACACCATCTACCCACTACTCACACCACCCACACCACCCACACCATCTACCCACCATTCACAGCACCCACACCCTGTCTTCTGTGGCCATTCTCCACATGGATATCCGCAGGGCGGGGCTGTGTGCTGGGGGACAGAAACACAAACGCACGTGCAGGCACACGTGGACTAGAGCAGCAACAACAGCCGCCATTCGCCACAACGTGGTAGTGACGTCACCACAACGCTTGTGCCAGACTAGGTGCACTTTGAGGCTATCCCGGAGGTGACGGGTCAATCGCAGGTCTTATGGGTTAACTGACTGAGATGAAATGAGAGGGAGGGAGGGAGGGGATGAGAGGGAGGGAGGGGAAGGAGGGGAAGGAAGGGAGAGAGAGAGGGAGGGGATGGGAAGGAGAGGATTAGAGGGGGAGGGAAGGAGAGAGGGATGGGATGAGAGGAAGGGATGGAGGAGATGAGAGGGAGGGATGGAGGAGATGAGAGGGAGGGATGGAGGAGATGAGAGGAAGGGATGGAGGAGATGAGAGGAAGGGATGGAGGAGATGAGAGGAAGGAGATGAGAGGAAGGGATGGAGGGGATGAGAGGAAGGGATGGAGGGGATGAGAGGAAGGGATGGAGGAGATGAGATGGAGGGATGGAGGAGATCAGAGGAAGGAGATGAGAGGAAGAGATTGAGGGGATGAGAGGAAGGGATGGAGGAGTTTAGAGGAAGGGATGGAGGGGATGAGAGGTAGTAGAGGTGGATGAGAGGGAGTTGGGGGGGGGCCACAGCCCCCCCCACCCAAGGCCGTCATCAGTCTCTGTTTCTCAGGACTCGCCCGCGTGGCCGCCGTTGAAGCTGAGACAGCTCACTATCCACATCCCGTGTAGGAAACGCGCACAATCGCGGCCAAACCCCCCCGTGCCAAGCAAGGCCGTGCCGCGCTGGCACACGGCGGAATCTCACGACGCGCGGGCGCAGCCACGTCCCGAGGGGCGCGCGGGAGGGACGGTCCCCAAATGTCAAGTGGTTTAAATAGGGCCCCACGACGTTAATGCGAAAACGAAAAACATGCGATGGCTTCTCTCTGGTGGATATAAATAAAATATGGGGTCTCAAGGGGGTGGCGGGGGTGGGGTAGCGCCCCCCCCCCCCACACCGCGAATCTTCCACTGATATCCAACGTCACCATCACCATTATTCTCATTATCACAGAATTACCACCATCATCAATCATTCGCAATCATTCTTATAGGGCAAGGCTATCACGAAAGTGCGGGTAATGATTCACAGACGGGTATAAGTCTGTGGTAGTTTGACAGCAGAGGGCCAAGTTGCGCTGTCGGGTTTTTGCCCATTTGGGCAATGATCGGTGTCATTTGTCGAAGTTGGCCACCGGTTTGGACCGTTACGTCGGCGCACCACGTGGCCTACGCTTTTTATCGGATTGACATCGCTAGGAACCTTTCACGTCCACTGCGAGTGAAGCAGACGGTGCGTGGTCGGAGTATTTATACGGTTAATATCACATTGCGCACCACTACCTACCGCTGCCGCGGCGAGTACCAGGACGGACTGCCAGATTCGACTGCGAACCTCTGAGGCGAGGGCGCTGTGATGGAATGGAAACGGACTGCGACGGAATCAAACACCTATCGTGCAGATATTAGCCAATCAAAAATAGGGCTGTGTGTCAAACAGCGCTATACTCAACCAATGGGATTACTCGACTTTTTGAGCTGGCTCACAGGATCGAATGATCAGAATCCATACAATTAACGTCGATTCACGACCTACACACCCCGTTCGGGCTCACACCACCACCTACTTTCTTCCATATATGGGGCAGGTTTTCTGATGGCCGATTTCTAAAACAGACTATGTATTAAACTTGATTTGAAGCTTTCGTGACTGCAGGAATTACTCTTTGGTTCATATTCTTGGTTCTTTCGGTAAAGTCACGTTGAAGGGAAACAATAAAATCATTAAATATATATAAACAATAAAATTCTCACGACGTTTCGACTGTAACACAAACAGTCATCATCAGGTTTTTTCACACCTGATGATGACTGTTTGTGTTACAGTCGAAACGTCGTGAGAATTTTATTGTTTGTATATATTTTATTATTTTATTGTTTCCCTTCAACGTGACTTTACCGAAAGAACCAAAGAGTAAGACTAAGTATTTATAGTGGAGGAATCCGATGAGCTATAAAGCTCTTTTTCACAGGTGTCCAGGAGGGTCGAGTAAGAACGTTATAACAACAAACAAAAACACGCACAATTGTAGTGCAAAGTACAAGGAAAGGTGAGCAAACACACCCCAAAGGCATACAAATAAAACTAAAACCATCCCCGTCCTAACCACGCAAAGGCCCACCGAGGCGTCAACTTAATTTTCAGAATTGGTGCCGGGACTGTTGCGATTTGGCTGGAGGCGCCTTATCGGTACGGGTAGGGGGGCAGAGGTCGTCATCTTAATTGTAAACTACTGAAAATAAATGAGTAAAGGTGTCCAGTTTGGGCCGGGCGTTGATGCCCCCCATGCCCCCATGCCCCTCGCAAATCCGCCCATGTGCACTACCCCAAACACAAATGGAACTGATTGTATCATCCCGCCGGGATGGATGGTGGGCTGAGTCACCCCCCGGCCCCTCAACCAGGCCCAACACAGTCCAGCTGTACAAATGAATATTCGTGAAACAAGAGCCAGGCCCAATATTTGTGGGTGATTGGCAATGCGTTTGTGTTCCCCCCCCCCCCCCCCCTAAATCCAATTGCCCTCTCGGATTCACAAAAAAAGTGTTGATTTTTTGTTAATGTTATCCCCTCGCATAATGGCAACTCTTCACAAGTGGAATTCACGGGCCAAACATCGACAAAACGTAGCGGGACCCTCCTTTCAAAAGGAGTCTTGAGACTCTCCCGGGTAAGCACGGGGGGGGGGGGGGGGTGGAGGGGACTTGTTAGTACTACCATTATAAATCAGAGGTAAAAACCTCTTGGATCTGGCATAGCTTGGAGCCTGCTGGCAGCCTGCTGGCAGCCTACTGGCAGCCGTGCCCGTCACTTCCCCCACCCCAGGGCTTATCGGCCCCCCAACACCTGCCAAGCCCCTCCCCTCACTCCCCCTCACCCTCCCAGCCCCTCCCCTCACCCTCCAGCCCCTCCCCTCACCCTCCAGCCCCTCCCCTCACCCTCCGCCCCCTCTTCTCCACCCCCACCCACCCACAGCTGCCGGGACCACAAAATACTAAAACGCTGTACAGTAAGTGTACAGTGTTGGGATTGTGCGACCGCGTGGGTCGACTCAGCATCAAATGAGTCCCCGCAGTGAACATCGCCACCGGGGAGACAAAGGCGGCCGGGGCGTGGGTGCTGGTCACCCACCACATCGTGTGTCGCCGTGTCGGCCTTCGTCTGTGCCACTCGCGAACAGCACTTGCCCCGTCTGTCTCTTCATAGTTCATTTTCATAGTTTCATAGTTTATTTATTTGGTATAGCCCTGTGAGCCATTCGGCACCTAGCCTGGCACAAGCGCCGTGGCGAATGGCGGCCCTGGTTGTATTGTGCTGAACTTTCGTGGCTGTGGGAATTCAAATAATATTGCATTGTGCGTGTACTCCGGTGCGCGCGTTTAAGCCGCTGCTTGTCTGTTGCTTCATATCGAGATTCGTGTCGGGTGGCGGCAGGTTTAACGACACATTTATAATTGTACGCGATATAACCCCCCCCGCTTATTATCGACGGGTCACATTTAGCGGGGTCGTACCGAGGTGTATGGTGCTTGCGACTCCGGGGGGGGGGGGGGGGGGGGGCTGGCGGTGATGGTAAGGAATGTTGGGGGGGCGGTGATGGTAAGGAATGTTGGGGGGGCGGTGATGGTAAGGAATGTTGGGGGGGGCGGTGATGGTAAGGAATGTTGGGGGGGCGGTGATGGTAAGGAATGTGGGGGGGGGCAGTGATGGTAAGGAATGTGGGGGGGCGGTGATGGTAAGGAATGTTGGGGGGGGGCGGTGATGTTAAGGAATGTTGGGGGGGGCGGTGATGGTAAGGAATGTGGGGGGCAGTGATGGTAAGGAATGTTGGGGGGGGCGGTGATGGTAAGGAATGTGGGGGGGGCGGTGATGGTAAGGAATGTTGGGGGGGCGGTGATGGTAAGGAATGTGGGGGGCGGTGATGATAAGGAATGTTGGGGGGGCGGTGATGGTAAGGAATGTTGGGGGGGCGGTGATGGTAAGGAATGTTGGGGGGGCGGTGATGGTAAGGAATGTTGGGGGGGGCGGTGATGGTAAGGAATGTTGGGGGGCAGTGATGGTAAGGAATGGTGGGGGGGCGTTGATGGTAAGGAATGTTGGGGGGGCGGTGATGGTAAGGAATGGTGGGGGGCGGTGATGGTAAGGAATGTTGGGGGGCGGTGATGGTAAGGAATGTTGGGGGGGGCGGTGATGGTAAGGAATGTTGGGGGGGCGGTGATGGTAAGGAATGTTGGGGGGGCGGTGATGGTAAGGAATGTTGGGGGGCTTGCATAAGCTCGACCACGACCGTGCGGGACCTGCCCCAGCACAGGTAAGGCTCGGATTTACAATTTGGCGTGGGCTTGGAACTTGGCAGGAGCTTCACGGCAGGGGCACGTGGCTCGGCACCAGAGATTAACAACAACAAGAGCGAGCAGCTCACAAAAGGTATAATTTTTGTTTTGTTTTTTTACAGGATTGAACCACGTGGAATGCGTGCAGGTGTGGAATGCGCGCTCTGCCGAGGCGCGGCTAGCGCGCGCTCTGTGGACTTTGGCGACAATCC